AGACTCCTCCTCCGTGGCAGCGAGGTACCGACCCTTCATGGGGGCAGCAGCTGTCACGTACATTGGAGCTGCAGCTGTCTTGCTGTGAGCAGCCTCAACGTACATAGGTGCGGGGGCCATCTTAGTGGGAGCCTCATGGATCACCATGGGAGCAGGATCTGCCATCTTAGTGTGAGCCTCATGGATGACCATAGGAGCGGGGGCTGCCATCTTAGTGGGAGCCTCATGGATCACCATGGGTGCAGGAGCTGCCATCTTAGTGGGAGCCTCATGGATCACCATGGGTGCAGGAGCTGCCATCTTAGTGGGAGCCTCATGGATCACCATGGGTGCAGGAGCTGCCATCTTCGTGTGGACCCTCTCCACAACTAACGGCACAACAGCCACCGCAGGTGGTGCAGAGACGTACGTAGTGTTCTTCTTCTTTCCAAGGCCGCGGTTAGCTGCACTGTCGTTGGTATCTTCAGCATAGTATGTTTCTCGTTCTGCATCCTCAGCGGCAAGATAACGACCCGTTTTATAGTGGATATCCTAAGGAATATGGTCTCTTATTTTTGATCGTTATGGGTGTAGGGTCGTATTCAACAGCAGGAGGAGGGAACGTGGAGGGGATAGATTCCAGAGCTGGTATCGTCTTACCGAGTCCTCTCTGCGTTGCTTGCGATCCGAAGTCTCGCTCGTTTTCGCTGCCAGCGTTACGAGGTTGGTCTTCACCAGCGCTAGAAGCGTTGATGGTGCTGCTGCGGTTGGTGCTACATTGACCCCGAGTCCTGAGCTTTTTACGGGAATCTGAAGTGTGTGATTCACAGCTTTCTGTCTCGGTGGATTCAGCGCCGCCTTCGTTTTGTGGGACTTCGAAACCCCTTGCTACGGCGTGATTTTGCTCAGTGTCCTCGTACTTTGGATTGGTTTCAACTGTTTCATAGCCCTGAGTCCCAATACCTGCTGCCAGGGATATACCTGGCAGCACGATCAGCAAAGACGAGTGAAGCCTCATCTTTAAAGAGAGTAGTCGAATCTAACCTGCCAGTCACTGCGGATTACTGAAAAAAGAGAGTATAAAAAGCAACGTATTTGCATCCCGTATGACTTTGTGATAGCTCTGCAGATGTCATCAGGTTGTGGCATCCCGCGGAGGCCAGGAGCGATGTGTGAGTCAGCAGCGCGACCTATAACGAAACACTCCCGCCCTGCCCCCGCGGTAAGCGCTAAATCTTACATAACGCATTCGTGTTTAATTGCCAGCTAAAATTTGGCAAAATTATTTCCTCAAACGCGTGCACACTTTAGTTTACATGAGGACCTATCAAGATAGGATATCTGCCCCACATTCTCCCAACGCCAACTGCGCGAGTTGTTTCAACCTGTCCAAGAAATAATCCTCTTGCTTGACTATTCACTGAAACACTTTGAAATTAGGTGTTACTTCTATTTTTATGCTGTTTTTATTTATATTTCAGTTGATGTCTTGTTTATTGTTGGCCTGCCTTTGCCACTACCATGCGGTCGTGCCATCCGCACTGAATAGTAAGCTGAGTATGACATGAGGCAGCTACTTATTTTAAGCACGCCGGTACCCCAAACTGAGAATCATTTGATGTAACGTCTCTTTAGTATTCCGACCTGCTGGAGCGGCTAAGGAATATTCTGTTCATTCATTGCACATGTACGCTCAGCTTTGTTGAGCACTCCGCTTCTGTCGATGAGTTCCTTTCAAACAACATAAATAGTTAAAGAAAAACTAGCGCCCCTTCATAGGTAATTTGATTTATCCTCATACAAAAATCAAAAGCTATGACTCTCTCAGTATCACCTTCACCTGCTTATTCACGTGAAAAGTCCGACCGGAACAGCTTCTGGAGCGGCCATGATTCTATGTCCGAGTACTTTTGTATTGTGCCGTGTCTTCAACGATATTTATGCTGGAACTTGACAATGTTCTGTATGTGGACACGGGGAAATCCATAGTGCTTGCACACCTGGTTGCCATGGATGTGACTCCTAGGCTTAAAGTTCTTGCATAGGAGACATTAGCATTGAATCGGATTCGAGCAAACTCATCTAATAGAAGTACTTGTAAAAATACTGCATTTAGAGCTTTATTGATGCAGAATTTTCCCTGGTACATATAGGCCCTCGGGTAGCGCTCAAGTGTAATGTACTTTTCTTCCACATAAGCACTACGTATGCTGAACCTTTCATTGGAAAAAAGCTTTATCATACGGAGCATAGAGAGCATAGAAGCTTTCACTTGCCGGCATGTGTTGACAAGAATGGCATTTTCGCGAGTACGTCACAAAGAAGTTGTGTTCTACATTCGGGACCTTCCCTTTGGTTTGCACTGTAACCAAAAGTTTATATGCCACCAGAATCCCCATGAGTACAGGTTCAGATGCTTCATAGAGGCATTGTGTGGCTCCAATGGCGCTTTTCAGATGGTGAAGCAAGAACAGATTCTTCTCACACAGTACATGTGTGCAGCGCAGGCAATTTCACTATGCACAGTGCAATACCCACGCAAAACTGACCCCAGATTCGAGAATTACTACCACTGCATAGGATTTGCAGCTTTGGAGGCAAAGGGACTTGTATGGTTAGCTAATGCATGATAGCTAGCGTGCATAGTAGTGTGGGTCTCGCGTCGAGACACTATTAGCTATCAGTGGTGGGCCTTCAACTTCTTTACAGGATTTCGCCTTGCCTCTTGAACGCACCTCATAAGGAATTAGAAGTCTGTACGGCCATATTTACTTAATAGCTCGCGTAATTTGGTCTCCATATCTATCTCTACCTTGCTCAACGGCAAGATAGGTTCTTATTTCAGTAACCCTGAGGAAGAACTGGTTTTATGTAGGCTAGTGACACCGTGCATGCATCGGTGCTTCCCTGAGCTAGATTATATTGTACGCATAGCAATATAGCCTTCTATAAGTTGGTAGGATGCAAATGGCTTCTGTATGTGTGGTGTCAGTAGCCTAGAGGCTAATTACTCAGCTCCAGCCATCCTATGCAACGCGCTTAAGCTGGCTATGCTGACAGAATGTGTACATTGCCAGCAAGAATGTCTCGATTGGCTTCATACGGAGAACAAGAGGAGGAGGAATACGTGAAAGGATAGACACAATTAATTCGCATGATTACACACATTCAAACACAAGTATTCTGAAGTGTTTTTTTTATATATAAGTGACGGCTCGTGTAAAAGGAACGTTTCGAATTCGTGAAACATATCAAGCATGAGAGACGTATCTGGTAGTAGCTTGGCTTCCCGTAGTCTCACACTGCAATTTCAAACTTCACAAATAGGAGGTAATGTGCAGCCTTATTATAAGTATACAATGGGGATAGAATTAAAATGTCATCGCTCTCTAGCATGGCAGGAAAAATCCAGTTTGAACCCGAATTATATTCTGGCAGAGCTATGCATAATATTTTTGGCCATCCAACATTTTGCTATCTAGCATTCACACAATGTGTGCAGGTGATGTTTATTCATAAGGTACGACAACACTCACTGAGATTATACCCTTATTTTCTGACTAGGTCAATTCACCGTCCTTCCCTGGGTGTGCCTAACCACGGAGTATGTAATGCGCTGGGGCGCCCATCGAACTGCCTGTTTTACTTCACTTCGTTCACTGACAAATTCGACTGTCTGATGCTGTCTCTTACTCTGTGTAACTTTAGTGACTGTCTGATGCTGTCTCTTACTCTGTGTAACTTTAGTCGGATATATATTTTACTTCAAAAAGATACACTGAATATACATCTTAGCGACTTCATTACTGTATTGCTTTACCCGCAGACATGAGGTCTCCTGAGCTTTGCGCCTCTGTGAAGGTGGCCATGTGACCTGACCTACACCTTAAGGATAGTGCTGAAGTTCATTCGTCCGTACAGTGCAATAGTACCTCTAGTTTACTAGTACAGCTCATCAGCACACAAGAAATAGTTTTAAGGGACTCATATACAATTGTGTAAAAGTTAGCTGGTGCTCATTTCATAACTATATGCTTGCATCTTTGCCTCTTTTAAGGCAGCTCTCTGCAAGAAATTGCACAAGATTTTGAGCAGAGCTGTGGAGCATGCCGAAGGTTGAATTATTTGATGGTGAGTTGTGCTGCTACACGACGGTACCAAGCAGCTAGTTCCTCCAAAAAGCTTTTAAGTATGAATCCCATATTTTTCGTATGCTAACTGAAGTCTTATACGTCTGCTAATTAGTTGCCTTTACTGAACGTCACAATCGCACATGCTGAAGTGCCTTCTGGCTGAAATCGGTTACATATATGCGTGTTCGTTTTGCAATTCTGCAGCAGAAGCAGTACTATGCACATCGAAACTAATAGCCCAACCAAACCCTCTTGGCTAGTCCACGCCAACTTTCAGCTTCTCAACCGCTGCCTTCTAAATATAATGTCTTCACTAGGTAACCGGTTGCCACGTTCGAGTGCTATGTTGTAAATGCAAAGAAAAATTACATATATATATATATGGAAACAGGAAAACCTCGTGCAGTTGTCGTTAGCTTACGTTCTGTGGAATAGCTGTCTCCACATAACTATTTCTTCAAGGTCAACTGATCACGGTGGTGGGCATAAAAGTCTTTACCATCATGCTTAACAGGCAATGGTGCAAAACTCTTTTTCGCGTGCTTTGTGCTTGACGGTTTTGTTCATTTGCGTAAGTCAAGGTGGAGGATTCGTCGGCAAGAAAAACCGAGCCCTTAGGTAATTGGCTCTTGGAACCTACCGATGGCCTGTTTTGCAGCCATCAGAAGTTCAAAGATGTAAGGAAAAGCTAGTATACAATAAAATTGTGATCAACTGCTCACATAGAAGCTGCAGGAAGAATAAAATGAGTAGTATCTCTCTGCGGCCTGTGGAGAAATAATGGCACCTGTGCGCACTGCAGCTCTGGAGGGTCAGTATTTGTTTGCCAGGTACCGCCTGGGGAGCTGATGCGCTTGACTGTTCATATATGAATACCTTGCAATCCCGTTAGATGCCACTTTTGCTTTTCCTTCCCAGAACACGAATGTAGCCATATTTTGCCGGCTTTAGTAGCCCTGTGCAATTGATAACCCCTTACATCTGCTGTATCCTGTAGAGCATGGAGCGCGTGCGGTAGACGACCAGACCCCAACCAAGCCCAAGATATGTGACCCTAAGCCCGAAATAGCTCCTAAGCACTAAGCCTCACAAGTCCAATGCTCCTGCAGAAGACCACCGAACCTGAAGGAATTTGCACCAAATGGCGCTTGCGGGCCAACAATCGCATGATATTATTTCCGTTTTCCTTACTCAACAAGGACATGTTTACTACTGAAAACAGCATGCACAATTTACTGAGCTGAGAGAATATGAAGCTAGCTACGCCACACAAGCTCTTCAGCTCCCTTCTCGCTAAGGGAAGCTTCCCTGCATTCATCCCAAGTCCAGGAGAAAGTGGACCTCCCTCATTCCTCCTACATTTCGATCTCCGTACGAGTAGTCCTCCCTAGAAGCCAGTTCGGAAATCGCTTGAATAAGTCTAGTGACATATGCTTGTAACTGATGATTTGGCGGCCAGGGCTCTGGCGCCGTGGGTGCTTGTGCTGGTGTTACCGCGAATTGTTGGCCAACACTAATGCCCTATATCGCCAAGCCCTAGAGGGTCTGCCTATTAAAAAAACACCACTTAAGACATTCGTACCGCAATGTGGTATTCCTACTTGGCCGTCTGTACGACACGAATTTAGCCTACGGGCTGTCTGAGGTAACGCTTATTAAAAGATATCTAGAGTTACCGTGCTACATCCTTTGTGTGTGTACCCGAACAGAAACGTGATACACTTGCATTTTCTAATACTGCGTGTAACGGCCTGAGAAAACGGCACCTCTGCCCGATCGAGCAAAATCCTCAGCATAAGCTGCTCAGTTGTTGGTCCCATCCTTTGGCATCACCTTCCACCGGAGCAGGCCTCTGCCACTACTGTATTTCTTAGATACAAAACAAAGACTTCCAACGCAACAACGGCTGCAACAGCAGTCACAACTGCAGCAGGAACCCACCATGCCAGTTCGCATACCCTGAATAGCAGCATACATAAGGCACACAGAGCCAGAGGCATAACGGCGTCAGAAGCCTGATGCCAGCAACGTTGCGGTGCGATTGCCGTGCGAGGAGAAGAGTTCCCATAGAAGCCTCCCGAAAAGACGCGAGCAAGACCCTGGGGGATGCAGTGTCAGCACGTTGTCATTCCGTTCGGTGTGATTTGTGATGATAGGCAGACTAGATCGAGGGGAAGAGAAGCCGCGATAGGGCAGTCAGGCGTGCACACGAGGCTGCATTGCTCCGAGGCAGCAGCTGGCTGCTGTCAAACAGAATTCAAGAATGCGGCTTGAGGTCGAGAAAAGCCTAGAACCCGGGCGCAGGCTGTGGTGTGTGGGAAGCAGGGTTCAACATACTTTGTCTCAGGGTTCATTTCGAAGAGGATTTTCACGCTGCAGTCGGGATCTGCGCACCGGTTGGTATACGGCACGTACGTCTGGTTGCCCCTGCGAGCAGCCATAAAAAGCCAAGAAAGATTACACGACCTGCATTCGGCAAAACAAGCCGTATAAGCCACTTAAAGGCACGCTTTAGCAGGCCTTTAACGGTAAGGATTCCGATATCAAAAACAGAAACAAAGGAAGAAGAGGACAAAGAGACGAGGGAACGCCTAGCTAGACGAGGAGGTGGACCTGGGAGGCATAAGATGAAGATCTCGAAGCAAGAAGGCATCAGGACGCTCGCGTCCACCATCCATGCCACAGAGAGAAAGGGGGGAAGCGCTCAGTCGATAGGGGTGGGAGAAAGGGGGGGAGAGAAAGCGATGGACTAGAGGGAGCAAGAAAGCAACGCACGCGCAAACGGCCCGGGGTTGGCAGGCTGCATCAGTGGTGGGCATGACGTTTTTTTCTCGAATGCCCACGCGCCAATTGGCTCGATCCATCACCACATTGAAGGCGGAAAGGACTGCAGAGTTAAGCTCGGACAGCACAAATCGTAGGTTGACGAGTCACCATCGTCTGCACGACTGCGTCGAAATCCTGGTGCTGTGCCCTGCAGCTGCTCAAAAGCGCATGCTGAGGGAAGGGGGCGGGAGTGCCTTCGCATCTACTGCGAAACGCGTGAAGAAGTGCCTTTGTGCTCCTCTTCACGTGGGGTGGGAAGCACATACCTCGCGTGCCAAAGCGAATCTGCCTCCACTGATCTGCAGCTACAGACAGGAACGGCTGAGGCACTACGCAGAGGACATCCCCGATCCCCTCCTCGTGAACCACAAGTCGATCCAACGGTATTTGTAAACGCGGGTTCTGAATTTGAGACTGCGAGAGGGAGAACGACAGAGCAGGCAGCTGACGACTGGTGGGAGTCTTGAGTAGCGGGCAAGTCCGTCGGTACATCACCTGCTCCTCCCCACTGCCCTTCAAAATTGCTGGATGCGCGATGGAAGCCTGTGAGATATTGTCTTCAGAGTCAGGATCTTTGCACAGCTCGTGCTTCACATCCAGAGGCAGCCATGCACGCAGACTCCTCCACATGGGGGGAGGCACCACCAAGCATTCCGAACTGCGACAGAAACAGAAACAGTGCCTTCTAATGTCGGCGTCTGGCTGCTGCAACAGCAGACGCAGGCCACACCCACCCCCACATGCGTCGCTCTTTCCCCAAATATACCACACAAATACCAGGCACCAGCAAACAAGAGACAGCCGACTCAGAAATAGGAAACACAGCGCACACACACACCCACACACACACTCAAGATCTACAAAGTCGAACCGGCTACCTACCCCCTACCCCACGCCCCCCTGTAGTCAAACTTTTTAAATTTGTTTCACTGCCCCTTGCCACAATGCCCATTTCAGCCTCCAAACACCCGCGGCACATGTCGAGACGCTTCGAACCTCAGCTGTCAACAAATGTGTCCAGGTAGCTTTATACTCCAGTCCCCCACTATTTCGACTCTGTGCGTTCAAAAACTCCACCTCGCCTTGCCAATCACCAGCCTAGTGGACCTATACTACGCCTCTGTTAGCCTGAACCTCCTGCTCTACCTGATTCGCTATAACTTTTCCTCTGCGTGTCATATAGGGAAAAGAGAACATGGTGTTGTCTCCTTCCGCTGTCTGCCTGACTTGATGCTGCCTGCCTCCCTAATATTGCATGTAGGTCTCTCTCGCGCGCGCGCAGTGCTCGTGTGGCAGCGCCTCCATGAGCTATCTTTTTTCGCAGTTTCCCCCTCCTCTGCCGCCACAGCTCGATGGCAGGCATCCTCCTTCGTACCTCAGATCCACGATGGCTTCCCAGCTATTGGAGAGAGGGTGACCGACGGATTCTCCGCAGAGTTTCCAGTCGAAGGTAGTGAAGTGAATCAAGCCGTCATACCCTGCAGCTCCCGTCTGCATGCGATGAGCCCACAGCATTCCCCCAAAGATTTGCTGGGCGTCGGCTGCAAGGTACATAAAAGAAGGAGGCACTGCAGGGAGGCCTTCATTCCTCCCCTCTGGAGAGGCTCTCGCCGCGGCAAAGGGGCTTGCCACACGATCAGGCAGATTAATATCGAATCCCACGGCATTCACGGACGGCTCTAACAGCATATTCCACAAGGAGGCCTCGCGGCAGCAAATGTCGGGACCTGTGACGCAAAAGCTGCACACACCGACGCTTTTGATCCTGTGCCTGTGCAGGCTGAGACGGCTGCAGATGAAGGAACTAGCGTTTCACGCAGACGCGCGCGTACAAGAGAGGCATGCGTTCAGAGCTCGAAACAAAGGTAAAACCCCTCGGAGCGCGATACACTCACTTAGCTCTAAATGCATGCCATCAGTCATTCAGAGCTGGCAACGGTGCGCGCATGTGTTTACGGAGGAACGAAATACGCCAAACAGCCTTGATTGCTCTGTGCAGAGGAGGCCGTCTGCATGCACTTTAAAGCCGCGAAAACGCCGTCCAAGGAAACTGGAGCTCACCAGCAACACCCCAGACTCCGTCAAGACCCTTGTAGGCATCGAAGTCTGTCTCGCGCTCAAGCACCAGTTTGACAGGAAACTTGCTAAGGCGAAAGGAAGAAGAGTTCGGAAGAGAGCGCTCTCCTCGAAAGCCAGCATCTACTAGGGGGACCTCTTGGTGCATGCTGCCCGCCGTAATGGGGGGGAGTGGCGGAACCAACTCGACGGTATCGAAGCCCTCTAGCCGCATCTCAGAAACAATAATACCATCGACGACTTGCTTATATCTGAAACGGCAAGCACGCACAAAGGCTCCTGCTACACGACAGCCGCCGCTGTGCATGTCGCAGTTAGAAGTAGGGCTAGCGACATGTGTGTGTATGTGAATGTGTATGGGGTGTCTGTATGTACGTGTGTGTATGTGAATGTGTATGGGGTGTCTGTATGTATGCGTATGTGAATGTGCATGGGGTGTCTGTATGTATGTGTGTTATGGCGTGTGTATGTGAATTTGTATGGGGTGTCTGTATGTATGTGTGTGTATGTGAATGTGTATGGGGTGTCTGTATGTATGTGTGTTATGGTGTATGTATGTGTATGTGTCATGGTGTATGTGAATGTGTATGGGATGTCTGTATGCACGTGTGTATATGTGAATGTGTATGGGGTGTCTGTATGTATGTGTGCTATGGTGTATGTATGTGTATGTGTCATGGTGTATGTGAATGTGTATGGAGTGTCTGTCTGTGTGTATACGTGAATGTGTATGGGGCGTCTGTATGTATGTGTGCTATGGTGTGTGTATGTGAATTTGTATGGGCTGTCTGTATGTGTGTGTATGTGAATGTGTTTTGGTGTCTGTATGAACGTGTGTATATGTGAATGTGCGTGGGGTGTCAGTATGTGTGTATATGTGAATGTGCGTGGGGTGTCTGTATGTATGTGTGTTATGGTGTGTGTACGTGTATGTGTCAGGGTGTATGCGAATGTGTATGGGGTGTCTGTCAGTATGTGTGTATATGTGAATGTGTATGGGGTGTCTGTCAGTATGTGTGTGTATGTGAATGTGTCTGGGGTGTCTGTCTGTATGTATGTTATGGTGTGTGTATGTGAATGTGTATGGGGTGTCTGTCTGTATGTGGGTTATGGTGTGTATGTGTCTGTGTTATGGCGTGTGTGTGTGTGTGTGAGGGGGGGTTGGTGGGTGGGTGTGTGTGTGTGTGTGTCGGTGAGGGGAGAATTAGGGGCACTGTGCCATGCGAAGAGTGGGGAAGCGCATGCGCTGGAGCCGAATGAAACGGCACAGAGCGAGCGCTGAGTTCAGATGCTCGTCAATCAAGTATCGTTGAAGGAGACTTTTTGAAGCAATGAGAGGCGAGAAGGGCCTCGCAAACTTGAGGCAGAGAGAGCATGGGTGGAGAACCTCGAAGTGGGGGCGAAAAGAGGGAGGCGGAATGGGCGCAGTAGGGAGCAGGATATGCAGATGAAGGAAAGAGGAAGGAACAAGAAAAGAGGAGGAGGGAGGCTTAACAAATCAGATCAGCGAACGCATGGTTTCGCGCAGTGTCGTACTTAACAGCATATTGGGGATCGTGCTGCTGCGAAGGACGGCAGGTGAAGGGCGTCTCTGAAAAGGCTGTGCAGATTTCATGCCAGTTCAAACACCACGAAGCTGCACCAGACATTTCGGGGTCATAGCATGCCTGATTCTGCTGCTTCTGATGTTTGCGACGGTTCAGAGGCTTCTGTAGCTGCCGCTGTCGCTCAGGCGGAAAAGGCGAGGCACGCTGTTGCTCCGAGTCGTTGGCAGCTACTTCTATCACTGCTGCGTCGCTGCTGCGCTCATAGTGGGGGGGCTCCTGCGGATGCGGTGTAACAGCGGCAAGCCTCCCAGATGTGCAAGAAGAGCTGCCAGATGCGAAGAGACGAAGGCCTTCTTTGCAGCTATCCATGCCCATGAGTAAGTCTTGGCCTCCAATGCGCACTTGCACTGCCACGCGAGCTCCCACCACCCTTATAGGTATCTTCTCCAAAGACTTCGGTGTGAAGGGCGAAACATCGGCGTTGAGCGCCCCCACCTCTGCCGCGACTGCTGCTGCTGTACGTACTGCGCCGCTATGGGCGGCTGTTGGGAGCACTGCAGTGTCTATTGCTGGTGCTTCTCTTGCTGCTGATGCGGATTCTGCAGCTGCCGCATGGGCACCAGTCAGCAGAGAGCAGTAAACGTAGCAGTAGGAGTGGCATGCGAGGAGGTACAGGGTACCCCTGATGACTGCCCAGAAATGCCGTGTGTGTCGATCGTGGGGGCCCCTTGAGCCCCCTCGGAATGTCATCGCCTTTGCGGGCTCTACCAGATCAGCTTGAAGCGCCGATTAGGGGCCCCCAGGAGGAGTTTCTGTGTTAGCGGACGGGGGGGGCCCCTGTCTGCCGTGGCGGTACCTTGTGCCGCTGGCTGCAAGTCCACCTGAGGGACTGGAGAAAGGTCCAAAGAACTTTATTGCATGAATTCAATAACGGCTACAAAGGGAGATCAGTGGCGGACCCTCTGAGGAACGGAAGAAGCCAGAAACAGAAGGGCAGATGAGCGGCCACGATGGTCGCGTCTATCATTACACCGTCACATTTGAGGGAGATGCGTGCTTGTACGAAGCAGGAATACCACCAATCGGATAGGAAACCCCAGCTCCGCAATAAATGGCATTCCAAGGGTAAGTGTGTGCTCTAGGGGCCCCCTACCGGGAGGGGTCCTCAGGAAACGGTAGCCAGGGGCCCCCTCGTCTGTAATGGGCAGTAGGGCCTGGTTCCACCAATTATTTTCCAGTGTAACCTTGAAGCAAAACGCTCATGGCTCAGGGGATCCTGAGACTGGCAGGGAGCTGTCTCTTTTGCCACATGTCGCCGGTAATCCTACTGGTCCAGCACTCGAAGGGGCAGGGATGCATAGATAGGCACTCACGAAGTTGCTGTACTATGACTAACGGCATGCTACTTAACTTGTAGAGCCGGCATCTTGTGGTCAGCGCCAGTAATACGTAGCAAGGTTTCAAGCCTCGTCGTACTCCTGTGCGTAATGCAATCCTTAGTAACGTGAGCCGTCAGCTTAACCTTAAGATGCATCACAGCCAGAGAGGCTGCTCCAAATTTTTGGGGAAGCTTTGTGTAGAAGCCTTTTCGAAGACCGCCTCTAGGGTTGATGTGAAGCCCCAACTACACCCAAGCGTGTGGACAGCAGCAAAATAATGGCAAAAGGACTCAACAGCCTTCTCCTACACGAAACCGTTCCTTCGCCTTCATGGCCGCCTTCCCATCAGCCTGACGCGCGGCATTTCATGCAGAATTTTACATCTCGGGAAGCTCCTACGCCTAAGGTGTATCGCTCACTCTAAGCTTTCCTAAGGAAGACACGTAACTCTACACCCACTACAAACTCAATAGACATTCATTGTGCTTGGGAAGGAAATCGCTGAAATGGTAGAAACCAGACAAGTGTTGTAGAGAACGTGATATCCCACTGCATCCACAGGCAGTGGATGAGAAGGAACCGCTGTATAAACCATGCGGCACTGGGAGCTCCCTCCTTCCTATTCCCGCGTCGCTCGGAGTTTTCCGACATTAGGGGAGCACAACAGCAATTGTGCAAGTAGCTGCAGCCTTTAAGTCTCCTTAGCATTTGCTGCTAGCTGTAATAGCATCCAACCCACACACACTCAACATTGTGCCTTCTTGCTTTTAGCCAACATATGCGAAAAGTGGATAGGAACACACAAACCAGCTAGTCAATGCTATACCAACTCTCTGCTGAGCATGGCTAGTGTCAAAAGGTTTTTACGGATAAGTAGGCTCGCTACGTTGCACACAGTCTGCCCGTACAGACCACAGCTGCTGTTGCTCCATGCGGAATAACCAAAGGGAGGCCTGTTAGTAGCTACAGAGACAAGCCATGCCATTGTAGAGAGTTCTTGCTTGTCCGTGTAAAAGGGTTCTGCCCTTTTTTGCCTTCGCCTGTCAGCTTCTGGCAAGAAAGGAAATTGCGAGGGTGTGCATTGCTGCACCCTTTAAGCACTTTAGGACCTGTTCCAAATTGCACATAGCAACTAGCGCACAAGAACACAACACGTTGACTCTTACACTATGGAACAGTATCTACGCCCAACCCGACGAAGCAGCCTGCACTTATCAAATTATCAACTCAACGTAACTGGTGTAGTAGAAGGTGCCCAGTGTAGCCTGGCCTGCTACACAGTTTCACGGTTGTGCCCACCTGTCGCACGCACGTTCTAGCCTGTGCCTGTATTCCTACCCCTTCGATCGTCTAGCAGAAACACGAGACCCCCTTCAGTGCAAATGCTGGCTGCATTACTCCGGAAGGTTGGCACTTGACAGCGCACTTCGAGCTTTAATGCACAGCAGGCCCCAGAAGAGGCCTTAAAAGGGCACGTCTTTCGAGATAAATTCCCTGCCAGCGAGATGGTATCGACCCTTTTGGTAAGCTCGAGAGACAAAGCAGGACCCCTGCAAGTTTCTACGCTGTATCGTTGTGAATGCATCCCGCGCACAGTCCTCCGAGGGAGCTTGTTCGGTTTTAGCTTCGTGTACTATTTTGAAGTGGCAGTTGCACACCAGTGGCAGTGTGGCCCTCACCCTGCTCTCGGAGAATTGTGTCATCTCGACTTGTTTTGTCCTACGGGATACGAGCTTGGATATTATGTCCGGCTTTCGATGGAGGCAGGCCCCCATGGCAATACTTTGGAATCGAGGCACAATAGGCTTTTAGCATGAGATTCACTGAGATTCGGTCGGTGTCTAGAAGACGCAAGTGTTCTGTGAGTCCGCTTGATATAACTGGGCACTGGGTGCCCTTTGCTACGATGCCTAACTCATGACACGAAGGGTAGGTAGGCCCTTCCACTAGCGACCCCGTCACCTGTAAACAGTCCCTCCAACCAGACCAGATGAAATCAGCACGAAGACTCAGTGCTGCAGCCTCTTTGAAGCGCACAGTGTTTGCTGAACCCCCGGCTATCTCTGTCCCTCAACGTTTCCCAGAGGCTCTCATGTATTAGCACGGACAACCAGCGACTGCCCTCTAGCATGCCCCCTGCGGAATATCTGTGTAGGCCATGAAAAAGCCCTTAATCATGTATGTGGCGTTTGTGTCAAGATTCCCCGTCCGCATACTTTTTTCGGGGGTGCAACAAAAGTGAATGTGTGCGTGCAAGCACACACACATTCACATACACATACACACATACATACCTCCTCACACACAGTGGATCCGTAACTGTCCTCTCCGCTGAAAGCACGCGCTCTTCAAACCTGTCAATCCCCAAGCACCTCAAATGACCCTTTCGAAACAGTATCCCACGAAAATTCCCGAGAACCCTGTCAGAAGAAATCCTTCATTTGCCGCGCGCACGGGAGGCGTGTGCGGAAGCCTCAAGCCTAGAGACGAGGGCCTCCGTGTTGGCAAGAGACTGCAGCAGTTGCTCGACAGTCTCGGCTTGCACAGTGAGCAGACGCAGGAGCGCAGGGGCAACTACTGGGTGCTGCTCCTCGTTGCTGCTGCTGCCATCAGCTTTCTGCTGCTGCAAAGTTGCTAGCCACACACGCAGCCCGTCAATCCGCTGTTGCCAATCTGCCCACTGAAACTCCTCCTGCAGCAACCAAACACGAGCAGCAGCTCACAGACGTTCCACTCAGCATTGGAAAGGAAAGAGCTCCAGAAGGCTGCAGCTGCTGATTCGGGGGGCACCTGTATGCGCATCAGGAGCTGCTCGTTGGCAGCATCGCAGCGCAGGTTCCTTTCGCACACGCCTCGGCTAACAGCCAGCCCTGAGAATAGCAGACGCGGCAGAAGGAATACTGGCAATGTGGCAAGAGCACTGGCAAGAGCAAAGTCGCTGGAGCGCAGCTAGGGTCCCCACTCTTTCGGCAGTCAGAAAGCTGCATGCTTCGGCAGCAAACCGCGCTGCGAGGGGAGCAACAGCGCCAGGAGAAAACACACCTTCGACCAGTCCTACAGCTCTGATAAGGCTATGAGCCAGCAGCGCATGCCTCTTCTTGATTCTCCCCAACTACACACAACACAGAGACAAAAAGCATGCAGCAGCAAGCATGACAACGGCAGCCGTAGGCAGCAGCAGGTGTCGTCGTAAAGAACGGCTCGGGAGCTACAGTGCAAGCATACCCCATGAAGATGCACAGTCACCACAATCACCACTCCATTCACCCCACGCATCCCCAGCTTACTGCTGCCTTCATTTGATTGTATTTTACAGTCAGCGCCTCCGTATCCCTCGCCGTTGCCGCAGCCGCCTGACTAAGAGCTTCAGTGCGCTGAGATGCTCCGCTGATGCGAGCAGCTAACCCTTGAAGCCCCTCAACAGCAACTACCACCCCTGCACACGAAGCCAGCAACAGCAATGCCACAGCAGCAGGAGCGCGCTTTTGCAGCGAAGTCGGCTGCAGGCAGCACATCTAAAATGGAGCTGAAACAAGGCACGCTGCCCATGCATGCAAGGCCGAAAGCCGCTCGACGCCTCCTCCTGCTGTCGTATGAAGCTTGCTGCCGGGGTTGGCACGTGCACTGTGAAAAAAAAATCAGCGGCTGGTAATGTTCTCGCTCGCTTTCCCAGCTTCCTACTCCCCCCCAGTCCACACCCTAAACGTACCCGCTTGTCTATCTGGATTTCTGTGGGCTGCCCTCTGCCACCTGGACAGCAATTCCTGGCTCTGCTGCGGATTAGCAGCTGCGAGTTGTTGCACTTGCTGCTCCATGAAGAAGTTTTGCTGCTGCGCCCGCGTGAGCCCTGTGCTGGCGCTGCTGCTGCTGCTGCTGACGTCCACATCATACGAAAAGCCGATCGCAGCAGGTGTCTCGTCCTTCAGAAGCTGCTCCACGCGCTGAAGCCGCACCTGCAGCGATGCGAGGTAGTTTCTCTGGTGTATAGGCACATCTTGGGGAGCTGCAGAGATGCAAAAACTCGCAAATTCAAACACCCTCCCGATTCGGCATGACCAGAAAAGCTCTGAGAACAATCCTATCCATCTATTTTAGTGCCGGCATCTTCAAACCAAGCAGAAGCGTGTAGGCGGCGGCCCTTAGAGTAGCCAACTCTCCAGGGAAGCCTGTGGCGACACCACACGGGGGACGTGAGGGGCCATCGCTACAGAGTGTGTGGGAACCAACCTGCTACTCCCGTCTGCTGCTGTTGCTGGGAGGCTGGTGAGGCTCCCAAGAGGCTGCCGAACATTTTTCGTGGAAGGACTGTCGGCGGCAAGACACCGTCTGTCACTCAAAGGCCCCCCCGCTTCTCTCAACCGGCAAACTACTAACAGCCGTCGCGGCAATAGCAGCGCCAGTGGCTGCTGCTGCCGCCGCAGAGCCAATAGAATGAAGCTGCTACTCTGCCTGAACGCAAATCTTGGCCAATTGTACCTCGAACGGCAACGGCGAAGAAGCTTCACACCCTACGTACCCTGTGCAGAACAGAACGGAGGGTGGAGCTGCCACCGCGCTCCAGGTGGGTGCGTCTGCCGAGAAGCAACCCGTGCGAGGATCTAAAACAGGAGCCAAAAAGGCTTAATTATTCTGTCTGAGGTGGAAAGAAAGCGCCGCTACAGTCGCGGAACGAAGGGCCCCAAACTGGAGAGGGGCCCCCCGTCAGTCCTGCTGCCCCTCGTCCCGAGGAGTACCCCGTAAGGGGTGTAGCGCATTGAACGAACCCTTCTCTTGAGCAGGTGTTTCTTGGGCATCCGGTGCCTAAAATTACCGGCAAAAGGCATTTAGTGTGTCACGGCGATGAGACAACGGTACTTGGGGGCACAAGCAGCGGGGCGCATTCATACACAAGAGATGTTGCAACCTATCGGGAAGGCTGGTGCTCCCATGTTATCTCTGGCAGCCCGTCTGTCTCCCGTGCTGGCCTTCTATTACAACACTGAGCTGCTCTCTGAGCCTATTCGAGCCATTCATTTTGTTCTTTCTTCCTTATTGTTTTTCAACGCGGCTAACCGAGACACAAAGGCAGGGATCGCACGTTTAATCTGCTAGCCACCTTTTGAGGCGTCGATCCGTTTGCCACTCCACGCCGGGCATCTCCTGTCGGCAGCGCCTAGCCCTCCCCTCCTTCCCACTTTTCCTCTCATTGTTTTTCCTGACATTTCAACAAAGTCGCCCACAAAAGTTTTGAAAAAAGGTAACTTTCCACCAGTTTCGTGCGTGTAGCTCTCGGCTAACTCCACACCACGGGGGTCTCCCCGTAAATGCAAGTTTCATGCTCACCAGAGCTTCTCATGGATTCTTTAGAAAGTATGCTCAGAAGGCACAATCCGTCGTGATTATAATACTGGCGGGCTCGAGGGTGCATACCCATGTACCCACACGAACAAGATCTGGGTGCTTTCACAATCCAGGTCACGAAGTGTAATATACATGTTTACGGAGAGTTTCAAAATTCAGATTGAGGGGCAACAAAGCGTATAATTCACGAGGCACACCATACCTCACTTCAATAGACATGCCACATTCTGTCAATGCTCTGTGATTAGCGTTGGCTGCGTGTACAGTAGCGCTGTTTCTTGTAGTGGTGTGAAGTGTGGGATCACCATTCGTGTTTTTTGCGTGTATGCCTGCTCCTTCACCACTGATTCTCTAGCGATCAGCCGCCTTCTACCATATCGGCTCTGTTACCCAACCGGTCTCCCTTTTTTTCCCCTTCGTTGGGTTCTCCGTATCCACGATCAAGTCTGCGCTTCAATGCTTTTTCCGATCTCTCTTGCTTCGTCTTGTGTAGCTGCTTGAGTACTGTTTCTCTACCCTTTGCTGCCTTTCAATCTGGGTAACAGAATCACTTTATCAACATGTATTTTACACCTTTGGCCTCCCTACTCTAATTTTATGCAGATCATGCTCAGATGACCATATGAGTATGCTCTTGGGAAGAGAAACAAGTTTTCAAGGGCTTTTATATGGGTCTGACAAGCGCATAGAAAGATCACATTATATGCGCATTCGTGCGAGCAAATAGCCTCGAATTACCCGCTTTTACTCGTTTCCTATGTCCTCTCTGCGCAGCGCTCTAGTAATTGCAGGTAGCACACGCTACAAGCCACCAAGATGAAGGGCCTCCTTCTCGTCTTTTTCGTTCTCACGGTTCTGGCCACCCCTATGCCTTCTTGCCAGGGAGCAGAATCATGCCTCTCGTGTCGCCTTCGAGGGCAACACAAGCTTGGTATGTTTGCACTTTATTTCTGTTTTAGACCCTTCTTCTGCTTCCCGTTCTTTTAACGGTGTACCATCTGCATCAGTGTATCATCTCTTCCTTCCGACCCTTTCCTGCTTGTTTGAATTTCCCTTTCCTCGAGACTTTATTCCTTGCCCGTCTTGCTTGTCGTGTATTGTGGCGCTGCCTCTGCCATCTTTTCTCTTCTACATCCACCTCTTTTGCAATACGTCCGTCTTTTTCTTCTTTCATGCTAGTCTTTTGTTTCCCTCAAGACCCCCATTAATTCCTGCTGACCAAAAACCCCAAAGCTGAGTCCTTTTCAACTTAGGCTTGGTCAGAAATGTCAGATAGCTTTGACTTACCTAGTAGCAGGAGGTGACGCCAAGAAGTGCTCGTACACGTTCCGGGCCTGTCTCTCCTCTCACTTCCCTTAACTGCTGCGGCCACTACAGATCATCAGCTGACAGCTGCTTCAACTGCAGTGCTGGCTCCAGGAGCTCTACTGACTGTCTTTTGGCTCCTTCACAACACTTTTTCTAAATCTTCCGGGAAATTCTCGCTGTTTCATGATCGAAAAACAATGACAATCGTTGGTTTCTTATGTGAAAGCTTTCTTCTTTTCTCGTGTGTGCATCTTGCTTCAACAGGCATCGGATCTAAGAATCATGAAGAACATGCGGCTCTAAATCACCAGCTACAGTTGCTGCACCAACAGCAGCAACAACAGCTGAAGACTCTCCTTAGCCAGCCACAAGTTCCTAAATTGACAAGCGCAGAGCAACTGCAACAGCAAGCAGCTCCCCAAAGCATGACACTCGAACAGTTCCAAAAGCAACAGAAAGAAAGGCAACAGCCACAACAGCAACAGCAACAGCAAGAGCTGCAACAGCAAACCGCTCCCAGGGTTATGACATTGGCAGACTTCCAAAAAATGCAACAGCAGCAGCAAGAAGGGTCTGTCAAGATTATGAGTCTTGCGGAATATCAGCAGCAGCAGCGGCTAAGCGGGCAGCACCACAAGCCACAGCAGGAACAACAACATCCACCGCAGCAACAGCCACAGCAACAGCAACAGCAACATCAGCAAGAGCAACAACGACAGGAGGAACCCCAGCAGCAGCAGGAAGCAGAGCAAAGCCAACAACAGCAAAAGAACGAACCTCAGGAACAGGCAGGTGGCCTTCGCAGCTTGCCCGCTTGGCTTCCTGAATGGCTTGTTTCCCCCAAGTCCGGCGGGGGTACTACCAGCATCAGCACGACGACGACCACCACAACAGCAGTAAGTACAACGGCAGATGTAAAAAATGAGATCCCCGGAGTAGCAATAGCCGCTCCTGCCGTCCCTACACTTGGAACTCTGTTCTTCAAAGTAGCATCCCACACCACAACTACAACAGCCCCTCCAACCACGCATGCCGATGGTTCCCAACAAACTGCCATCGATGCCCTAAGCCTCCTCCCGGTCCTGCCTTCAATCCCTGACGAGTCTTTGCTAAACGATCCTGAGTCGGCAGATACTCAAAACATGCCGGCAGTGACAGAGGGGGCACAAGCGATCGCAGCCTCAATACCCCTGGAGCAGCACAACGAGGTACCGTTACACCCAGACAGCTATTCCTACAGCGGGCTTCTGCAACAAGACACCAGCCCAATATCGGGAATCAGACGGCTGATTGACTTGCCGCTTCCTACAGCAGCAGGAAGCCGCGAATACCAATACTAGCAGAGGCCTCAGCAAATACGACACAAGAGGACACATTACCAGATAGTAAACAACCAGCAGGGTGAGCGATAGGAACACCCATCCGCCTAGAACGCCTGCCCTCTGGCAGCCGATGGTGAGGCAGCTGCTACCGTTGTTCTCTCCAACTAGATGCTCCTACGTGCAAGTAACAACGGCCCGGCGCTCACGTATCATCAGAATGCCATACATATTTTCAAACCCGCCATATAACGTTTTCCTGTGCGCGCCCCGTGTTGGTGCGGATTGCGCACCAACAAGCCTAACGATAACTAGGCTACACATTGTTCTTTTAAGTATTTATACGGAAAATCATCGCTTGATATGCCTTCTTGCGATGCCTTAAAGAGAAAAGTGTCCTAGGGCGCTAGGGTCAGGACTTTCAGATTATTCCCTCGTACATACGAAGACGCACCGAAAGTAAGGCTAGTAGCCTCAGCAGCCACACAATATTCGGGGCTTATACTTGTTTTCCTTATTTAAGTTCAGTGCAAAACCTCATTTTAAGTATTTAAGGAAGGCGTACAGCAAGAGAGAGAAGATCTTCCCATCGTCCTACGCTTTTAATTGTCATAAGAAACAGCATTTCTCCTACCATCTAGAGCACCACTTTGTCAAGGGCGCCCAAAAGAACAAAGCCATGCATCCAATCAAGCAACACTGAGTCCCGAGGTTCTTGCCAAAGTTCTGTAGACAGGTACATCCCTATCCGAAGTCCCAAATCGCTAACAAAAAGCGAACCGGGGAAAAGAGTTGCAGTTGTTGCGAGTGTGATGCGTATTTTTTAAGCTTAGTAACTGGACAATACAAGTAATACACCGAAAGGACCTCGCATAGTAACATTGGAGTAGTGCTCGAATGACGGCAGACGACATTCAAAAATTTCTTTGTAACATGCTGGGCGTGAATTCCAAAGCGAGCAAGCTAAGACGGTTTGATGGGACTGGATAGTGCACACTGATTAAGAACGCGTGCGATGAAAATCTGGTTTGTTAGTTCTTCCGCGCACTTAAGATATCTATATGAGCCTTAGCAGCTCGGTTATGGAGGTGACTTGCGAGAAATACCCGTCCAGCTTGCTCACGGTTGTTTTGGGATGCGGACCAGTATTCTTTTGACATGTGTTGAGCTTAGACAAGGCAAGCAAGGGCCTCAAAAGCAGTTTATACTGTTAATCTGTGGTGACAACCACTTCATAGATTGCATCTCGTTTAAATGCACTAGTATATGGACGCCTCAGCGAGCGAACGCTGAAGCTAAATGGATAAAGTACACTAATAACTGTTCTGTCTCCCGCTCTCACACACTTCAACATGGCCAAAAAAGGGTCCAACAAGGCGAGTGTAGTTTACCTCAAGTATGCTTGACCGCCACTCGGAGCAACAATTGATGGCAAGCAAACCAAATCATAAATGGGACGGTTAAAGCTCCAGACGGGCACACAAAATTGAAGACATATCTGTGCATAAACGGCTTAGCATCCCGTGTAGCTACCACCATAAGTAGAACGGCAAGGTGAATTCAGTTTTGAAAATGAGTTTGTTTCGACTTCTAGATTTCAAGTTGCGGCACGCAATTCTTACGTAACACGGCAATACTCCACCTGATGAAAGCTTCGACACCAACCTTGCGCTCGTTTCACACAAAAACTAAACAGTCAACTGCAAGTCGTGCGCGGTCAATCGAATGCGTCGCTTTCGTATGTCCCATCACTACCGACACAAGAATTGAAGCCGCTACACAGCCATCCGCCCCCCTTGCCACCTTCAACGAGCGCACAGCCTTTGTTCTGGTATCCCTTTTCTGATAGATTCGGGCTTTTTGCTCCGCTGGTGGCATGCCCTGTCCGTAAAGCCCCACCTCGGACCTACCCGCTTACCGTCATGCTACGACCCCACAATTTCATCCAAATGTCTAAAAAAGTTGACTACCCTGTGCTTAACCCCAATCACGAAGGCCAAAAAAGCATGGCCCCCTGCTAAGATTTGGTCCAGTCAATCTAGCGACCCCTTTCTCGAGGTGAACAAGGCGGCAACACGTGCCTACCATTAGTTCTCCTGGGGGAGTCGCCCATACGCATGCACCACAGGGCTGTATCCTCCACTGCAAGACCAAGGTTCCCTAGCCCCTTTCACTGACAAGGCAACAGCACCGCTAATGAACAATTCCCCGACCCCCGCAGCAGCCGTCTGGTTGGGAGCACTGCCAAGACCTTCGCACGAACTAATAGGAAAACTACATCCAATGTACGCGTGCAACAATAGCATACTTTCGCGGACCCACAAGCAGAAGCCTCCGCGCGGTCTGCCGTGCCAAGACACGGATGAGCTTCCCGCAAGGAAGCGAGACAGACACAGTAGGTGGCTTCTAGAGAAGCCTAAAAAGAAGCACAGGAGGTTAGTCACCTCCGATTAGTTTCGATGGCCTAAAGAGTGCATCGCATCGTGTAACTCGCGAATTAGCAGACGGGACGGCGTCTACTGAGACATCTTCTTGCTCTTGCTCTTCTTGGGAAGCAGCACGGAGTGGACGTTGGGCAAGACACCACCAGAGGCAATTGTGACACCGCTAAGGAACTTGCTCAGCTCCTCGTCGTTGCGCACTGCCAACTGGATGTGTCTGGGGATGATGCGGGTCTTCTTGTGATCTCTTGCCGCATTACCCGCCAGCTCCAAAATCTCTGCACAAAGGTATTCCAGCACTGCAGCCATGTAGACAGGAGCCCCAGCACCGACACGCTTGGCGTATCTGCCCTTCTTCAAGTACCGACCAATACGCCCAACGGGGAACTGTAGGCCGGCCTTTGCCGACTTGCTGGTGGCCTTAGAAGCCTTCTTGGAGCGGCCGCCCTTTCCCTTAGCCGACATTTTCACGAGAAATGCCAAATGGTATTCGTTTCCGTGCACAGAGAGGAGAAAGAATATGTGTGTCTCGCCACCCGACACCGAGCAGGGGGCAGCAGACCACGCGGATGGGGAGAACGGGGGGATGCGCTGGCGACGGTGCGGTGGTGAGCTTCGCCGCTTGCAACCAAAAAATTGGCTAGTTACTCTTGAAAATGGCTAGCTCCTCGATCAGAAAGCCAAAATAGTGCAAAAGATGAAGCAGCAGGCCGGTCGGGTGCAGGGGTGCACGGGGGGAGAGGCGGAGCTACACCCCCGCAGCGGCTAGCCTGCCCCCTCCCCCCCTGGCCGCGGTGTCTGGCCGCGGTGCGTGTGCGTTTCACACAATGGCAGCACTCGCAGAATCATCTTTTGGGATTTTACCTCCGCTGAAGTTGAGACTGGCAATTACAGAAAATGGCCCGCACAAAGCAGACAGCCCGTAAATCTACGGGAGGAAAGGCCCCTCGCAAGCAGCTTGCCTCGAAGGCTGCGCGCAAGTCTGCCCCTGTTGCTGGTGGTATTAAGAAGCCCCACCGTTACAGGCCTGGTACAGTGGCTCTGCGTGAGATCAGGAGGTACCAGAAGAGCACTGACCTCCTTATCCGCAAGCTGCCCTTCCAGCGTCTGGTGAGGGAAATCGCTCAGGACTTCAAGACTGACTTGCGTTTCCAGTCGTCCGCTGTTCTTGCTCTGCAAGAAGCTGCCGAGGCTTACCTTGTGGGCCTTTTCGAAGACACCAACCTGTGTGCCATTCACGCCAAGCGTGTTACCATCATGCCGAAGGATATCCAGCTGGCTCGCCGTATCAGGGGAGAGCGCTCTTAAGCGCCCACTTCCTTAAGGCGTGTCTCTTGTCTGGACGGAGATAAGAGGACTTCGCCTCATGACGAGCTGGTGCTGGGCGGGAGGTATTTCCGCATTCTGTGAATTATAGACTGGAGAATCTCGTTTTGCACCTTTAGGCTTCACTAGAAGCCACCAATCTTTTTAATGGCCTAGGTTGATCTTGGGCTATATGATTTAGTTCTGCTTTGGTTGCTTCCAAAGCAGACCCTATTTTTCAGTAAAAATTTTGCTGATTACAAATACTATTTGGCCGCCTTCGAGCGCTCTCGCCTGGGCGTCAGTGTAGACACATGGCAGGGGGACTGACAGTTTTGCGACAACGTCGGGGGCATTGTGAAGGAAGCTTGGTAAAAACTGCGCCAGGCGAACCTTAATTAGGCCTACGCAGGAGTTTGTGGCGGAACAAAACCGATGGGTTTCATTCGTTCTCTACCGAGGGCGCAGTATAGCAGACGCATTTTCTCTTAGCGTTTTTTTGGTGGCCACATTGGCGGGCGATGTGACAGCATTCACGTGTGGCACTGAGGGGAAAGTGCAATGGAAGATGCGCAGTGGAGGCTCGCAGGTAGAAAACTTGCATGCATAGGGGTCCGGCGGGTAGGTGGAGCCCGACGGAGGCTAATGTTTTGTTGACAACTAGGGCGATCTTGAATTTTTGGAGTGCCGTGCGACGCGTTTATGTGGACTTTTAGGGGGCCCTTAGGTGATTGTCTGGATTCTCCAAGGGAAACCAAAAACTTTAATCGCGCAGTGGTGTTCACATTTTCCGTTTCGCGAGAATGCTCATCTTCAAGAGGCGATGCACCAGGTCGTCCAACCTTTTGTGCCGTCGGCATTCGAGCATATGTAGAGCGGTAGGTCAGCACTGGAGGCTACTCCGAAGTGTGCATTGTTGCAGAAAACAGGTAACTGCGTTTGACCAGTTGCCAAGGTGTGCGCAGACAAAGAACTATGCAACTTGCCCTGAATGTAATTGGTTTGAGGGTCGAAGCCCACAATCACATGGGTGCGTTAACTAGCTGTGATCTTTTCACAGTAAGTACCAAGATCCTGAGCGATATCGTATCGCAAAGGCTTGTAGCCACAAACAGTATGCGGGCGTGGAACAAGCAGCCGTGTCATACTTTCGGAACACGTGAACATGCTGCAGGACAGCGGTAAATTTGAGCACTGAACACAGATAAGGGCACCAAGTTTTATCCCCATCCATTTTCGAAGTCTTTCCGTGGTAGTGGAAAGTTTTAACTGAGCTTAGAGACTTAAATGTTAGCCCAAGAATCACGAAAATATGCAGAATTGCACACATACTCTTCTGCCCCCTCCAGGCTTTGAGCTTACAGGCAGTAAATCCAATTAAGCGTTTAGTGGCTTTCCGTCATTCATACATATCCATCCCCAATAATGCAGAAGAAACAGTGATATATTATAACGTAAGGTAGAACGTACACTGGGATGCAACAGGAGGGTACAGTATACTGTTGGACACTCGACTGCAAAGGCATACGAATGCAGATATACAATCTTTTTGCTCAGTATTAGTGCAACCCGTCTCGACGTGGAGGCTTCAGGTCGCTTCTTCTCTTCGGTCCGGTATCTCTTAAATGTTTTTTGCTGGGATTGAAAAGTGGATACACGACTAGCTGTGTAGCCGCATGCATGCAGCTGCCCTTCTTGCCGCTCCAACTTACCCTGAAAGAGAAATTTATGGCCACCTTCTTCGCTTTTGTTAGCGTGAGTAGTCTATTCGGGCCTTGCTACATCCAGTCAGGTACTTTCGTGTAGCACCGAAAATGTGGAGCTGTCTACCGATAAATAAAACTTTGTGTGATGTGGATCCACTGGGGGCATGTATGCGTTTGCCGTGCTTAGCTGACTTCGGCAGCTTCGACCACACTGCTTATGGTCGACTAAGAATTGGTTTTCTAGTATCAGTAAAACTGATTGATTGGCTTGGCAGCTTATATTTCTTATTTACGGCAGAGTAGCATCAGCACAGCACAAAAAGAATCAATATTCTGGACGTGCACGCTAAACGCTATGTGCAAGTAGCTGAGAGTGCTCGGAATGCTTGTAGGGTACGGCAGCGCTTACCCTAGCTGTCGCGTCATGCCGGAACTCTGAGGGCGCGGGCGGGGGAAGAGGAGAGGGAGCCAACTTCGGAAGGATGCCCAATAACTACTAACTTTGTACTGAGCAAGAAGTTAGGTGCTTGCTATGGAGCCATCATATGAAACGTTGCAATACTCTTATACCCCTGAACATGCAACATATAAGCCATCTACTATTATGAATCTTCTGATTCATGCCGGTCGACAACATACTAGGTTTCTACCGAGATAATTACATTTTTGCGCACAATCAACAAGTTGACCACTATATGGACAAACTGTACCTCTGTGACATGCGGCCATTTGTTCTCGACTGAAATTCTGCCGCGAATTTTTTTGATGCCAAGACCTCGTTTAATCCTGAAGGGTCTCAGTCAATCGCTGCCATCTATTAGATTCACTGTATCTCTGCAGACAGACTAATGTGCATCCATGGTCCTCGATATCTTGCCGTGAATTTGAAGATACTGTATGTTGTCCTTTGCGCGCTGATGAATAACAGGACATGCAACAGGTGCCTATTTCTTTACTACGGATGACGGAACGGCAAATTCACCGATAACGAGGACTAGATGGAGACGCGTTTGACTACGTATGTCTTCAATGTCTGCACATGAGGAGAAACTCCTGTTTCTGCGGCTCTCCGCCACAAGCTGTAATCCTAAATCTTGTACTCTTTATGCAAGTCAGCCATTTGATGAAAATGCACGAGTTTGTTATGTTTGCTGATAGAACGACGGTCCAGCGTAACTTTAAATAGCAAGGTCTCACGAGGACCCCTCAAGCAGCTGTCGTATCCGTTTACGCAGAGCCTCTTCCTGAGGACATACAGCATGAGCGTACTGAGGATAACAGATGTTGACGTGCATGGGGGGCAAACAAACAAAAAAAGCGAAATCAGGCGCCAGTGATGGAATATCGGAGACAGAAAACATGCACGGCACACGAATTGCGGTGGAGGACGGGAAGAGAGCTAACAAGACGGAGATAGACGTCCCAAAGACCAAAGGGTGACTTTTGGAAGCTGGTTGCATACGTGGCGGAGGTAGTGACACAGAGAGATTAGCCAGAGAAACAGAGAATCACGGAATGTGATTGAAGGAGCAAGAAATTATCAGAGGAAGAAACGCAGCACCAGAGAAGCCGCCTGAAAAAAACAGAAACGTTTGACTGGTTAGGCATCGAGTACCTCGATGTCAGTTTCGGCGGGTGTGCTTGTTTTGTGTTTTCTTTTTCTCCTGGAGTTCTCGTGCTCCTTTATGAAGCGGGGGCCCTGAGTGTGCGCGAAGATAGGCGAATAATCGCAAGAAGACGCACAGTTGCAACTTATCAGATTGGAGGCGCTCTTGGCAGAGGTAAGTCCTTTGTACCCCGTCCAAGACGCACTGATCTGTATGGCGAGAGCTGTCTACTCTGCATGCCATCCTCCTGTACTTATGTTGAGCCAGACGGAGCATCCGCCTCTACGATACAGATTAAAAATACGGGCAACTGAAAGTCTCGATCATGGTGTGCGGTGTCAGCATGCATGCGAGTTTTGGGCCACGAGTGCACATGCATTTCACATTCAGCTTAGAGGGCGATTCAGCATCTGTGTGCGCCTATCATCAGCGAAACATGTTCGCCTGCAATCCTGGAGGGTAGCGGTCTCAAGACCAAAGTCTTACCCCATCATATTCATCGCTTAACTCCCTAAAACCTCTTGTAATCTGCGACTGATGCTTCGGCTGCTGCGATTGTGGCTTATCCCTCTGCTTCTGCTGCTGCTTCTGCTGCTGCTTCTGCTGCTCGATTGAGCCCCCTGCTGCTGCACTCTGCTCAGCAGCCAGCCTTTGCTGCCTCCGTCGCTCCCTTTGTCTTTGACCTGCATCAACAGGCGTAGCATCAGCAACGACATGGAACAACTATGATGGGACGTGCTTGAGAGAAACACTTTTTTCTCTCTGCCTCTACGTGGGAAAAAAGTGCAACTTTTTACTGCGCTTCAGGTGGACTTGCATTCCAATTGTACCTCTGCTGTACGTCTTCTTCTTCAAGGCTTTCCCCGACTTCCTCTGCCCGTCCCCGTCCTCCTTCTCTGCAGCTGCTTCTTGTTGACGCTTCCTTAGTAAATTCGCAAAGGCTTTGACGCGCTCAGTCTGAGGCGATGCCAAAAACGCAGACTCAAACAAATAGGACTATTAATTTTGTTCAGAATGTTCCTCGCTGCCCTTGCTTAGTCATTTTCGCGTATTTCCCCCCCTTCCGCCTCCCCCATTCCCCTGCTTATGCCAGCTGCCTAAACTATGTCGCGTGCACTCTTCTTTCTCTCAATCATACTTTTGTTTGCCTATGCACCTGTATCGTCTTTCAAATGCGTTGTCTATACTAAAACTATATGTGTGGACACTTGGAGCTATTCCTGGGGCCATAAGCACGAATACCCGCTCACCCTAATCTTAACCTTCCTCGCATCTTCAAGTGCAAATTGCACGATCGGCAGTCTCTCCATGCCCCTCTGTTGCTGCTGCTGCTGCGCTTGGAGATCTCCAGGCCGCAGAAAGAAGCCCCGACTATCTCGGATTGCATGCACCAGCTGTAGAGCTTGTGCAAAGTCGCACCCTAGATCAATGAAACAGAAGCCAAGGGAACGGCGGGGGGCCCCGGGGGCCCCCGAAGTTTCCTTTCGAAGGCGCTCTTTTTTTGGCTCGCGGATCACCGACACCTGCATATGGATCAAAATACGCAACAGAGGGCTGAGCGATACAAACAGCAGCAGCTTAGGAGTGAAATGCGCATGTTTATGGCGGCTCGCAGTCTCTCTCTCTCTCTCTCTCTCTCTCACCTTGGTGATGGCTGCAGCAGCCTTCGCTCTCCACTTTTTCGCACTATGAGCAGTTTTCGTCGAACCCTTCTGCTGATTCTGTTCCTGCTTCTCCTGTGCAAGGCCGTCCTGACCGGCTGTTGCTGCTGTCATGGCATCAGCAGTAGGGGACTCGAAATGGGATTGGAGAATAGGCCCCAACAGCATCGACACCTTCTCCCTTAAGAAGTTCGCATCCACCCAACTGGGCAGATTGCGAATGCATAGACCTGCAGCAAAATACTCAGCTTCGTATGAGGAGAGCTGACCCCAGAGCCTTCGGCAAGCCGACGAGCGAAAAAGCCTCCTAGACACCCCCTAATCCTTGGCATGACTTCTGATCCTCCGCACTGAGCCTTTCCTGCACAACCTTACACGCTGCTGATGTCTCTCCAAGCAGGTTGAAGTCGCAACGTACGTTTTTTGTTGACGAAGATGTTCGGATTCTTCAGCTTCTCCTTCGTTTCGTCGTAGGCCGCCTTCGCCAGTGCCTCATCTAAAGGCCCCAAGCCTTCAAACGGCCTCCTGGGGAGGCCCTCAAAGGCCAAGGAAAGGCCCTTCTTTGTCGCAGACTCCGTAGCTCTGAAGCGTAAAATTCGGAGGTAGGAAGGCAAGACGCCGTCCATGGGATTCGGCAAGTTGACTCTAGACAAGGGGTGCAACGACGCATGCCAAGGACACAAAAAGTGGCATGAAAAACGAACCAAGCTACGCATACACTGAAATCATCGTTGCAAAGCACAAGGTGGATAAAACGGTTCGAGGAACTACGGACCCCGTTCTCACAGCGTCTATGCAGCTACACCACACACATTGTTGGTTCGGAGGCACGACGGCACGCTGTACGTACACCGTGGAGTTCGTTCAACAACAGGGAACAGAATGTCTATGGCATGTTTCTGAACACATAGAAGGACGAGACGCGTTATGATTCAGCATGCTCCCACATTACTTTCCAATAAATCCATGTATCAACATAGACATTCAAGTGGCTTCCGTGCCTGGCTTGGTGCTTCGTTTGGGGAAGGCTCTTGGCCTGTTGACGATCCAGGGCAGGAAGAATCTGCAAGCGTCTACCCCGAAGGAAAAGCGAGGCACCGCAAGCTGCTTCTGCCTGCTGTTGTTGCTGTTCCTCCAAGAGCAGCTCCTGCCCCTGCATGTGCTGCTGCTGTTTTGCAGCAAGCAGATGAGACAGCCTTTTCTGCTGCCGCCCCGACAGCCTCTCTAGTTCTTTTTCATACGCCCTAGAGGCGCCAACGGCGCGCTGAGCTGAGACCTAAAGAGAGGGATCCACCCAAAACGCACAAGGCACGCAAACGTTGCCTCCCCTCCCCGCTAACCTCCCCGTAGTTGTTGACAGCGGCACCAGAACCAAGCCATGCCAGAGGGCGCTGTAGCATAGAAAGTATCCTTAAGCTCAAAGCAGCCCATGCAAGGAAACAGCAACAAGGATAAGAAGAGGAATACGAATGACAGCGATCGAAGCAGTAGCACTCTCACAGCATCAGCGAAGTACACGAAAGCCGCTCCCTTCGCCTCTCCCGCATCATTTTTGACAATAAAGGTCTTCGTCACTGCACCGAATTGTTGCAGAGCTGAAGTGACACTCTCTGCCGTCGCATCAAACGGCAAATTGCGCACAAAGACGGAGTTAGCAAGTTGATCCTTCAGTCTCTGCTGTTGGTCTTCCTGGTGCGGATGGCCATTTCTGTGCTTCTTGTTCTTCAGCGAATGCTGCTGTTGCTGCTGGAGCTGCTGTGCATTAGCCACGTCCCCTTCACCATTCTCAATATCCGCATCAACAAGGCGTTTACGTCGAGCCTGTTGTGGCTTTCGCTCAGACTCTGCATGCTGCTGCTGCTGAGACTCTTCGACATTCTCCTTCAAGGGAGCCGGCCGCCTGCCATTCACGCCGTTCCTGCCATTTGGATGCCTTGGTTTCTTCCGTGCTGCTTTTTGGAAGCTTTCATGACCTACCGAAGGAAGCCTCTTCTTATGGGCATGTTTAGGGGCCTTGCCAGCCCCTCCTCTGAACGAAGGGCCCATGGCGATCAGAGGAAACAAAGAGGCGCGAAGAATCCCACACAGGAAGATATTCAATACATGCACGTCATCCCCTGAGAAAAGATGTCTGTTCCTCACACGGCCTCTGTTGACGAGGTATACGCGGGGTACGATCAAACGCGATACGCCCTAAAACAGCAGCAACTGCTGCTGACTTTCAGTGACTTCTGCGAGAATTCACTTGAGGCGGGAGACAGGGGGGCCCCGAAGCGCAGTGAGTGGGGAGGGAGGGGGACCTTCAATCAGTACGGAGAGTCCTTCCTCTCTGAATCCAAGTACCGAAGGCAGAAAATAGCACAAAAAGGAATTCGGTGTCAAAAAAATGGCAGGGAAAATGAACCCATGGAGAAGCTCCTTAGCTGGAAAACCCATAAACCCTTCGGGCCCCACAAGCTATTGAAAGCTGGCTTGCGGGGCCCCTTCAATGAAAAAGTAGAGAAGAGGACTACCAGAAGATTTTTACTCCTCCGAGCTTGATTAGTGGACCCAAAGTAATACATTATAATTACAAAGCCGAGCCTCCGGTAGTTAGTAGGAAACGAATCGACCGACACGGCAGTACGGGCGCCGGGGATCGAACCCGGGATCTTTCGCGTGTGAGGCGAACGTCATAGCCACTAGACCACGCCCGCATGTCTGGCGTGCAATTTGTGGACGGAAGAGCAGTGACATATTACGACACTTACACGAACGCCAGCTGTCAAAAGCACAGCTATACAGAACCTGCGCGTGCTCTCCAGACTTCTGAAGGCACCTTCAGTTCACCTTACGCCGTCCAAGTCCTAATAATCCTTCTATGTGCCATCGTGAGGGAAAGACCTGCAAGCGAGAGAGGTATCATACATCCCTTTCTCTGGTACTTCATTCAGAAAAGTGAAGGTCAGAATGCGCAACCCTACAAGAGCTTTGAGCGGGGTATGCGCATTCGTTGGATTGATTGCGACCCCTGTCAGAAAGCCACTTCATGTTCTGCCAAAAACTGCGCCTTCGCAGTCGACAGCCTGTAAAATGGATGGAATTCCAGAAAGGTCTGTCCTCCCGCATTGCGTAGCCACCGAATGAAAAGCTCTCAAATCATATCGGAGAGAAAAGCGCTGATGAGCTGCCCCAGAGAATTAGAAAGGGTGCTAACCTAAATTTAGCATGCAGAGTAACAAGTACACACTTTTACCTGCACCAGTCATATTAAATTAGGAATCCTTATGGAATTGACTCTATGGTCTGTTTGTACATCGTGTCTACTGTAGATTAGTAGTAACTCGCCACAACCAGACGCAATGCTGTGTGCGAGTGCGCTAGATGCTGTTCGCAACTATCTGTAAATGCCCGGGGTATTTAAGGTGTGCAGTTGATCGCACCAAAACTGCCTCTCTCTTCTTTTGGGGATTTGACAGGGGCAGGCAGGGAAAGAAGGAACTCCTCGAGGAACAATCAAGAATCTTCTGTTCAAACATAACAACTGTCTATTAACTTTGGATTGAGTCTGGAAAATAGTTTCTTCCGGTAACCTAGAGCAAAAAATACATTCTAGGTGTATATACACCCCAAGCCATGCCAAAACACACGGGAAAGTTGTTATGTCACTCTATTCGAGGTCACCTCTGGGTGACACCTCGATCTAGACTCATCAAAGTCTCATTGCAAAGCCTAGCCGTTCTTCGCAAAAAAACTTCCTCCTTCTGGCAGCGCTACTGCCAGTTCCAACAAGAGGAAAGAGTGGCATCTGATACGCACTACAGCACCCTCAAAGAAATTCGAGCATTCACAGTTAGACGCACGTAGCATCTGGCGCACACAACATCGCGTCTTTTCGTATTCAGCCAGCTGTGCTGTGCAATAAACACGAAGTACGCATAAAAGAACTACGCAGTCAGTCCTTCACTAATATCTAATTAATATTTGAGGTGTAGTAGCTAAAGCCTGGGCGTAGCTGGGCCTGTTACACTACCCCCTGCTGTAAAGCACACGCCTTCGTGCTCCACACCATTACTCACGCATCTGCACGCACGACAACAAACCGGTTTCTGCCCTATCATCACTACCTGTTTAAGCAAGAGCGCGAAGACAGTGCAAATCAGAAAAGCAAATGTGTGCATCAACCACTAAAGTGAGTTCGATGAGGAGGAAGACGTACAGTAATCAACAACGAACAGGGGACCAAGCCAGCACGGCTTTAGAGGGGTGACGGCTCGCTGTGGCTGGCGCTCTGAAAAGTGTTAGCCTTCTGTTACGAAAAAAAACGGAGGTGAAGTAAAAAGCGGAAAAGGGTGTCCAAGCACGCACTGGTGCAGCAGTGCCTTCGCTCTTTCTAGAGCGATGCCCGCATCCCAGTAGAGCCGATGCGTACCGCATAGTAGATTTCGAAACCCCTAAGAGGCGCAAGCAGGAGAACACAGACAAGATAACTGGGGATGCCTGCGCACAGAGCTGAGCGTGTGGAATATACTTAAGTAATGAACGGAGCTTTTCACGCAATACTCGCTGTGGAATCTTACAATTCCAGGCATAGCGTACGTTGGGGAAGGACAGCTACCAAGAAATGCTACGAATATGGTCCAGGGCAAGCAGCGTGTTAAAAAACAGAGCAGCAAAGCTTCCAGCAGTCAACGAAGCTTGCAACAAGTGTTAATCAAAAGGTGATAGAAAAAGACTTTTCATCTGCTGTGTACAAAATGGCACAGTGGTGCGAAGTCCGGCTGTGCCAACGACCGAGTCCCCGAGTTCTTATGGCGTGGAATCTTATGCGATTGTGCATCTGTTCTCCCGTAATAGATGAATGAGCGTCAAAAGCATAAGACGCACGCAATTTGATGAAGACCGAGTCGTCACAGACAAGAGCCGTTGTGCTACATAGTGAAAAACTGGGACGCCGCAAGAGCGCGTCGGCTGCCATATTGGGGATGCCTTTAGTATACTGTCTAGTGAATTCAAACTGTAAAGGGAGTCCAAGGTCACCAAAACTCTCGAGTCGTCCTAGTCCAAGAAACCTTTCCTAAGGTCCACTAAAGTCTGATGCCCGCTTGGACAGTAAAATTACCCCCACATCAATGTTCCAGCATTTTTTCACACCTCACACCGCATAAAAATCCATTTTTGCACTAATTACTGCGGATCGTTCTTGGTACGACGATGGGTATAAGAGGGAAGAGTTTCGTGTTTTGGGGAGCCCGCTGCCCGCTGGAAAAGAATAACGCCCACTCATACATCAGCAGGACCAGTTCTTAAAGAAAATGACCCTCATATTCGAAGCGGCTATGCGGCGGCCGATAAGCGTCCTGGTTGAGGCATCAGCCGGTCCTGTCCAGGGAACACACTGCGTTTTGTGAAGTAAAGCAATCAAAACAGCAGTGATCCCGTCAAACCCGAGGATGAAATTTTGGTTAGAAGATTTAGGTCTACAGACCCTCCCAACGTCCAGGCGGCTGTTGTACGGGATAAAGGCCACGCCTTGATTGCTACAGCACCACCAAATATGGCTCAGTTGCTCCAGCCAAGCATGGAAGTCTCCAAAGCACTATGTTTGCATGAACGCGAAACATTTATCTGCCTTCACATACCATTGTTTGTCCCACAACAGCTGAGGCACGCGGCGTAGGTGCTCGTGAAGGTTTCGGCTGATTTTCAAGACGTCGTCCATGTAGACAGCCATCCACCCCTCTTTGACGAGCCAACGAAATTCCGGATTAGGTTGACGTCCCTGTCAGCTGGGGTATTTCCAAGTCCAGAAGGCACGCAGAAACTCTAGCACTCGTGAGTGTGAGTGTGGAAGGGAGCCTTGTACCTGCCATCGGGGTGGATGAGGCTGTGTAAGGCGTCCTTGAAGTCAAATGCCAAGTAGACTGTCAATTTTTTCGCAAATGTGACTTGTTGGAAACTTATGCATTGCAATAATCTTGTTCAAGGGCTTAAAGGTGGCTCACATGCGCCATCTTCTGCCCTTTTCTGACAATAACACCCGGTTATGCCCTAAAACGCTTATCGATACCTGCAGCTTGCCTTGGTTCAATAGCTCATCCGCCTGCCACTCAATCCCCTCCGCGCACCGTAAGCTTTTTTCCTCCTAAATAGTGACTGGAAGCGTCATGGATTCCCTATAGATATCATGACGGACACGCATTCGAAAAACTTCAGTGAGTTATGGCGTGCCTGCAAAACCCGCCTACGCAGTGGATATATTTCACCAATACGAAACCACCCTGAGGCCAATGGACAGGCAGAGCGCATCAACCACACTCTCCTGCAGCCTTTGCAACTTCATGGACTCAAAACTCAAGTGCATGACTAAGCAGTTTTATAATAAATTGATACATTCGTTAATCGTTGCTCCCCCGCAACCCTGGTATGCACCAAGGGGCCCTGCTGCAATGCAGGTCTGGACTAAGCAGAGCCCGTGGTCAGCAGCCCACTTACCAGCGGAGCTACTTAAATAACAGCTAACCAGCGCACGCGAGCGTATACGCAAAGCTCAAGCACTGGAGAGGCAAGCACGCAATTATGATAGCGTAGGTCGGCTGTGTGGTTAGGGCTTCAAAACTTAATCATGGGGATTTGACACGCTTTAAGAAATGCGTCATATGCTTACTAGATGACAGGGTGTTGCCCAGGTGGCTCGAATCATTTGCCATCTTCTCACAAATCAATTCTTCTTTTATTCTATTAAGAGATCCAAAAGTTGGGACCGCCACTAGGCTATCAATATTGACTTCCCCAAAGTGTTTCAAGACTTTACAAATTGTTCGCGAGCATTGTCACGCAGGCAAGTGACCCGTGTGGAGGCGGAGGGTCCATGGAGAGAGTCGTAGAAATGTTGGATTGTGGGACTTTCGAGTGCAGGGAAGACACTAGACTGAAGTTTCTAGTGAAATGGGGTGGAGAACGCTCATTTCAGAGTTTGACAAACGAGTGCTTGTAACAACCTTCAATGCCGGTAGGAGAACTTGCGGCTCTGTTGGTTTACAGCGCTAGTCGCCATGGGCAGTGTTCCTCGCGTTTTTTAAAATTATTCTTCTTCCCCAGCGCATGCTTTGCCTTGAATAGCTACCTTCATCTGGGGATACTGCTTGAAAAGGTACCGGTTAATGTTGCGATGTTCTGTGCACCCGCATTTATGTGGAGGCACCCTCAGCTGTGCACTCCCTAAATTCCTTTCTCATGCTATGTTTTAGGCTTGAATATTAAATATGCTAGATGGAAGGGCTGCAATTGCACGCTGGCATGCCTCTATTAGTCACTGAGACACTGCCAAACAAGTGTGTATGCAAGGTCAGTTCTCCCACACTTTACTTGCCTTCTGTTTTCTTGTAGCAGAAGGCTGACACATTTCAGCGCTCCCACAACATCGATTCATGCACGGCCACCGTCATCTTGGATTGGTGCCTCGTTCCTCATTGATTAGCCTACTTGTCTTTTTTTGTTTCTATTTATCTTTGCCGGCTTACACACAGTTTTTCTTATTTGCACTGCTTTAGCGTTTCTGCCTGCCTACAATGTGGCACGAAAGGAAGCTTTGCAGTGTCCTGCACGCAGTTGGCATCGTTGCAGGGCCCAAAAGCAAGGGTTTGTTTTTCAAAATGGAGGAGGCAAAGATGTAGGGGGCTATGCTACACAAGAAAAGTTTCACCTGCGCTTGGTATATTTTATTATTCAGGAAAAAATAGTTTATTTTCATGTTTGTCTATCTTGCTGATGTCAGAGTACTACTAGGTCTGTACAACATACCATTTTGTGTGCTTCCTATTTGCAGCTAGCTGCAAATGCTCGAAGCGCTTGGAGAGTGTAGCAACGCGCATCCTAGCTGTCCCTCTATTCTTCTGTCAGGAAAGCCGATGGGCGCCTTGAGGGGAAGGATCTGTTCATGAGAAACCCTGAGCAAATTTCTGTCAAATGTATATTGTGTCGGGAATGAAGTATCTCCCCATGGGGAGCTTACACGTAGCATGATAGAGAATAAAGACGGAGCGTTACGTGGGTGAATCTGATCCCGCGCGTCTGAACACAGTGCCCATGCCTACGTTATTTTGCATGGGTGCCTCTCTGCTGAAAAAGCTCCTCTCCGTAATGTGTAGCCCCTTAACATGATCTAGTTAATTTTGGCTCCAGAGGCAGTGCCGCAGACAACGTCTTGACGATTGATTGTGGTGAGATAAGAAGGTCCGTTATGGCGTACTAGAAGGTTTGGCAGCTTTCCATAGCTGTCTGCCGCAAGTTTTCTGCAAAGTGTGCGGCGGAGGGACGGTGAGCAAGCTGTTAGACTGGAGGAAGTGCGCCTTGACCATACAAACAATTGTAATCCCAAGCCTCACTCACCAGGGGAATGAATCTTCTTGTATAAAGTTATGATGTGGATCGCCACATATAATAAAATGCCGAAGGAGTGAACTCTTCTCCCACATTCTCTTGCTGGGTGGAAGAGCATTAAGGGAGCTGTGGTAGCCTGTGGATAGATACCCCCTTTGTGTACGTCCCTTATGTAATATATGTATGCTGCATTTGGATCTTCCCGAAGGTTTATTTGAAGTACTTGACTCAATTTGGTATATGTGAGCATAAGAATGCAAAATTGAAAGCAGGTTCACACATGCAAAAGGGCCACGAGAGCCCTGCACGCATGCAGCAGCACCTCTCCTAGGCCGTCGCAGATAGCGCTCAAATAACTTCTGTCGATCTTTGACAGATTTCATTCATTGTGTGAACACTACGAGTGAGCAGACTAAGGAGGCTTTGGGGCCTTTTAGCCGCTCTGAATAGCCTTTCTGGGTGTTTTCCGTGGCGTCGGTGATCCCGCCCAATCTCAGCATACAGAGGTATTTAAAATGATCTTTATGTCCCAAGGATTTCTCTGGAAGCTGTTTCCGCGGCTTTCCGCGGATAAAGTGAGATGGATGCGGCTCTACTGTATTTCAGCGTTTGGCGTAGGTGCGTGGACACGGCAAAGCACTAAAAACGTTGCTACTGTTCACCCAATCATCGCATTCCTGCCTCATTTTCTGCGTTTTACTAGACTGAGGTTGGTAGACATTACCCACTTGCAGCAGCTTATGAATCAATATTCGATCTGAATGCCTGCTGCCTCCTGTGCATATAACACTATCGCGTTCCTCTACCCTGTGTGCGTGTACGTACTTCGTTTGCACGAGAGAAAATGGTCCCCTGCTTCCTGCTGCTCATAACAATAGTATTTTAAATAAAGTCTATGCTTTGATGGTATTGAGGAGAAGACATATCTGTACATGAATAATTTTTACAATGCAGCACTTCTGCTGGTTTGGAATTGTACGTGAATGTGCATGCATAGGTAAGTATGTCTATATATTTGTATATGTATATGTGTGTATATGTGTGTGTATGTCCCACATATGTGCACAGCCTGCTGCGTTTGTCTACACACTTTTGGCATACTTAAAGGGGCCATTTCCGTGGTTTCATGTTGAGTGCCTGTTGGGCATCACTTCATTCTGCCCTTTCACTATCACTAGCATCTAGTAAAGACAGACATGCACGCACAGCATTCTTGCATTATATGCGAAGAGTGCTGCGCAAAGATGTATATCTGCATCTTGTTATAACATGGCACATGCATACGTCGGTACACACTGTGAAGGTGTACATGTTTACTCCCATTCTCTATGTGTAGAGAGTCGACTTGCTATCTACTCAGTTGGCTTCACTTTGGTGCCGCAACTCTTGCATTTCTGTTTCAGGGGTCGCTGCAGCGACTTGGGCCGGTCAGCAAGACTACAGCTCTAAGAATATGAAGCCCACGTGGTGGTACAAGCAGCACCTGAAGAGCCTTCATCGGCGCGGTGTCATTTCTGATGAAAAGTATACCCGTCTCCTAAGTGGCGCTGAGATGTGAGACTGAAGCACTTGCAAGCCCGTCCTAGGGTTCGTTATTTCAGAAGGCATATGCACGCACTTTATCGGAGGCATGTGGCCATCCTGAAAATCTGTGACCTGTGCTACGCCAGTCGTACCTGTACGCGTACACCACATCTGTCTGCTTGTGCGTGTCGATCCATACTTGAGCATGTATAGCCGTATACTTGTGGGCATTTCCGCATGGTGGCTTCTGCGGCGGCAGCAAACGCTGTGTGCTAGTCAACGAACCCCCTAACTTATTTTTATAGCGAGCCAGCCAAAATGCAGCACAATACCGAGTCCACAAGCGTGTCGGTTTCTCAATGTAAATATTGACGCTAGTTTTTTGAGGCTTCGCAACTGGCGTCATGGGTGAGAACTTTGCAATGGATCCGCTTGTCTAGGATTTAGGGTCAATCCTTGGATCACTAATTTACCCCAGGATCCATATTAGGGTCTCATTCTTTAGCGGAGATAGGTGTTTGGTTTAGCTGTTAGTAAGAACAGTCATAGATGAGCGGTACGGATGCATGGCCTTTGAAACAATTACAAATTTTCGACTAATCTAGTTATATTTGTCGTAAGAATTAGTCAAGAGGTGTATATTTAATTTGCCTGTTCGTAACCGCGAATACCAGCCTTATTGTTGGTTCTGCCTGCGACTGCACTTGGGTTTAACCGGTTTTGCGGTTGAAGGGTGCTATATGTTGTCTGAGTTGTGAGACAATTCTTGAGCCCCTGAAGCACTCGTTTATCGCAGAGTAGCATCAGATTAATGCGACAAGATGCAGTGTTGTGTGGTGCGTGTGTTGTACGCCCTGGAAGCTCTGCGCAACTAGTGAATGCTTGCATTGCTCAGTGGATGCAGCACCGCGCACCCAGTTGTCCCCCTCTCCTCCTATCAGGAAAGCTGAAAAGCGCGAGCTAGAGGAGGGAGCTTTTTTGAGAGGCATTGAATAACTGCCCAATAAACACAACTGTCTGTTCAGCTTGTATTGAGTTTGGAAATAAGCGTCTCCCAACAGAGTCCTTGAATGTAGCGTTGCATGCTGCTGTAATTCTTGAGCAGCCGTCACATATGAACACAAGATGTCGTTGTACATGCATACCCATATAGATCCATGCATAGAAGTACAGCCTTCTAATCGATGATGCTACGTAATGGGCGCCTGTTAGACAACGTATGCAGTCCTTAAATAAAGTAAATAAAGTAAACAGTTACGTACATTAACCTCAACGAGGGTTGGTACTCTCTACAGATGGCCCCCAATAATAGAGTTTTAACAGGTAGAAGGCGCCGCGGTTTGCCTTTCTGTGCATAAGCATGAGTACGTGCATGCAAACAGACGTGCATGGTATTCATCTCTTGCGGAAAGTAAGATCACGAGGCTTTTGAGTATGCAGATGTGCATGTAGTTCGTATGCACGTCTTAATGTACGCGTATATCTATATACACAAAAGTATGTCCAATGGTTATATGTGTGTGCGCACTACCTGTGACCCTGCATGCATATTCAGACGCATGCACATCCACAATGAAATACATCTCAAAAAGTATATTCAGCATGAATATATACACAATCGTACATAAACAGAAGCAGGTGTAAGTGCATGTGTGCGTATACGCAAGTACAATATACACTTTATTCTGTACCCTCTGTTGGACTCCCCCCAAAACTGGCGTTTTCGGCTCAGCCGCCGTGGCCCTCTAGAGAGAACAAGGCAGACAAGTCGAAACACTGGCCCTTCGGAGGTCTTGATAAATCTCACTGCCTTTTCGATGGCGCATTTAGCATACGCATGTTTCTAAATACAACCTTTGCACGTGTGCACACCTGTTCGTACGACGAAAGGGTAAACGTTCGGTGGGAGCCTTTAGCGTATGAGCTGAGCGAAGAGCAATGTATGCAATGACTACCTACGCAAAACCATGAAACGTATTCCCTGTGTGAGCCAAATTAAATGGCTCCCGGTCAATCCATCCATCTCGTTTCCAGTGAGTCCTTGCCTTCACACGTTCCCCCATCGCCCTCCTTCGTATAAGCTGATGTGGGTTTGCACGTCTCCCTCGAGGTCCTCCCGCTTTCTTGCTTCCCTCTCTCTCTGACATGGAGAGGCAGGTGCCGTTACGGCTGTATATGTGATGCCTTGCGTGAAGCGTTCGCTGGGGGGAGGCCGTCTCCTGGGGCCTGAGAGCGACCGCCCACGAAGTAGCAGGGGTACGACAGGGGGTGCAAACACCAGATACACCTCGAAGGGTATGAGATCCTCTTGTGCCACTTTATTAAGGACATTGGCCCTGTGCGCCCTGCTTTCCGCCCCTTCTGCTAATGCTGATTTTGCCTCTCTTTTTTCATTCAAAGCCGAGCAAATAGCAAAATTTGCAAAGGCACTCATTTCTCGATGGGCATACACTGCGGCCTTGACCAGTCGCTTTAGGCTTACGAAGTACATGGCGTTCATCATTTCATTGTTGCAAAATAGCAATTTGTCACCCTTTCCTTCCCACCGTAAGTATATCGCCCGTAAGCTATCTCTGATGCTCTCTGCGTCTTTCACGTGATGCAGGAGCATTTCTCCAGCCCTCTGTACAACTAAAGGGTCCCCCGAACCCACTAGGTATGAATCTGCTTTCTCCTGTAAAATAACCTGAGTCGTCAGCAATTCTGCCCCGATCGCTTGAAACTCCAGAAAGCACTGCTCCAGTGATTGGCTCCAATGACCAGGTAAGTTCTTTGGATTTGTAGCCTTGCTGAGATCTTTCTCTTTCCCAAAAGGTTTTATTATACTTGCTGAGCCCTCATCTTTAGCAGTGGTGGTGGTCCATGGGGGTGCACTGTGGCCCTGAGAGGAAGACGCGTGGTGCCCCCTTGGAGAGTGTCGCCAAAAAAAATAATTGCCTCCTGGGCTATGCGACTTCTTCTCATTCCATACGTGGAGAAGCTCGTCTCTGTGCATGCTGTGCTCCAGATGTTGCTGCACCAAAGGTGATTCCCACGCCTTCCTCATTGCAAAAGAAAGCTCAGCGTAGTCCGGTTCCCCCGCAGGTCTGACGGGGGGAAGCCTCAAGAGGCAGTCCTCATCTTCATCTTGATATGCAGCCGTTGGAAACACCTTAGTGCTATTTGTTGAGGTTGGTGGTGGAATGAGCTGCATTGCAGGCACTGCACCGCCTGCTGTGGGAGGGGCCCGGGGCAATGAGGAGGCGACTGCGCATGCGGGGACTAGAGCATCCGGTGATTCATCCGGGCTACCATTTAGCTGCCGGATGCCGTTAGGAATCTCTGATTGAGCAGAAGATGACATCATAGAGATGCGAAAGAGATGACGCTGTGGTGATGAGTGCCTGCTCTGTTGCGCGTGCAGCGGAGATGTGTATTCAATGGAGAAAACGAGAATATAGTACGAGAAAACCCCTGTTCTTATATTAGAAGACGGACGGAAAGGGAAGCCTTACGGCACGGAGTAGTCACAAGTGTTGTGCAGCTGTATGCATGGGGGCCAGCATGTGAAGGGCATGACAGCGGTGACCCTAATGATATGAGCGAAACAGTCTGAGCCACTGTTGTGCAGCTTCAACTCTGAAAGCAGAATTCGCATCATTTCCCTAGCAAAAGTTACATGGAGCAACGTACATCCCCACTGCTAGCTGAGGTAGCGTTGCGGCGTGTCCATACCAGTGGTCAATCACTGTGAATCGCTCACCCCAACTGGCGTTCGCTCTCCCCATATATTCTCATATTTTGAGAGATCCATTCGTAAATAAAAATGATCTAAGTTCTAGTTGTGCACTTTACCCGGGAGTCAGCGAACACGTTGCATTTGTCCGTGTATCGGCACCTCTCGCAAACAACCACAGAACACTGCTCGGAAAATGCCAACAAACACGAACCACTGTACATTTCCTTCTTTTTGTTGCCCCGCCTATGTCTGCATGCATATATTTATTGTACTTGAACTGCACCACTCAGCGGCCCCGTCATAATGGATCTCTTTCTTTAAACGCGTGAGGTTGAGTTTTATATAGCTATACAACACTGTAGGAAGCTCACTGACTTATGGTGGACCCAGACGCTGACTTGAAGCTACGCCGCATCGGTTTCGCACTGGTAGCACCAAGTCATGCAACCGCTACAGCTGCATGCCCAAGCACAGGCGCCTTTTTTTTCGGCCTTGAACGGAGCTTTTCCGCCAGAGCAGGCTACAAAGAAGTCCAGGGTGTGATTTAGAGCATCATGCCAAGTTTCGTATTCTCACCATAGGCCAAAGCCTCTACACGAATACGGTGTGACGGCTCAAGGAAATCAACGAACTCGTGGGCCAGGGCTGCTTGTGTACTCCATGCAAAAGTCATCAGCATGTTGCTAATGCAGTGCATCTTACCCTCATCCGCAAAGCTACCTACAGGAAACTGCTGCCAAAAAGCCCGTCAATGCGTAGAGTGGGTGCGCGATCTTCTAAAAGAGAGGCATTCCCCAAAGGCATGAGGCCCAGCAGTAGTACGAATCGACAAAGCTACAGGGCACTCCACTGACCTCACGGCTACTTACCGTAGAGGTACATGCCGTATGTCCATAAAGTGGAAAGATAGCGCTGTTATACATACCGAAAAATAACGATCGAAGCATGCACGCAGTTGTGGCCCTCTTGTCAAATATTCACCATATGCAGAGCTGTCTCAGGGTAGGAAGAGCTGGCTTGACGCAATACTCATGTAGTCCTGCCTAGACGCGCAAGCTCTCTCTACCTTCCTGCATTCCATCCAGCACTCCATGCCTGCTAATCAGATGGTAGTGGGGGGAGGAGTAAATATTTCTGTGGATTCTAGGGATTTATTGAGGTTAAATGCGTTAGTTTTATTACCGATTGTATATGCACTCCGTAAGCACGGTGCCCCTGCATATTCCTACAGGACTAGTGGCACTCGAGCACGGGTAAAAAGCTCGTCAAAATGAACTTTCTCTGTAGCGCTGTCCCCTAACATGGTCAGTCATTCGTCTAGAGCCACGCTTCATGTCAATGCTGGATAAGTTTGGCTACATCAATGAAGTTCGCCGTGTAGATCTACTCTCTGCGCGTGTTGGTGCGCCCTAAGTTATCGCACTACATGCTATGTAGGCGTAACGGTGGCTGTACACTCCACACATATATAGACATGGGAACCTGTATGGCGGAGCTGGCCCATCAAACTGTTCCGTTTCCCTACACTTTCGATTACACATCTGTGCTTGCATATGTTGCTCCTTACATGCCTCTTTACATGCCCATTCATGGTAAAAGTGCGTCTAGGCCTCTAAACAAACATGTATGTGAAATATGAACAAATAGCGTAAAACTTATATGCATGCTGTACGTCGTTGAACACGAACAAGGCCACAATACTGGTGTACCATGTAATGTTGATAAAGAGAAAGATACGTACATTCGGCCTGCGTAGTACGTACACAGGGGCTAGCCAGATAGCACTATACCCAGAAACTATTGAAAACCCTCATGTTTCTCTCCGGGTGCGGATGGATAGGTCTCGACTCGGAGATCGCTCAAGTTTTCGTTTATTTAGTTGGTGCTAACCACCAGAAATTTGATTTTGTGTGCATCTATGGCGGCAAGCGCTGGGGAGCGGCTCACGAGGACCCCCCACATGTAGGAGCTGAACCAAAGGTCTGTATACGCGTTGGGATAGTAATTTCTGATGACTATGGGGTGAGGCACAGGCAGCAGGCCAACCATTGTGGTTTTCTGCAAGAACTCGAGAATCTGAGACTGATCAATTAAACCCTTCTCGGTGCACTCTGCCTCCACCTGTAAACACGAGCACGGCACAGAAAGGAGATCGGAATACGCACCATCAAGAAAATTAGCCTCAGGTTTCTGGATGGTAAGGTCGCAAAGCAAGGCCAAATGGCAAGGATTAAAGAAGGCATACGAAAGAGGATACACATTCTGAGAAAGAAAGAGCAGATAATACAAAAAAAGACAGCACCGGCGGGAGAGCACAAATGAACAGGGAGCTATAAGGGCCAGCCAACGCTAGTCCATGTGCCGCCCGTGGTTGCGTTTGTGTCCCCGCAAGGCTAAAGCGTAGCGGCTCCTGAGTATATCCTGAATTAGGCAGCATCTCGCTTCTCGGGTACAACAACAGGCTGTACATATGAAGGCCATCTAGCAAAGACACTTCGAAACGCTAGGCATATACACGGAAACGTGTACAGACTTAGGCTTACCAGAGGCAGCAAATGCTGAATCAGCCGAATGGGTGTGCGCAGAGGGCCCCTGCTCTTCGCTTTCCACTCCTCTAGCCATTCCTGAGAAGGTACCCAATCCTGGGAGGCTCCCTCCCCGTCCTGCGATTGTTGCTGCTGCTGCGAGCTGCTGCAGCGGCTGTTCGTGCCGCTTACGCCATTAGAGGCTGCTCCTAGGTCTGTCCTCGGGGTGTGAGCTCCTGAGGGGCCTCCTGAGGGGGTGCCCTTCAGATGGGGAGAGGCGTCTAGAGTGAGAGCTTCCAGATCCAGAAAGATCTCTTTGCGGCGCAAAATCGAATAGACCAAGCGCTGGTTGCCCTAAGCGACGCACAGAGAAGGCCCCCCAGACACATTGTCGATAATGTATAAATATGTATATGCATGTCTAAGTCTATGCAGATCGTTGTGTTAGCCGGTTTACACGGGGAAGCCCTGGTAACTACGAGCTAAGGAAAGACGCATGCGAAGTCGATATATCGAGGCCCACAGAGCTTCAGCGCTGGCGCGAAGGCACTCTAAAAAATCGCGCAGCAGACTTCAAGTGAATCCTGTGTTGACCATAACCTAAGCATCTGACCTCGTACTGATACTGGAGGAGGTTGTTAAAGGTGTCGACGAGGAAGAGGACATCCTGGCAATGAAAGGGAGCCTTAAATAGCCAAGAGGGCTTGCTAAGGCGTTCTAGGAGGTGCAGCAGCTTCACACAGCTTTCCCAGCCAAACGTCTTCACGAATGGCGATATGTTGCAGAGCGCTGTCAGTAAGCTATTGATCAGTGCCGGGGTATGGCCAGGCCCCTGTGCGAGCAAACAGCAGTACAACGGACTCGAGAAGTTACTAGGCTTCTATCAAGACCCTCCTTTTTCTTCGAGTCTCTAGACACTTGAACGACTCAAACCATTCATTGGAAGCCCACAATGTGGAGCTGCAGCCCTAGGAGTAAGCGCTCTCTGTCTCTCCCTCTCTCCCGCTTTCTCTCACAGCAATTGCGTCCATGACTACGCGATGCACGACGAGGCAAAGGAGGTCCGCGTAGGAGCCTTGGAAGAGGGGCAGATCCAAGGGAAACTGCTCTTTGAACGGCATGTTTAGGCGAACGGCGAAGTCTCTCTCTGCGAGATTGAAGAACGGCAACAAACGGATAGCCCACATTCCCTATACATAGATATTCATATATATTTAACTTGGGAAGAAGGCCAAGCAAGACATTACGTGCAAAAGGAGCACCCACAGCACATCCCCGACGCGATAAATGTATATATATATATACATGCAGGCACGCGCGAAGCTGTCATCTTCGGCATACACTGCGTGCAGCGGCTGCACACCGCTGGTAGCTGGTCCTTACTCACCGCAGGAGAGGTGTAATAATATGAAAGAACAGGTGTGCAAGAGGCCGACACGGCAGCTGCCAGGCGTCTTGGTGCTCTGTTGCTTGTTCACTGAGGCACTGCTGTCTTGCAGCAAAAATAAAAGAGGCGTCAACAACGCATTCGTATCCGTTTTGGAGCACAAATACCGCAGAAACTCCTGAGCCGCAAAGCACATGCCCTAGACCGAATATGCAACATGCTGCGATCTGTGTGCAAGACGGGAGAACGAGTTCGCTCGGCAAAACAAACAGCCAGGCAACGCCCCATAGGGACGGATAGACATAGACGCATCAGGAAGCGCTTACGTTGTTTGTGGTAAGGAGGTGCCAAAAGAGGATGAGGAGCTCTTGATAGAATGGAATCTGCGATTTGGAAGGATCACAGGACATATACACATGCACATACATACACATATATACACATACACACATGCATATGCAAACACATGCACATACACACACACACACCTACACATACATACACACACGCATACATACATGCACAAAGAAAATGTATATATATTTATATATTTATGTATAACATCGTCGGGAAAACAGAGAGTCTGTACACCACCCCAAGGAGACGCAGCAGGAGCGATGGAAGGCGTTTTTTATGGCTTCACGCGCGATGAAAGCAGCCAGCTCACATGCACATGCACACAGAGACAGAGCAGTAGTAGCCACAATCCTCTGTAGTGTGGATGCATGCTGGCAGTCTTTTGGTGCAAATGCATCTATACTGGATCGCATAACAGGAGGGGGGGGCGCTCTACCCCGCCGCATTCCACACAAGCCTGGACTGAATCGGAAAGAACGCATCATCATATGATACAAATATCGCATCATCGTGGGAAGTGCACTGCGCAAACACCGATTCCCGGACTGGCAGACATGTGGATATACACATGCATGCAGTTGACGAGAGAAGCATAACTGAATCAACAAGAACGCACCGATGAACCTCTACGCACCACTGCGCATCGAGAAGCCTCTCCGCTAGACAGTGTGCCTCAACGAGGCGAGCTCTCTCACACAATGAACACACTAATATTAGAGACAGCAGCAGAAGCAGAAGCAGCAGACAGAAGCAGCAGCTTGGCACCCACAGCTTTTCTGCTTTGCGGCAATCGCGTTCTCTTTTCGTCTACACATGTCTTCAGGAGGCGCAGCATGCCCTCAGCAATAAGCGCGAATTCGGATTCGTCTCGCAGTCCAGAGAGAACCCGTCTAAAGACGTTGCTGCAGCTGCAAGGGCCACCAGGGGAGCACCAATTACCACAGCGGCGTGCATGTGCAAATAGGGGGATAAATAGCGGCTAAGCAGGACAAAAGGCAGGCAAAAATCCCACATGGGCAGCAGTCGGAAAAGTGTGCAGCAGTCTCCAGGTGAACACGATTGTCGGGGTAGGAGGGCGTTTGTTTTGCAGCAGTGTCAGGAGGCAGCGACGCGGGAGAGGCCAGAGCGAGCTCCCCTACACGGGCAGCTATCTATCTCTGTATGTGTGCATGTTTATACACGCCTAGGAATGGAATTTAGATAGCCGTATAGCGAGGTGCATGCAGAACGACGTACGGGGCTGGGGCGGACACTTCTGGAGGATCTCCTGAGGGGTGAGGGAGGAGTGCGCGCAGACAGGCAGGCACACACGAGAGAAAGCATGGGGTAGGAAAACTTTTGACCAACGGTTTCAAGACGGAGGAAGCAAGCAGACGGCCTTTGAGAAATATGCGGAGGAGGCACGCCTCCGCATGCCCCAGGCACGTAGGATGCAAACATCAAAATAGCCAAGAGAGAGGCCCTATTAAGGGGGGAAAGAGCGACAAAGCGAATGAGCTGAACTTGAGATCAATGCCTCCCTCCCCCCCCTACACGTTCTTTCAGATAGAATAGATAGAATGCACAATTTTGGGGAAAAGCCGCTGCAGTGGGGTCGCTCAATCACCAACATACAATATACATCGCTTGCAGGAGTACAGAAAAGCATCGCACATCCTGGCTACCAACCCTTTCCCTGAAACACGCCGGCAAAGGCTGTAGAGCCGATGCTTTCTATCTTTATGCGCGAAAGGCGTTCCTTTCTCCCGATGCTCGTCCATAGGACGAAGAGCCAAGACGTTCAGCCTCCCCACACACATGCATCTGTATCTATATCTACACATATATACATCCATGTAGAGATACGAGTCTTCTAGAGAGCAGCTGACCTGCTGCAGACGCCTCCGAGAAGACGGACGGATTGTAATCCAGTAGCACAAGAAGCAACTCGAGAGCCGCACTCACGAATTCTTCTGGTTCCGACTTGCTGAAGAGATTTCCCAAAGGCAAACCCTGAGTCTCACACCACGACACCAGGTCGGTGTATGCGTGAGTGTAGCTTGTTCTGACGGGCAGAGGGAGCGCAGGCACGCCGCTCAGCCTCAGGCAGACAAAACATGCCCCTCTCCCTCCCTCCCTCCCCTTCTTCCCTCCCTCCCTCCCCTTCTTCCCTCCCTCCTCCAACCCGAATCGTACATATCCAACAGGATCGTAAGTGACAACAGAGCTTAGGAGGGAGCAGAAGAGGTTCGCGGTGTAAGGCGCATGGCCCGCGGTAAACACAGCCAGCCACGACGGCTCTTGGCGCAGGTAATCATCTATTGTCTGCACACACGCAGCACCTCGCTAAAAGGCCCCAGTTCCCCTTGCCGCTTGAGGCAGAGCGAATTAGCAAGTGCATAGGCAAGGCTGCGCCGCATACTCCTGGCGCAAAGAGGGTCTGCGCCTTCCTTTCCCGAGACTCTAGCAAGCACGCACGAAGCACGCGGGTACCTTGGATAACGATCCAGAAAAACAGAGAAGCAGACACCTGAGAATTTGCGTCCTGTTCGTGAACATGCAACTCAAGGTAGGACAGGGTGAGGCTGGCTCCGAGCCAATGCCCCCACACCAGAGAAAACGGCTGTCCACAATGTGCGTTGTCGGCTCCTAATATCGAAGCGACAGACAGAAAAAAGGCACCAGAAATATTCCTGTGGAGAAGACAGGAAACACCCCAGGCCTACCCCCGAAGCCGGAGAAGGTGCAAGCAACAACCGCGCACAGAAAATTCAACCTACCAGACACAAACAGCCTCCTTTCTCCCCCCAAACGGCAGCCTACAGCCATCCACGAAAGCCCCAAATTCAGAACACATGCAGCGAATTCTGAAGCCTCTTACTCACCTCGCCTTCTGCCAAAAACGCACGAGGGGCGTTCACAGAGAAGCCGTTCAAAAACAATAATCGAGCCAGAGTATTCATGAGCTAAATCACACAGACACACGCGTACATACATATATATATATACACATATATATATACACATATACACATCTATAAATAAATCCATACACGCACACCCACACCCACACACATATCCATGCACATGCCCATACATCATACACGCACACCCACACATCCATACACTCTACATACACTCCTACATACACACACACATACATACACTCCTACATACACACACACATACACTCCTACATACACACACACATACATACACTCCTACATACACACACATAGGTTCAAGTCGCAATACTCCCTCAAGCCCTTGGGAAAATATTACGGAAGTAAGAAGAGTCGTCAATGCCCATATCCCAAAAGAAGTAGCTAACCGAACGCTGCGCAAGTGCCTTGAGAAGTGCAAAAATCCCTTCTGCCACACCTCATTCGCCAGAGTTGTACACCGTGTTGCGCCTTCAAAAGGTGTAGGGCTTTGAGATTCCTTGTCTGCCTTTGGAGAGTCTTGTTGCTGTTGCTGCCGGTGCTGCTCTTCTCCTTGCTGCTCTGAATCTTGCTCTTGCGGCTGCTCTTGCAGATGCTCTTGCGGCTCTTCTGCATCCTGTTGCTGCTTATCCTGTTGCTGCGCATCCTGTAGCTCGTAAGGCTGCCGCTGTATCTGCAGCCGCTGCAGCTCTTCTGCAAAAGCTGTCTGAGGAATAGGCCTCCAGAACAAAGCTGCCTCTGCATTGCACAGCGTAAAATGTCTGAGCGCAAGAATTTCTTGGCTCGAAAGCGGCCGGCGCTTCTCTGCGCGTCACCCCTTTCTGCCCTCCTCCTCTCCTCTTAAGAGCTAAAGCTCTAAGAGACCTGATGGCTACGGTAGAGGCAGCTCTCTCGCGACACGCCATGAACAATTTTGCTTTTCCTGCTTTCCAAGTTCAGTTTCATGAATTTTTCGAGGATCTCGCGCTCCAGCGAGGCCAAAAACATGCAAAAGGCTACGGCTGTACACGAGTAGCTGCGTACCGACAGACGGCTCCACGATGCAGATCGAGAGGATGCGGGAGAAGAGAGAAATGCAGCTCAGGAGAGAGTCTTCTTCGGGATGTGTCAGATGAGTCCGACTGCCAATACGACAAAGCATTTGGAGGTATTGGATAAGCTGCAAAACAAAAAGGCATCCGCAGGAAAGCCGTTAGGTCGGCTCGTTGTACCGCCCCGCGAGGCACTGAAGAGCGCCTTCAGAGGAAGTCTTTATGGAGGAAGGGAAGCTGCTGAAGCCTCTTCGGAGCCTGATTCTAAGTCGTATACCTTGCGAACAAGCAGCTCGAGATTCTGCGGACGCGCATGCAGCAGCGATTCCACTCGGGAGGGCTGGAGGAGATCATGCGCTGGAACTGTTGCCAACCCCAGAAAGAGCGAAATCCAAAAGGACTGCAGCGATGACAGAGAGAGAGAGAGTGAAGAATGCGAGGAATCAAGGCCAGATAGAACGGCGAGGTCATAGAGACAGCGGTACTGATTCGCGCAAGAAACGACACATTTACGGGGGGGGGGGGGGGGGGGGGGGGGGCCCCCTAGTGGCGCCGCCTACGGAGGGGGTCTGGAAAGCGTGCAAACCTTCGAGCCTCCAGCCGACGGAGTGGTGCTGCCTCCCCCTCCCGTTCCACGCATTGGCGTGAACGACAAGCCGCTGAGCAGCAGTCAGAGGAGAACGCTGGAGGTCCACATGGCGATGCTCTCTCCGGAGCAGCGGCGAGCAGCCTTGGAGCTTATTCAGGATGATTTGGGAATCTTGGCGTCTGACCACATGCTGGATAGCACCTTCTCCTTCGACACGGAGCTGCTGTCTATCGAAAAGCAGAAGCGGCTCTTCGCCTACGTCAACAGCATGGCGAGGGCGAACCGGGAGCTGCTCATCAGCAGGGGCCTCCTGGGGGGCCCCCCTACGGGGGAAGTCCAGGGGGCCCCCCCAGGCGGTGCGGGGAGCCGTCTCGATGGGCGGCGAGGCTACTCTGGAGGTGCTGCTGCTGGCTGCGGCGCCGCTGCTGCTGCTCGCCGGGGAGGACACGATTCGGATAGCAGCGATAACAGCAGCGATAGCAGCAGCAGCAGCAGCGACTCCTTGAGTTCAACCACCAGCAGCAGCGACTCCGATTCGGATGACGGCGAGAGGCGCGCGTGTGCTCCCGTATCGGCGGCTCCCTCGCAGCAGCAGCAGCAGCCGCAGCAGCAGCAGTCTGCTGCCGCAGCTGCTGGTAGTGGCGGCACAGTCGGCGCTTTCGATGGCGGGGGCGCTGCCGCTGCTGCTGGAAGTCTGGCGAGCGGCGCAGGCGCCGGTAGTAGTGGGGGAGCTGGAGGGGGTGGGGTTGGTGGTGGGGGAGGGGCAGTCGGGGAGGGGGGGGGCGGCCTGCCCTCCGTGCAAAAGGGCCTTCCGGAGTACCGACCAGTCGCTGAAGATGGGGAGAAGGTGGAGATTCGGGAGGAGCTGATGGGCAGGCATGCAGACTTTTTGGGCGTCATCGATGCACAGCAAGCAGACGAACCTATGGTGAGAAAGAGGGGGGAAGGAAGAGGGAGAAAGGAGAAGGCCATGTTTTTTTAGGGAGTGCATTGGCGGTGCTGTGATGGGGCTTCGATGTATGTGTTCCGGGCACTGTTTTGTGCTTCCTTAGCTGTGTATTTAACGTGGATCGGAGTGCCTTTTTCTGCCTGCCTGAGCTCCCCAGTTTTAAATGTTGGCGGTGTGCTGATGCTCTCGCTGTACGTGCACAGGCGTCGGGGCTGCAGGAGGAAGCGAAAGCAACAGCTTGGCAGGAGTGGAAGGGGCAGGTGATCCAGCAAGGTTTTGCAGCCGAGCGGGCAGCGGCACCGCAACGCAGCGCGAGTGAAATAATTGCAGAGGGATATGACGCGAGGATCTGAGGAGGCGGTAGTAGCAAATGTTGAAGCAAAACGAGCAACGGGGGAGGGGCGAGGATGCTGCTGCTGCTGCTAGAGGAGAAGGGTAGGGTGCGGTAGTAAACTCCATGGCGTGATGTTGGATGCGCGAGGCGGGTGGTATTGTGTGTGGAGGTGGGGTTGGGCAGGTTTAGGTGGACGGGCAGAGCGACGCACATGTTTTGCGCGATCCACTTTATCTTCTCCTTTTGTTTTACCTTCACACGGCACTCCTGGAAAGGACAAGGGCAAACGGTGGCAGGGCTAGGATGATCGTGATGATGCTTTAAAAGGGGGAACAGGAGTGCATCCGCGTAAACGACACCATGGATGTTTACGTATAGTTCGATATACACCAATATAAACATATATTTATATATAAGCATACGTGTATTCGCGGAAGTGCGCTGCGAGTCCATCCAAAGAGGCGCATCTAAAGGCACCTCCTACTCGCGCATTCGCGCTGTTGTGGGACGTGGGTTGGGGCGCAACGAAATTGCTGCTGTTTTGTTTGAGGGGCGGAAGGGAAGGAAGAGCTGTGAGGTGGTGGCTGACGGTTTGCATTGGATGGTTTCTCTTGTCGGACTCAACGTGGAGGACTACTTAAAGTGTTTCGTTGAGACTACAGGCACCGGAGAGCGTTACATCAGACAGGCTGATAGATGAGAGAGGCGAGGGGTAGCGCGTAGAGATAGAGAGAGAACGGCGAGGTGTATAGGGAGTAGATCCAGCGGGTGAAGGGCCAGTGAAGATAGTTGATGCTAGAGCTTGTGGAAAGAGGGTTTCAGAAAACAGCGCCGAGATGCAGTTCAGGAGGCGTAAAGGGGAGGAATGGAGGTACTAAAACTGCGTAGCTAACTCTGTCTGCCCGCCTTTCTTTGCCGGTTGTTCTTCCCTGGGAGTACCTCGGCACGCCTTCTGTGTGTAGGATAGGAAGAACGAGCTTCGGGTGGGTGGACTGAGGTCGCGGCATGGGCTACGTTTTCGCTAGAGGGCTTTGTGTTGTATGTAGCGCGTGGTCAGTCCCCACTGGGGTTCTTGTGTTGCGGTGCACGCCTACGCCTGTGTGTCGTGGCACGAGCACACAGTCCGTATGAGCGTGTTTTCTTATGCACTTTGGGTGTCGATCTCCGACGGAGGCCTTCTCATGCAAAGAGAGGGGGTTGCGAGTATTATCTTGAGCAGCGATTCCGCCGTGATTCATGGGGTGCGCTGCTTGTGTCGCCCGCTCACTAATTTGGTGGCACGCACTTTCTAGATCTCCCCTAGCAAAGGGTTACACTGGAACGCAGAGGTGTGCCGAGCTCTCTCGGGATCTTCTGTTGCCTTTCCAGGCTATAATTTACGCGCGTAAATGCGTAATCACTCCTCGGTCAGTGGCCGCCTATCTCTTTCGGCAGCTTGTCTTCCTGGACACGAATATCCATGCGTCTATATCAGTGTTTTTCTAGATAAATCAAGCTGGTCCGTCGTGCACCGTTGCGTTTGACCCCGTCCGCTACGCGTTGCGGCGGCAGCCGGCCGCTGCCCGCCGGCGCGGGGTCCTATGCAGTGAGCACTGTCGAAAGGCGGGTGAAAGGCAGCAGAGGACTGAGAAACGTGAGACAGCTTAGCTTGCGACCTCAAACAAATGCTATTCCTAGCAAGCCGAAACGACAAATTCTGCATGATCGTTCGCGGAGCTCCCTCGGTGGCCGCCTGTGAAACGAGGCAAGGCAGGGAGGGCCGGCCCTCCGCTCATGGTTTGCTCCAACTTCCTCCCATTTTCCTTCCGCTCCTTAGGCGCTGCACATTTCTGCTGGTTCCTTTATGGCTTTTAATATTTTCATGAGATTCACATGTCTATTTCGCGGGCTCGTGTTGCACCGAGCAGACTGCCGGTTCCCCTGGACCCCAAGCGGTCCCGGCGGCGAGGCGGCACGTCGAGGGGGAGAGAGAGAGATAAAAGGTCCTCTTCTTTCGTAGCCTTCTTTTACTTTTAAAGGTTTAATAAAATGCCAGATGCAATTAACACCCTATAGATGCGCTAGTCGAAATACAACGGTCCCACGTTGCCCCTTCTCTGCCCCCCTCCAGCTACCCCCCTGGACCGCTGCCGACGCACGCCCAAAGGCCTGCAGCCGATCCTGTCCGTTGTCTTTTCCTCGTTCATTGACGTTCCGCGCCGACTTGGGTCGGCTCTCCTTTTTGTCTTTGGCTAGGAGAACAGAAGAGCTGGTGCTCGAGCAGCACTCAGGGTTACACACGCAACGGCCTCTACGGCTTTTCCGAGGTCCTCCTTCAAGGCATCGCAACGTTTGACTCTGCCCCTCTCGCCGCTGCTCCCTTCGCGTCCTCCTTCCTTCAGTTGTCCTCTCTAGGGTGCCTTTACTCCCTCTCCTTCCTTCCCCTCGGGAATTAAGGGGAGGGGCACCCGCGCTGTGCTCCTTGCGACCCTCTGCACTCTAGAGGCCCCTATCGGCACTCTTTACAGCGCAAGGCCTACCGGCGACAATGTCTGCTTCAGCCATAAAACCAGAGGATGCTACGCCTTTTGCGGCGGCAGCAGCGTCGGCCGATCTGTCCCTCGCCGACCTGCTGCTAACGGCGGGGCAGCAGCAGAACACGCAGCATCCCCTGCTCCCTCTGCAGCCGCAGCACCAGCGGCTGCTTCTGGCTTTGCAGGAGCAGCGGCAGAAGCGGCACCGACAGCGAGCAGCAGCAGCTGCGGCTGCTGGTGCCGAGGGTCACAAAAGTCGTATCCGCCGGTGTGCAACACCTGCTGCCGCGGTGGGCCTCATGTGGCAGAACTCATTCCCCATCTAGTTTCAATGCAGTCTCCCTGCTCTTTCTGACGGTGCTTTGTAGACGTCTCACCCTTCATTGTACGCGTGTGTGTATGCGTGTAGCCTTTGCAGCAGGCCGACCTCCGTTACGAAAAGGACCCTCTCATCAATGCAGCACTGATGGCAGGTAATCCGCAGTTCTCGGAGGCACCAACTCCCTCCCTGGATTCCTTGAAAGCCTTGGCTTCTTCCTTAGGAGAGGCAGCTCTGTCACCGGCGTTGGTCCAGGTTCTGGGGAGCAGCGAGCTGCAACAGCAACTACAGCAGGAGCTGCAGCAGCAGCTCGAAAATGCCGGCCTCGCTCAGTTTTTGACCCCCGGTTGGGGGCGCGAAAGAGGCTTTGAGGGGCTCGAAGTGGCAAACGCATGGGATCAGGAACGCACTGGAGGAGCCGTGCGATGCAGCAGCGACTCTTCCAGCAGCGAGTGCCTCCCGAGGGGGTCCATCTCCGGTGAATCTCAGAGCGTTCGCGGAGCAGGATCAAGGCAAGCGTCGTGCAATATGCCTCACGGGGGGGAAAGCCCTGTAAACGGCCCTCTGGGGCCTCCTATAAGGGCCTTCAATCCTGCCTCGTGTTCAGGGTCACCTCCAGCCTTCGAAAGAAGAACCACGTCGCCTCCAGAGCTCCCCGTGGCTATCCTGCCTCAAGAGGGAACTCCGCAGCGCATGGACGTGACACTGGGCGGCAACAAGCCCCATTACCACGTTGCGAAGCAGGAGTGGCGGGTGCGCTACTACATGAGTGGGAAAAGGCGGATGCGGACATACAGTGCCAAATTCTACGGCTACGAGGCTGCGCATGCGTTGGCGCGGGGCTTTGCGGCGTATGTAGACACGTACGAGGCGCTCCCTCAGCAGCAGCAGCACCTACTGTCACAGATTCCCCAGCAGCAGCAGCAGAAACAGGGGCAGCAACAGCCCCCGCAAGACCCACTCTCTGACGGCCGCCAGGTGCAAGCCTTGCTGCGGCAGCAGCAGCAGCAGCGCCATCAGCAGCAATCCAACGCACCGTCCGACTGCCGGCTTCCTGCCACTGATCCGTCTCCCGTGCCCGAACATAAGGGCCTTTTGAGAGGAATGCAAACCAGGAGGGGCCCACATGCAATGACGAACACGAGTAATCAACGGGGGGATATCTCTGGAAGGGTGGACACGCCGAAGAGTAATAAGCCTCAGATCCGCAGGCACGCTGCTGGGACTGCTGTTTCTGCGGCAGCTGCAGGCGGCGGGTCTGAAGGTGCTCCTCCCAGGAACTCATGGAATCCATTGAAAAACCCCATTTCGGCGTTGCAAGAGCGCAGCATACCCTTGCAACAGAGCGCCCCCGAGGTACAGCCGCAGCACGTTCACGGTAAGAAGACATCTCAACGAGCTACCGATGACGTGAGAAGGAAGCGCTCTGCATTGGAGAGGCTTGGCTCTCCCCAGGAAGCGCCCATCGAGATGGATCAGGCCAGGCCTTCAGAAGATATTGCTCTCTGTTTCGAGTCTTTCCTAAAAGAGTTTGCACGGGAGAAGGTCCAGGAGCCCTCCTGTCCACAAAATAGCCCCCAAAAGTGCTCGATGATGCCTTGGGAACTCATGTTGCGAGAGCCTACCCTGCAGGTAAGCAGCAGTAGCAGCACGGGCGACGACTGGGGAGGAGTGGAGATGGGCAGCATGCTGGCAGCTCCTGCGCAGTCAACTTCCCCCGTGGGAGCAGCGGCAGCAGCAGAAGGCGAAGGAGAGACTGCAGCGGGGACCTTTAATTGTGATGGGGGAGAATTGCTGGCGGTGGGACCCTTGCCTGCACTCGGCGGTTTCCCGGGAAGCGCCGCTGCGTCTGCAGGACCTCCCTCGCAGTTGCTGGTTGTTAGTCGCATCGTGTTGGAGCTCACACGCAGCACCTCTCTCCTGCTGTACCGCCTGAAGGCAGCAACTGCAAAGGCCGTTGTCTTTTTTCAGCACACTAACAGCCGGGATAAAAATCCTGCTGCGCCAACTGAAGGCGCCGAGCAAGCAGAAGCAGCACCCCCAGCTGCAGCACAAGCAGGGGAACACACCGACAGGGGTACCATTAGCGGCAATAAAAGCTACGCTGAGCATTCTTTGACGGCCGCATGCACATCTTCTGAACCTACAGCGGCGGCTTGTCTACGGCTGCAGGCAGTGCCCACCACAGCACCAGGACAAGCACAGCCAGAAGTTTCAGACGGACCGGCGCCTGAGTTGGCAGCAGGTGCCTCTGAGCAGCAAACAGGACCCCTGCAGGAACACTTTGCATTACAAGAAGGCCAAGAGATGAGGATTCCAAAGCGGCTCAAAATTGATGAAGAGGGCACCGCAAAATCTGCAAGTGCTCCTTTACCGCCGCAGCAGCAACTACGCCCAGGGATTGAGGACGCGGTGCGCCGGGCCTTTTTATTGCTCGCTAATCATCAAAAACTGGCGGCGGCGGTCACACAGCTGCAGTTGCCCATTCCACTGTATCTACAGTTCCTCATTAGCGCCACTGGCCCTTCGTCCCTCCCAATCGTGTTGCCCCGCCAGGGAAGCAGTAACGGCGGGAATAGCGATGTGGTCATAGACAACGAAGCAGCACTGCAGGCCCTTCTTCTGAGGCCTTTTGACGTCTTCCGCTGCTGCTGTATCACGCATCCCTGCGCTTGCGACCAGCAGCATTTGGCTGATATGCTTGCTCTGCTTTCGTCTGCGCTCCTAAATGGCAAGCAAGTGCTCCCAAACAGCGCCCCCACGAACTCTGCACCAAGTCAACTCGAACTTCTATCTCGGATATTCCCCGGAGTACAGCCAAACTCCGATCAGCAACAGCGGCAAAAACACGAGGAACAGCACGTAGAGGAGTACCCGCAAAAAATGCAGAGGAACGGGAAGGAACAGCTTCAACAGGAAGGTAGCGCTGTCGCTTTTTGTAGCAGTAGCACCCTCCCCACCAGCAGCTCTCCTGCCACCACCACGTGTTCTCCTGCAACTAGTCCTGAAGTATTTTTCTCCAAGAAGCCCTCAGCGAAACCAGCACCAGCAGGTCCTCCAGCAGCCACAACGGCAGGTGAGTCCCCTGAAGCCTTACAGCTGCCACCTAATCAGGGGGCATCAACTACATCACCTCCAGCGGACGACGCCGCAGCTCGTCAGGGTTTCTCTGAGAACCTAGCAGATCTCTTGGGGGCTGCTTTGATGTGCACCACTAATGTGCTTGCACCTGAGAGCGCCCTGCAGCTGCAGCAGCAAATTTTACAGCAGGAGCCACAGCAGGAACAGCCTTTACTACTGCTTCCCCCACACCTGCCCTATTGGCGCCTGCTGGCCTTGGTGCCCCCTCTACAGTCGCTGTTGCACACTCTAGCCCAGATCATAGTGTACAGGCACTGGGAATTTGTGGAGAACTACATCCGTTGCGTGTGCCCGGCCCCCCAAGCGCATATCCTGTTGCAGCTGCATGCCAAATCGCGGAAGGCACTTGCGCCCGCGGAGAATCCTCCTGCGGCTGTTCCTGCTAATGCTGAAACAACAGATGGCAATGGACTTGTTGTGCAGGAAACCACAATAGCTGGTACGAAGTGCAGTAATCATACGAGCAGCAGCAACAACAGCCACAGCAACGACGGGTCAACTGCAGGGTCAGTTCAAACAAATACCGAGCAGACTGCACTTCGTCTTCCTGCTGAGTATCCCGCTGTTACAGCAACAGCGGAAATAAGCCATGTGGCATGTTCGCCTGTTGAACAGCCGCAGGGCTTAGAGGAAGAAGCTGCGATATCCCTGTCTCCCCATACGCAACAACAAAGGCGTCCGTGTGGAGAGACCTCGCCCAAGCCCTAATCTGCGAAAAAGCTTTCTACCAGCCAGTGCGGGTATTAAGATATCAGCCCGTTCTGCTATCTACTTGCCTGCGTGAGAGATTATCTGGCTATTGCTAGATGGCTGGTCGCTTTGTGGATAGATGCTTGTTAGCGTTCGCCAAGGGGTTTTTGCACGTGCTTGGTGCCCTGTGCTCGAGGGCCAGCGACTCTGCTCTCTGTGGCGCCTTCGCTCCTTCTTAGTCAAATGTTAATCCGCCGCATTTTGCACTGGCAGAAAGGCCAGAAAACTGTGCCGTGTGGATCGAGACTTTTTACTGTAGTTGGAGTGGCGCTTGGCGAGACGAAAGTGATTTGAAGACGTATATCTGCTTCTAAGTGTAGTGATTTAAAACCTCCTGTGCTTTTGTGTGTCCCGCTCGTCCCTGCTTCCGCTTTTCCGGATCTCCCTTTCTGGCCATTTGATGCATCTCGAAATATTGAAAAGTTGCTTCTGCCCACACGGGTGTTGTGCATTCGGTGAAAGGATAGCTTCTATACGTACAAAGGCTAGGGGTCACGGGCTTGTGTGGTCTACGGATGCTGCGTGCCTTCCTGTAAAAGCAAGCCCAAAACCTGCATTCTGCAGTAAATAGGAGGGCGCCTATAGACAGCCAAAGATTGCACCACTCATGCAGCTAATTTGTCATAACGCTTCTCTGATGCACGTTCGGAGACCTGCAGGCGAATGCACGCATCCAAGCAGTATAGTGGGGAATTTCCGCACCTCATCAAGATAACTTGTCTCACGAAGACGCCGCAGAGCGGATGCAGCGCTCCACGGAGGGTCTCCAGTTGGGGGGCTTTCAATCACGAACCCAATACAAAGTTGCTAGAAGGTCACTATGTGATAATGGCGAAAGAACTTCTCCCCCTTTTCTCCTCACTTCGCAGACCTCCGGAAAGTGGGCAGAGATTGCAGGTAGTGTGCTCGTTGCCACTTCCTCCGAGCTTTGATTTAGACCAAGTTGCGTACAGCAACTTGGCATTCACGAGGCACACGGTGTCTATTGTTACAGTATGGACCAATTAATGCTACAAATACCAAATAAGAACACAGCCCAGCCAATTCATCTATGAAAAGAGCACAGACAGTGCCAAAGCGAAGTTTGCCCTGGGGTGGACAGCTTGCGGAGCCGCCAGCGCAGTTCTGTAGCTCCCCCTGCTACATGATTCGGCACTTTTTACTGCAGGATACATGCGAATAAAGAATCCGTAATGGGTTTTTCATTTTGTCGGCTTGTCCGTGCAGGCTCTCTGTGGCATTGAGGAGGTAGCTCAGTAGAGGAAGAGTCAGCGTTGAGCGCCTGCCTGTGCGGTCTAGGGTGGACTGAGCAAGCGAGTGCGCATGGATGCTTCCTTAGTGCTTAGAGACTATGCATCAGCGCCCATGCACCCTAGCTGTAGCTCTTGGTTTCCCCTCGTGTCAGAACCTTTGGGTAAAGATGGCATGAAGAGGAATGAGGGAACTCTTCTGGAGGACACATTAGAACTTTCTTTGTATTGTTTGGGGGCTCGACCTACTGGAGGGCCTCCCTAGGGTGACCCAAAGTTGGGAGTTGCCAGTTGAGAGAATGACACAGAGGGAACTCAGCGTTCAAGCACTTACGAAAGTCTAAAACATGATGCATTTGTCAACGCCCAGATATCGACACAGAGGGCCAGCAATAAGACCACACAGCTACCCCAAGAAGCCCGCAATCCACTTCAAGCTCTTCTATGCGGAACACAGTTGACGGGTAGGAGGCATTTGAATGCCATGGCCCGCCACCATGCTGTGCGCACGCCACCTTGGAAAAACATCCAGCTACGTCCACCGGGCGTTAATATATTGATAGTTGCAAGCTACACGCAAGCGAATGTCAACATGCGCACGTGTGCACTACGGGGTCATAGAGGCCGGGAACAGACGCGACTTGGCTGATCAAAGCCGTAGCTCCCAGGAGTCCCAAACTCCTCAATTCATGGGCTTCTGGGAAGCGTTGTATCATGCATCTCACATGGATCTGAAAAGGAAAGCTACCTATCAATTCCACACACCCCGGGAAATCCAACACCGACCAGCGCACAGGGACCGCCTGAGGAGGTGTCCACGGCAGCTGGGGTTGCTTTCAGAGAAGGCTAGAAGTAAGCAGGCAATAAGCTCCCACTGTACAAGCGCCTCCGAATATATGGAGACAGGTCCCGAGCAGTGCAGGGTGGTACCGAAAGTACTGGGAACCAGCGCAGTCGCGTATTTTAATTGCGGCTTTCGAAAGCCTCCGCTCGGGGTCGCCTATGTGAATGTAATCACACCGTGAAGAGAATACTTTTTATTAGACGAACTGGGGACGCAATACCCCCAAATGTGCGATTTCACAAAAGCCAGAGCAGCGCCGGAGGGCCCCCATAGGCCACGGCAGCCGTTTTACGAGACGTCGTCTGCGTCGGATGAGCAAAAGACACCGGGCGATTTGATAGAGTTAATTTAGCGGGAGTTGAGTCATGGAAGGCCCTATTTGGCCGCGCTATGAATACGCACAAAGGGGAGGTGCTGGCGAGGGCTGTGCTCGGAGGGGCCCTTGCCAACCCCGCTTGCCTATGATTCATCATTTAGGACCAAAATGCCTATAAGAAGCGAATGATTTGTCGCTTTTCTGCTTGAATCGCAGGCAGCGCTCTGTTGGGAAGTGTTCTCTGTTGCCCTAGCGCTCCCCAGGAAGTCAACCGTTCGTGGCAAAGCAGCAAACGCATCTGTTTGCAGCACGCGGTGTCTGTCCCTGCGTTTCGCGGTGAACCGGTCTGCTTCTTTTGATCGCCGAAAGACGCCTGCAACTTCCTGCGCATGGAGACACTCCCTTCCGCCCTCTCGTCCCCTGCAAGCGCCTTCTGCCTCCCTGCTCCATTTTTTGTATTCGCTTTGAAATGAACGTTCAGCAGCCTCTCCCCCTGGTGGCGCTGTAGCCGTGGACAGGTGTAGCATCATGGAGAGCACAAGCAGCGTCCCCCAAAGCAGCGGGAATCCCAGGCTTACGGTTCGGGAGCTAGTTCAGTATCCTGAGGCAAAGCGTGTTACAAAGAAGGCGGCGGAGGAGAGCGTGTTTCCACCCTTGGTGGACGTCGAGCTTCTTCGGCTAGATGAAACTTGTGGCGTTTGTTTGGGGGATTTCTGCGACGATGAGCCGTGCGTCAAGGCCCCTTCAGCCCCCGCATCCGAAGTCCAAGAGTCTCAAGGGGCGGCCAAGTGTGAGACCGATGTTGTAGAGATTCCAGACTCTGAGGATGATGCAGAGCTGGCAGCAAGGCGGAGAGAGGACGAGGAGGAGGATCCTCTCCGGGATATTGGCTTGCTCACGGGATGTGCGCATACCTACCACTTCTTCTGCATTGAGAAGTGGGGGAGGCAGAGAGAGAACAGCTGTCCGCAGTGCAAGAGTCGCTTCAGCTGGATAGGGCGATATACGCGAAAGGGAGAGCGGCTCTGCTGTTATCGTGTCGGCCTGAAACACCAGAAGGATACTGCAGAGGTCACCATTGCGGACTACCAGTACCAAGAGCAGCACCAGCAGCAACTCTGTCGTTTGTGCAGCACCTTGATCGAATCTGCCCGGGATGCGCTTTGCTGCAGCGACCAGCTGTGCCTTAATGCTTTCCACTTTGTTTGCGCCGGCTTCGACGCCCTTCCATCAGGAGTATGGTTCTGCCCCCAGTGTAGGGCCAGTGGCATCTGCAGAGATGCAGAGAGCAGGCGCATTGCCCCAAGCCGCATTTCTCCCGAAGGCTTCCTGCTGCCTCCCAGATCTGCCACCAGGAGAGTTGGTGCTGCTGCTGCTCTGCCTGCTGGCGAGGCCGAAGACCGCTTAGAGAGGGAGCGGCAAGTGCTCATAGAGAGCCTCTCGAACGCCGTAGTTCGCAGAATCAATAGGACGGCGAGACAGCGAGGCAGGGACGAAGGGGCTGTCGAGGAGGAGGCTTCCAGCAGGAGGGCTTCACGGGGCAGAAGGACGACAGCGGCTGCAACGCCAAGTCAGAGGAGAGGAGGACGACGTCAGCAGCAGCAGCTACAACAGGAACATGCAGCGCAAAATGCATCTGCCGTCCGTGCGGAAGGAGAAGCTTCGGCCTTTGCTATTGACGTGAGGCGCGCAGGAGGAGGATCAGCGCCTGTGGCTACACCAACGCCGTCGTCATTGGCAGGCGGTGAAGCAGTCTCTGATGCGGCTCCCCCTTCTGAAGCCCCCCGGATGTTGCGCTTCTACTTAGGTGCTCAGAGCGGCGCTGCTTCTCTTGGGCCTGCCGTGGCGACCTCCGTCACCACTCGCAGCACTCCCTGGTTGTTGCAGCGCAAGTTGGATATCATTAAGTTGCGTCAGGAGCGCAGGGAGGCTCTGAGGCGGCAAGAGGCCATCAGGCGCATGGAGGCGCAGGCAAAAGTCGTTTGCAGCGGCGTTAGCATCGAGAACTCCTCTGGAGCAGATCTTGTGGAGGATCTGCTGCTACATTGCAGCCAGCTGGTGCGCAGGCACAAGGGGGAAGCTCCTGTTCCCGAAGGCTCTGGAGCTTCTCTTCCCCAATTCACGGGGGCAAGAGAAACGACAGCCTCGCCTCGAATTGAGAGTGCCAGCAGCAGAGGGGATGGTCATAAAAAGGAGGACGCGAGGGGCTGCCTTGCAAGAGAGCGGGAGGCGAGGGAGAATGGTGCTCAGGGGCAGGGACGGAGCGAGGAAGACAGCTGCAGCTCGTTTCTCAGGGATAAGTGCGAGGAATTGTTACAGGAGGAGGCGCAGCGAAGGGCTGACGCCAAGGACAACCTTGTGAGGGCCCAGATACTTCTAGAGATCGACCAGGCAAGAACCAGATTTTGTGAAGACACAGTAAGGACTGCACTCCTCAAATCCCAAGGCAAGGACGGCCCCCGAGATTCTGCTCGTGCGTGAAAATCCCTCTCACCGCCCCAGTAGTGCTGCATGAAGCAGCCTTCCCTTCTCTTTTCCGTGAGGTTCCTCACGGGAAAGAGACTCACGATCTTTAGGTGCCCTCTTCGTGTGATGCGGGGCTTAGCTCATGCGTACGGTGGCAGTTTGCTGACTGCTGGGATGTTTGCTTAGGCACATCCCGCATGGCTACAGGGGGCAGCGCTAGTACTGCCGTCCTCCCCCTTCAAAGGAGAGAGAGAGGCATGGGGGTGCCCGTAGGAGCCGAGATTTCAACGCCTGCAGCATCTGTGCCTAATGAAGGGGGAGCTGATGTCCGCGAAAAGAGGAAAGAGAAGAGAAGGCGGCATGCAAAGCTAAAGCCGTCGCAGACGCTTGTGAGTCAGGCGGTCTGTCTCCCCCTTTGCAAGTTTGCAAATCAGGGAAACGGTAGCGGGTAGAAAAGCGCTCTGCTCGAAGCTTTCAAGCTGTCCGCTCTCGTTTCACCCGGAGAGTGAGAGGCTTTGTGTTTTTCTGTATACTTCTCTCGTTTCCCTCCTTTCGTTTTTGTTTGGGTACTTTTACAGAAACGTGTGACTCTTGGTTTCTCAGCCTACGAAGAGGCATACTAGCGAGTATTTCATGAGTGATTTTGCGTCCACAGGTCGACCAGGTGAAGTCCTGCATGATGCCTTTTATGCGGGAACGTTTCTTGAATCAAGGAGAGGAGTACCGCTTTGAGTACAAGAGGATATGCAGGCATATCAGCGAGGGCCTTACGAAGGGCCAAGAAGGGGCCCTTCTTTCAATGACAGAGGCAGAAAGGGGTCAGTACTGGGAATTGAACTTTGTGCAAGTGCAAACCGCAGTGCAGGACTTCTTTGAAAGACCAGAGATCCCCCCGAGTAACGCAGACTCCTGACGGAGTCAGCGCGTTCTTAGGCGGCCTGTGGCCCGAGGATACCCAGGAGCAGCTTTTGCGTAGGCGAGAGGACTCCAGCTTGCTTGCCTGAATTTTAACTTATGTCGAAACATACTCAGCAACCTAGTATGCCATTTTTGCTTACGTTCGTATTTAATTGAAGATTGCAGTTCCTTGACTTTAGCAGCTTGCTCAGCAGCCATAGCCTCGTCTGCGCATGGGCATGTGGCAACAATTCTGAGTTTATTGCTCGTGATTTGCGCTAGAATTTGCACGGGATTTACCGTATCGGACTCTTTCTTCTGGGGACATCATCGCGAGAGTCTTCGCCTCTTCCGCCAGCTCGTCACGCGCTCCAGTTGATCTGCTCGTCGACCATTTTGCGTATTATTGTCACCCATTCTGTTCAATCAAGTATACACTATGTACGCACTCAATTTCGGTTTTTTCTGCCTCCCTTTCTTCGTGGAATGCAGCACATGGGCTCAAGATACCATCCATGGCATCTTGCTTGCCTGCAAATGTCATGCACAAAAATGCGCCGATTCGAAAGTAGAAAATGTAAATATGTTTCTTGCCTTTTGCGTCGAGTTTGTTCACTTGATTTCGTTGGTCATCGTCCGCCGTTTTTGCAACAATCACCAAAGGTGCATTAACGAGGTCTTCGGTCCATGAACCATTCAAGAAGAATTGCGAGAAATAAAACAAGAGACCCACTAGGATGCAGACTGTCGAACAGCTGCCTTATTTGGGATGTCATGAACGAGAGCTGGTGCATTAACTGGAGCCGTTCTGCCTTTAACTCTGCTGTGTGTTGAGCTAGTGGAACTGCAATGTCCGTTTCCATTTCCCCGTAGTTGCTGAATAAGAGGGAATGTGAGAAGGTTCGAATAAATCATCATGGAAGTTCAGTTACTCTTTTATTGCTTTGACAGTTTCCTTTGCGCCTGTGCATACCGGTTGGTTTTCACACTATCTTCATGATGCATCATACGATTCTCAAACCTGTGGCCGCATCGCTTGTCTCCCGGACCCTTGCTAGAGCCTAAGAAAAGCCACGTTTTTTCCGAACAAAGCACCCACACTGTAATGCATTGAGCTTACTTTTTCAGCCTCGATTTCCTCAGGAGAAGGGGTCGGTTGTTGTGCTGAAATTACTCTTGGGATGATCCAGTGTGCGGTAACCTTGGATAATGGTGTGCCGACTGACCTGTATTGGCGCCAAGCAGAGACTGTGCCACTCCTCCAACCACTGCACCAGCTAGAGTGCCTGATATTTCGTGGATTGTAACAGGTTTCCCAGACTATAAGCCGTTGGACCTACCAAGAAACTTTTCCTGGGTTGCGCAAGCTTGCCTTTGCATGAAAACGAAACATGCAGAGGAAAAAATTAAGAGCCGCATTATCCGAATTATATTGCCAAGTTCGACAGATCAGCAATACTTGGTCCTTCACGGAACCTCTACTTCTTCGCAAAACAACAGGAAAATTGTTCTTCCCCACTATTGGCCTGTTCCGGCAAAACAGCTGCGGTGTCTGTGAACGCGCGTACATTACAGCTGAAAATATATCGAAACCTGTTCAAATTTCGTTGTAATAAGAGAGAAGGGCATTTTTAATTGCATATTTGTTGTGCAGAAGGACAATCGACTCTAGGGTGATTTTATAGGTTTAGCAAGTGCCATGTCTGTACTACGGTGAACACAGATGTTACACTCCTAAGCATGGAGTGAATGCCCCCAAAATCAGTCCTCAATCTGTCTACATTATGTGAATTTGCAGATATTGCATCTTTTTTTCTTCCCTGCTCTGGAGAGCCCACAAGCTGAACTCTGACTGGTGCAGGCAGGCAGTGCAACATTGTGCATACATTTTTGAACCTTCAGTTCATTGCGGCCGTATACAAATCGCCTGTTTGGAGAGAACTTTCTGACCTTAATGAGCCGCGAATCTCGTGGAAGCGTCGCCCTACTGTACAGCCGACTGAATCTCCTCTCGGTTTGTCCTCTGCTTTCTGCACGAAGACTTGCATATTCACGAGGATCGCACATCATTACAACGAGCAACACAGTAGCCACTTTGAACATTGCGCTGTTCTATGCATCCATAACGCTTTTCTCAATGCTCTTCGCCCTGGAGGAGATGGACCTGCATCGCCGCAGAGCAGCGGTAGCCATAATCACACGAAAACCGCCGTGTCTTTCCCTTCAACTGGCAAATCTCCACTTTTGAAGCTTTGAGCTATCGCCTTTTCGAGGCTCAGTGTGATTTGTTCCACTTTTTAGCCGCGGATCTTCGCAATCTGGTTAAAGCCGTAGGCCCCTCGATACGGCAGCCACCTGCTTCACACGTTGTGTTCAGATGAGCAAAGCGTGGAGCATTCTTCCCCTAGGATTGTGCCGTAACAACTCTTGTTTTGGCGAAGTGTTCCTGCCTAACCCATTGGCGGCCAGTATTTGCTGCATGCACGGGCCTTCGCCCTTGAGGCTAGTAGATGAACAAGAAGCAGAATCAAAAACCCTTAGAAATTTCGCTAGCCTCGCGTTAAGCCTGCAGCCAGTCGGCCATTGCGCGTGAGGCGGGGTTCGCCTAAACACCTGGTTACCCAGGCCTTATAGGCAAAAAGGGCCATGCCAGATATTTTGTTTCTCTGGCCCCAAGGCGCATGCTCAGAAGCTCCATTCAAGGCTCCGTCAGATTGCCTGATACATCGGCTAACGTCTGTGCTGGCGTGGTTTCTGCAATATGCAGCACCACACGGGCGATAGAAAAAGCCAAACTGCAATTGTTCTGACTGATTCGGAGGCAGAGGAGCCCCAAGAAGGGCTTCCGACGCCACGACGAAGTCGAAGGCTGCAAAGCGGAGAAGCCTTTAGAGGCAATGAGGAACTACTTGGAACCGTTTCCCTTCGCCGACGGCGCAGGCGCCCTGTGAAGCTGCACGACTCCGAAGATGACACAGAAGAGGGGCCCACCTGCTGGGGGGGTACACCTCAGGCAGATAATTCCCAGAGCCCGCGATCGTGTAGCCCCATTCGCCGCCGTTCAGCTCGTTTAGAAGCGTTGTCGGATTCGGCTGTATCTACACCGCAGCCTTCGTTGAAAAGAGGCGCCGCAAAGGCGCCATCTCCAGGAGATGGGTGGTCGAGCCCAAGCCCCGCCAAAACTGCTCGCATGCATCTTTCTCCTCCTCCTTCAACAACAACAAGGAAATTTGTTGACTGCGTTACTCCAGTGGGCACGCCGGCGTCCTGCCGCCCCCGAAAGCGTCTCAGGCACAGCTCTGCCACCTCCATCGGCATTCCCCAGGTCTGCCCCCCTGAAGAAGACACCTCTTCTCTGTCTCGAGCGAAAAGGTGCTCCCGTCCCTTGACTGTGCCTGGAGAGGGAAGCGAAGAGGAGGACACCACGAAAAGCGAACGTGGAGGAGGCAGGCTGCCTAGCAGGAGCACTAGTTGCAGCACCTCGCCCCTGAGAGCTGCTGACAGGAGGAGGCTGAGCACCGGCAGTGGCCTTAGGAAAAGTCATGTACCGAGCAGCTCTTCACCTACAGCGATCGCGAATACAGATGCTGTCTCTGGCATCAACGAATCCTCCCCGCAGCCTGCTGGCCATCGTCGGCTGCGGAAGCAACAGCACGAACCGGCTCCAGAACTGCAGGAGCAAGAAAAGACGCAGCATACGGATCAAAATCCCTTGGAGCCCCCCGCTGGCATGCGCCCCTCTCAAAAGGAGCTTCGCCAGCGGCTGCACCATCTGGCGAGAAAAGTGAGGGAGAAAAGCCTTAAAGCGCGGGGCCTTCACGCTCCCGAAGTTTCTGAGACAGAAGAGGAAAGCAATGAGAGCAGTGCTTGCGAGAGAGGCGGGTCCAAGAAGGGCATGTCATCATGTCGAAGGGCTCCACAAAGTGCGAGGAAAGCATCCCGAGTGAGATGCTCATCTCCGTGTTACCGCAGCCGTGTGGCTGCTGCCAAGAATATCCGCCTTTTCCCTGTTGCATTTGTTGCTGCTGTATCGGGTGCTGCTGCTACTGCTGCTCCTCTATTAGCCATGCTGCAATAAAGAAAAGTTCTCTAGTGACGAAGTTTCCCTAGTGGTCTCGTGCCTAGCTTAGGAGTCGAGCCTCCTGTGTTAGCCTGATCGACTCCTGGTCTTCATGGTGCACAGCCAGCTACCCTGTGTCTGTGTGCAGTTCTTCTCCTACTCGAGAGACTTGCAAGAAGCCGCCTCAGACTCTGAAGAGAGCGCAGGCAGCTTCATTGCCGACAGCCCTAATGGGGGCCCCGAGCCGACCAGCGAATCTGGTAGGGCCTGCTTGCAGAAGCGCTTTACGATTTGTGTTTAGTAGAGTGTGCAAGCGATTCACGAAACCCTGGAGCCTAGCAGGAGCGATAGTTCCTCAGGCGTGATAACCGCTGCCATAGTGAGAAAGCCGTCGCATGTGGCCGGCCCCTAGACTTCTCTTCGGCCACTGAGGGGTCGAGAGATTGCCTTTAGATATTTCGAGCTGCATGGAACGCCTGCAGAAGAAGCCCTTGATTCTGAGAGCAGCGACAGTTCGGGAGACGAAGCCGTCAAAGCCTTGCGGTATCACCACCGTTTGATGGAAATGCGCGGGAAAAAAACGCACGTGGAGGTGCGTCCTTTGAATTTTTCGCGTTCTAGAATTGATGAAAACCGTCTGAGAATTTGTCGCCTACGCGCCTCTTCTTTGAATTAGATTTAGGGCTTGCGGCTTAGCGTTGGACTTCACGCATTCCAAAGGTGTATGCATTTGCAGCAAACGATGAGGCTGAAGGAATGCTTCCAGTTGTACGTGTACTCACTCGCCTTGAATCTCTTCTCCCCCCAGCTGGGCTTGAGGCAGCTGCAAGACAGGGGGGGCCGCTGCCAAGGGGACGACGGAAAAAGACTCCTACTTGCAGTTTCCTCCTCCCCTACGGCCAGAGGTGCGATGAGACCGTGTGAGATGGCTGTAGCAGTGCAGCGTTCAGAGTCGGCATAGAGAGCATAAGCTGCAAACGTGTTGCGGCACCTGTACCTGTGGTTTGCAGCCCTGAAGACCCTTAGCGAGATGGAAATCGGCCGGCTCGTGGCAGTGAGGCTTTTCCTAGCTCTTTCTTTGATAGGGTGAAAATCATTCGAGGGATGTCTAGTATATGCATGTACAAGCCCCTGTATAAGCTGCTGTCTCATTCGGAAGGAACTCCCCGGGTGCTGCGGACGCACGGACGGAAGACGCTGGTAGCACTTGTTTACATGAGTGCTTGCGTTTCACCAAACTGCCCCCCGCAGGCCACCGACCGAATCGAAAGCTTGACTCTCGCAAAACGTAACGCCGTGAGCGTCGTCGTTGGGTTTGTGGCTTTCAAAGGCAACTAAGGGGCATAGGGTCTAGAAAAAGAGGGTCTTATGCCGTAGATTGGCTGCCGATTTGCCTGAAGGGCCTGAGACCATGCAGGGGTGCTTGCTCGAGTGCAAGTTCCGAACGGCCTGCTGCTGGAGCAGGGAGGGAAAGCTCAGTCTGGGGCCCTTGTGACGTGGAGGCTGGTGCTGCCTTTGTGCTGCAGATGGAAACGCACGCCTTTCCTCCCGAGTGCAAGAGCCAGCTGAAAAGCTACGCGGAGTGCCGCCTCTCAGGAAGCCCAGAACTGCAGGGCGCGTAAGTTGCCTTTTTGGGAGTTGCCGCGAGGCCTATCGTCCTCGCGAGGAGAAGACACTGAGGGTGGAAGGAGGAGACTCTCAAGGACGCTGGTTGCTCCTTCCCTAGCTCGAGTGTCAGCGGCTCACGAAAGCCTTCCCCCTGTGGCTGCTAGCGGCAGACAGTCCCGTTGGGTGCAGCGCGCTGCGCTGCTCAGTGCCTGCTGCGGATGTGCTGGCCTTCATTTTGTCTTCAGGGTAACCCGCTGCATCGTATGCCGAAGGCATGCAGCTCGCCATTACTGTCTGGACCTGTTGGGGGCAGTATACGACTCTGGTACGTGCTGAAGGTCGCTAATAGCGCTTAGGGCTGGGGTTGTGGGATTTTGTCTTATGGCTTCGAGGCTTGGCCTGGCCGCTTGTCCGCCGCCGAGTATGCGCCAATATAACGGCCGTGGTAATTGCGAACAACAGCTTTAGCAGCAGCACAAGGGTGTTGCGTGCGACGCAGATGCTCTTTGGGAGGGAGACTGCACTTCATGGCTGGCTGCTCAGGGCCTCGCTTGGCTGTGTAAGTGCTGCCAGTGTCTCTTCCGGCTGCTGTTAGACACTTCAAGCCGAACTGAGCCGCCCCTAGGCCCTTGTTGTCCGTGGCTCTATCGGGGAAAGAGGTTTCTTATAGAAGGGGTTGTCGGCTGCTTGCAACTCTTTATTCCTAAGGTCCTTCCTCTGAGCGGGTGGATTTAAGTACACTGGAGTTTGCATACAGATCTATATATCTGTATGTGTCGCTCCGCTACGGTGCTGTTCGACTGGTTCCTCTTAAACTGTGTCCTATGTTGGTTAAGCCACGCACTAGCACCACTCTACATCTCTCTGTCTATGTTCATATGCATCTATTCGGGTGAAGTGCGCGCATTCATGCTCAAGAATGTGGGCGCATATCCTATGAACTTAGTCGTGTGCCTGCCTATGCATAGACTGCGTCCACGTGTGCTGAAAGCTATCTACACATCCTTGTATCTGTGTGTGTGCCCCTCATGGCCTCCCCGTATCCTGTGCAATCCCCCTTCACTACTCGGCGTGGGGCAGCTCATTTCTTGCCCCTTACTCACCCTTCCCTTTTGAGTCACTCTAATCTTCCTGCATGCTTCGCTTTTGATCAGGTCCTGAGGCCCCCCCCGTACCTCGTAAGGAGAGGCCCAAGGGGTTGGTTGCCGCTTATGAGGACCGAGAAGGACAGGAGCTCCCAGTTGGTAAGCACAGCCCCAGCCTCACAGGCAACTCTTAGCCTTTATTGCCTAGTGTACCTTTTAAGCAAGTAACATTCGTCTCCTAGAGAGCTGCTTGGGGGCCTTACAGGCTCGTCCACTGCCTCCCACGCTTGAGGCGTCCTTTTAGCATAGGCGCTACTGTGGCAGCGTGCAGAGGGACGGACTGGCCCCCGTTTTATAAGGACTCTCAGTCTTTATTGTGCCTACCGGCTCAGGGTCAAAGTGCGGGAAGCAGGCAGCCTCATGGCATGACATTCATCACTACAAGGGGCGGCTGCTGCTCTCCATACACGCTTTGCTGCGTTTGAGGCCCGTCGAGGAGCTTAAGGACCCCAAAGCTGCTGCAGCGAGGCTCCAGGAGGTGCGGCAATGCCCTAGTGAGGAGCGCGGCGTAGACAACCTCTCAGAAAGCAAAGATATGCATGCAGGGATAAAGCTGCAGTTTTGCTCGCACGCTTGTATCCGCTCCGTGCTTTTGCACATCGCTCTTTTTAACTGCGTAGGCCTTGTATAGGTTTGAGCGTCCTTTTCGAAATCTTCCCAGTGTCCCTTTGCCCTCCTTTCTGTATATTGGTCATTTGAACTGCTGCGAACAATCGCCTGTCGTGCTGCTCCTAAGCATTCCTAAGCTTTCCGTAGCTTTGGGCGTGTTCATCATAGATCGGCACGGCCTCAGAGGACTTCCGTCGACACTGTACGAAAAGCGGTTATTTATCCACCGCGTGCTCTCAATTGCTTCTTTCAGACCATTGTACAGCCCTTTGTAGTTTACTTTCGGCCTTCTCAGGTTCACGCAGATGGCTTCTTCGAGGAGTGGGAAGAGATCATACGACTGCCCATACCCAGATGAGAGGGCCCCTTTGAAAATTTTCGCTGGCTCCTGAGGGACTCCCGGCAGTCCCAACAGCACTCCTTCTTGTGTTTGAAGCGTTGTAATCGTTGTCAGTACGATGTTTGCGACTGGCAGGGGGCACCTGTTGACCTCTGTCCTGCCACCTCAGCTTCCTACTCCAGAGGCACGCAGAGGCACTCTTCGTCCGTCTGAGGCTGAGAAAGTTGTAGGGGACTGGACAAGGAGATGCACGAAAGGGTCTGATGCTGACCCTTTGATGTGTCCTTGAGTGTGGAGGCTTATCCTCCTGGTTTTCACCAGCTGGCGCGCCCCTTTTTGTAGATCCAGGGCTTTAAATGCCATCAGCGCACCGAGAGCAGCTCAAAGCCCCGACGCTCTAGGCTTCAGGGCGGGAAGCACGGGGTACCAAATCGATTTGGGGTCCGTTGACTGTATCACCCCAAGTATCCATAGGGCCTCTGTGGGCTGGAAGTCCCGGGCCAGCATCAAAGCCCACCGCGCATAGCAGCCCAACAATAGCCGCACTCTAAATAGACTCTTGAAAGAAGTACCTATAAAATGACGAGTTTTGTAGCGCGCTGTGCTTGTGGATTGAATGCGGGGTCTAAAAGGAGCCTAAAAAATTGTGTGCTAAGCCTCCGCCTCAGCCCCGAGAGCGGCAGGGCCTTGCTTCTTCCTCTAGCCAACAGCGTCTCCTCACGCTGTAGCAGCTCCCGCACCTCCCCCGCCAAAGGGCTTTCATAGGTCCCCACTGCATCTCGGACTGCCGCGAGGGCGTCCAGCCTGTCAGGGCCTTGAAGCGAGCCTGAGGAGAGGCGCAGATAGAGGACGTGCAATTCGCGGGCCCTTGTAGTTTCGGGGGTGTAAACAGTTGCTGTCTCTCCATCTGACTGAACCCAAATCAGAGGCTCGCCCATCAGGCAAAGTAAACGATGTTCCCGGTACCGCCTCCTCTGCTGATTGGCCTCCTGCTTGAGGCGGCCAATACGCCGCAGCAGATGCGTCTCTTGCTGCAGCAGCGACAAGTGGGCTACCCGCAGATCCTTCTCTGTACCCCTGCGGATCCTTGCCAGCTCGCCACCGCGAAGCTTCTTTGCCTCGAGGCAACGCCAGGCTTCGACCTCTGCGAGAAGGATAGCAAAGTCTGCTGGGGTGATGGGGCAAGCTGCCCTCTGTTCTTGTCTCCTTTTCCTGACGTCTGCTTCCCACTGCTGTCTCTCCCGCTGCTGCCGCTCCCGTTGCAGGTGTTCATCTCTTTCTTGCCTTCGTCTCTGGGCCTCTTTACGCGCAGCCCATACTCTGGCGTACTGCTGAATGACTGTAGCACTTTTGTGTCGCATGGCTTCCCACTGATTGGCGCACACGTACTCACCAGGGCTGAGCACTTTATCCATAGCACTGGAAAAAAAGACTCCCTTTTTAGGCGGGCAACCTGAAGCTTCACGCTGACATTGGGTGGAGATAGATGACTTCCAAGCCGTCTGGCAAGCCACCGAATGACGCGTACGAACAACCAAGGAAATACCTGCAGCAGCAAAACACCAACCATTACCAATATGGAGGTAATAAGGCACCAAGTTCGATTGAGATAAGGCCTAATGACTTGCTTTTGAAAGTCCTTTTGCACCACGTTTGGCTAAGGTTTGCTGCCCCATTTTTGAGAAGATGTACAAGATTCGTCACACTTCTGAGTAGAACTACCGGCACAGTCATCAAACAGAAAGTAAAAATGTGCTTATCATGGGCTCAGAAAAGCAAGGGCTTAGGGTTGGCACACCCGTGATATGTACAGTTGACGTGTCATAGTGAACTGTCGTTCAAGCAGATGGCAGCAATTGCTACTAGTGGGGCTTTCCCTTTTATTGGCCCAGTCTACACCCCTTTAAGGACAACGAAACCGTTGTCTAGCCGTGATGACCCTTAAGAGGGGCCCCTTAAACCGCATCTGAGAGTCCTCTTTACTGGATTAGCCCATTCACTACACAACCCTTTGCGTGTCCCTCAGTTTGCTCAGGCTTAAGAGTGACCGCTCTGGAGTTTATGGCTTGGAGTTTGTGGTGCTTCCTGCCTGCTGTAGCATCAAGGAGACACTCCGGGACCCCCAGTAGATCAAGCGTCAGCGGCCCCTCCCCGTCATTACTGTTTGACTGTCTAAGGAGATACACCGCGAGGGAGCCCACAGCTCCTGGGACAAACCCTAGGTCCCCCAGGGTTGTGCTCCAAGGCAGAGGAGAAGGAGGGCTGCCTCCAGGGGCCGCTAGACCATTAAGTCCCTCTGGTTTTCCAGGCTCATGCTGTTCGTTTATATCCCAGTAGGAGCGTGGCGCTATGGCTACTACGAGTGCGGGCACTTTGAGCTCTCCTTCTATTTGTTGTTTTATCTCCCATAAGGAGCACGATAAGGGAATCTCCTTGCGGCGCTTGCTGGGGCCAGGAAGCAAGCTTAAGTCGATGCGAGCTAGGCCTTGCAGAGGGGCTGCATTTTCTTTTTCTTTGTCCTCTTGGCTGTCCTCCGTTTCTGCCTGGTGTGACGCGAAGGGGCCACTCCGTGAAGAGCAGGATCCCTGGAGGCTGCTTTGCTTTTCATCGGTTAATGTGCATTCGCTGCGCATATTGAGATGACTGAGATATTTAGAAAAACGAGGAAAGCGGAAGGGTCATGAACTGTTTGTGGCCCTCGAGGTCACCTTTCCTCTGTCCGGACTTTTCTCTGCTCAGTACAATAGCGAACGAAACATTCATCAAGAGACACTATATCTACCCCTTCTATTCTAATAGCAGTATTCCTTGCTTGTGCATGATTTTCCTTTAGGTCGATTTAACGATCACAACGCCTTCCTCCAAAGTGCTCAGGGCCACGAGGGGCCAGAGCGCCTCCACGGGGGCCCGTAATTCGGGAGGCAAGGGGCTGTCCAGTTTGGCTAGGTGTCCTACAAATGGAGGTAATTTGGCACGTGGGATTCATTCAGAGCTCCAAGATTTTATAGAACATTATGTGCATTACTGGCGTGTGGTGCTGCTGCAGATTGGGCAGGGGCCCCGCGGCATGCCACGTGAGACACCACAGTCTCTGTTTCGTTTCTGTGCTGCGGTTCCCGTTCTGATCAGTAGAGACTAGGCGAACACCTATGGATCCTTCACACATTCTATTCAGCATGGCTCAGCCCCTTGACTGCCCTTTAAAATAATGCTCCTCCCTCGCACCATTCCTCAGTATCTAATCCCCTACTCCAAGGGGAAGCCAGTCTCCCTGACTTTTGCCTAAATGTAACCATGGAAGGCCTTTGAGAACCCCGTGGGCATCTTTCTACGCTTACTGTCCCTGTGGACGCGCGAGTACGGCCTCTAGCTTCCCTTCCACTCACCGCCCTCATGGACCCTCGCATAGGTTATGGATGCACCCTCTATTTCTCTATAGTCGTTCTTTTCCTCAGCGGACCCCTTGAAGTGTGGAGCTTCTCGGCTCACAAATCGACGTATTTCCTAATTCCAGGCGTACATCTATCCAAACTCTGCTTAGGGAAGCCTCCAGCCGCAACAGGGTCCCCTATCCGTGCAGCACCAGCCGCAGTAGTAGGAAACGGTACTAGTGCTGAGCACCCCGTCTGGTCAGTGTCTGATCTGCCAGAGGCAGAGAGCGCTCTTCTTTCAGCAGCAGTGGCAGCAGCAGACCGCCACAAAGTAGAAGACTTCGTTTGTCTCATCCGCTGCTCCGCATGGAACATCTCTGGAGAGATACGTGAGCAAGAAAGGCTCCTCCTTCATGTCAAACGAGAAACCCTCAAATCTCCTCTTGGCCGCCCAGTGCCCAAGTCCTTATGCCTAGAGCCTACACATTTAGGGCCCCCTGAGGGGATCCCACAACCGCAACAGAAGATGAAAGAGGACTTGCTGAGCCACGAGTGGGAGATGATGCTGCTTGCTACCGGCTTCAGCCCAACACACCTGGACTCCGTTGCAGAGACAATCATTCACGTCGGTCAAACACACATCTCTGTAACCCGCCTCACCGCTTTCACTCGTGTGTTCCTCCCTGTGCTCGCCTCCTAAGAGACCTCGCTGCCCACCCAGCATTTAGAATTACGTGTGCCCATCCGCCGACAAAAACACCCCTAGTCCCGCATCTGTGGATGCCTTGGGTGCCCCCTCCATCTTTACAGACTTGGATGTGTCTCAACAGCTATCTCTATCCCCGTCCCCATACATGGAAGCCTCTTCGAGCATTTTAGCCGGTCCATCTATCCTTCCTAATTTCTGCGTTTTCGACTCTCGCAGGAGGTGATACAAAATCATGGTGTGTCTACCTTTGAGGGAAGGGATGGACGGGGCCACAGTGGTTGGGTGGCTCTGAGCTTTGGCAAGTTGCAGGTCCACCTCATGACCCCTATAACTCGCCAGAAGTACGCCCTTGAGAGGCTCCACAGAGATAAACCCAGAATAGATCTCGCACCCTTGCTCAGCGACCAACATCAAGACACTATATACCAACTGTGGGGGGGAAAGAACTCAATGATAACTGGAGACTTCGAGGGAGGTCCGGCACGCATATGAGTCTCAAGGAGCGCTGAGGCTCCCCGTCTGCCCCACCACCGAGGATGCCGAGAGGTCTTCTATAGGGGCAGATGAGGCCAGCAGCTAAGTTACATCAATGCAGATATGTCCATACGTCCAGGCAGACACGCATGCATGCCATGAATACTAAAGTATGCTTACGATTGGTGTAGCACGGTGTTTGGGCAGTCTTGCGCATATCTTTAGACACCTTGCTAGCTATCTAGCGCAACGCAGAGGAGACTAGCTACACCCATGGATGCTAAGAATGGCTTCAATATGGCAAGACACGTTCAGGGACTGAACACTGTGTTCTCTTCTAAACTTGGGATCGGTGGACGTAGTGCCGAGCTATGGCCTGACTATGCCCTAGTGATCCAAGCTGGCTATAGAGCAACACCCAACCACTTAAATACAGCAAAGAGGCCTGAACTTGAAAACGATTCGACAACAAACCACCAGGGAAGCAGAAAGGTTTCGCAGGAATCTGCACAGCAGCAGTATTTGCTGCGGAAGCACCTAGCTCGCAGCGAGTAGTGTATGGTTTCGTCAGACAGGAGTAAAGGCCCCAGAGTTTGGATACAGGATTCGCTAAGGCGTGGCGCGTAAGGTGGAATGCACAAAAGGCGCGCAAGATGCAAGCGAGAGCCAGAGTGAAAGGACAAATGGGCGCCTATGCTGTGCCCGAAAGATCTGTGGCCGTAGGGATTGTGGGGGCGGGCAAGCGCGCTATAATCTCCTTTAGGTCGTCTGCGCCGTACTGCTTGAACCTGAGAAAAGAAGGCACAAGAAATAAAGTAATGTGCTTGTGAGAGACAGCCACACAGAGGTGGCACGGCAAAAAATTGCAACGTGCAACAAGGTGCCTCGTCCTGTGTCTCTACACATAGAATCCCTAGTTACGGATCTACAACCGGCACTGGTGCACCAATATGCAGCGCCATTCGCCTCTGTCTCTGGCTGCGCATGAAGTGAGCGTCTCTTAAATCGGGCTACGGGGCATCATATGTGCGCTCGCGTCTACTGTGACGCGCGGCGTTTCATGGGCTCGAGTTCGGTTATCATCCATCGACGTGTCTCTTGGTGAATTTTCTTACTTGGCCTCCCCTACTCTCAGTGCGGCCATCTCAACGTTGTTGCAATTAAGCTTCTCTTCCATTACTTGGCGCAGCACTACCAAGGCCAAGTCCTCTGCAGCTGTAGCACAACGCAAGTGAGCCCGAAAAAATGACCAGTCATCAGGAGAAGGCTACTGCTGAATTTTCAGCCGAGAACAGATATGGCTTATGAAATGATCAGCAAGAGAGGGGGGAAAAGGAAGAAAAGGAAAAATTCATGTGAATTTATTGCATGTGTCAACGGAGGTGGGCTATCCATAGATCTGGGCCTATTTCTTTTGTGGAAATACGGGTGCGCGTACAAGCTAGACCTCACACACAGGCATGCTGGACATTCTATCCTACAGGACAGATAATAATCCAACTTGTTAATGGACCGTCTGTCGGTATAATTCCTCGGCTGTTCTGAGATTAGATGCACTGGGGTTCTATCGTATGTGTGTTGTTGCAGCTAGTGTTGTGGGAGATCAGCGTATTCTGCACACATCGTACCCTCAAGAGACATGGATTGATTGTACTGCTCCTGAAGCATCGATTCCGCGCCTTCTTGAGCTGAGCCCATGGCCACTGCCAGATACTTTGTGACGGTTCCTGCGTCAATGGCAGCCAACAACGGAAAGGGATATCAGGAAAAACGAAAGACTGCACAGCAGCAAAAACATTAATAGAAAGAGCAGTTGCAGAAGAGAAAAACATGCAAAGCAGGCTATCTGTAGGCGCAGCTGGGCAACGGTGCGCGACAAAATCAGCATAGGCTTTACAAATTTGTCCATAGGCAGAGGCACGACAAGCACATCGACAAGTGCGCATACATCGGCATCCATGCGCACGTAGAAACACTTGTGCGATGAAAGACCAGGGGCAGAGATATGGGGAAATCCACAGACATTTATACACGCATAGAGAGAGCAGTGCAGTATCTACCAACCCACAACGCGACTTTTCTCGGCGCTGCACATGCAATTTCCCCCATCCATGAATGCATCTATGACATTTTACTCGCGTAGACGCAGTCATGCGGCAACTTTGTGATACCTGATGGATCGGCGCAATACAGTGCCGGCCCGTCCTTGTCAACTCCGGCGACGAGCAGTGCCACGCCGAAAGGTCTGCTCATCGTCTTTTTTCGCCGTCCAGAGCCAACGTCTGCAGCAAAGGAAGCCCCGACTTTCTTGTGGTTTGCGGCGAAGGAACAGTCAAAAAGAGGGTAACTGAGAGGCTGGGTGGAAGTCAGAGCGATTGCTAAGTGTTCTGCATTGGGAATTCATGGAGATGGCGGCTACATAAGATAATCGAATCTTTTCAGTCTCTAGGACCGTAGATCATGAGGAGTTAGAACGCATGCAACAACAGACAGATGGTCTTACCGGAGAAATCGAGGGCGAGATCGGCCACCGCATCCACACAACTCCTGATGGACATTTTTTCATTATACGTAAAAAAGTGATTTGCGCATTCCACCCTGGCATGGTCTATCAGCGTCCTGAGATAGAGACAGACATGCACAAATTTGGAACCTTGTGCACACAAGCGCACATACAACATTAAGAAACCCATGAACAAGAGATCAAAGGAAGTAATTCGCATGTAAGATAAACCCTCACACATAAATGCGCACACACATGAAACTGCGCAAATGTGTGCAGGCAAACGGGAGATACATACCTTGCATCAGCAATGAGTCCACTCATTGCACATGCAATGTGCGAATCGACTTCAACGATTTTGTGGATTGACTGGGGCTCCAGGAGACAAGAAGTGATGCGCCGCTCCGACGCCAAGACAACACCATCCTTTGTCTGAATGCCAATAGCCGTGCTTCCTAGCTTTATGGCTCCCAATGCGTATTCAACCTGACGAGAGGAGATAAACGAAAATAGAAGAAGGCAGAATGTGAACACACATGGTGGGACAAGCGTGGAGCAATGCTTCCCCCACCCATGTTGGGAAGTGGACGAGTAAGAATGCAGAGGAGAACGGTTGCTCCTCACAAAAACGGAGGTACGCATTATTACGTGCAGATTTTCAGGTATAGAAGCAGACCGGTTTATGCATTCTAGGCCTAAAGAGCCAAGCTGGCACTCATGCATGTATGTCTGTTTAATCTAATACATATGTGCACGCATTCAAACATACATTTGTGTACTATTACAGGTGAATACATTAATGTATGGGCATGCAAAGCCCTGTTGGGCTATGCAGTCACTTTACCTGGAACAAACGGCCTTCAGGCGAAAACGTGTTGACGCCTCTGTCATACTCGCTCCTAAGGGCAAGCCAGAGACATAACACAGCGATCGAATCATGGAATGATAAGATCACCACTAGCTAGCCGAAATGGCCATTACTACACTTAATAGTTTTCGGACGCCTTCTGGGAATCAAAGCACTTCACGAACTAGCGAACAAACGACAGAAGGACACGAATACACACACGGCAGCAAAACAATTAATTATTCGGAAATGAAATACGTTTGTGTATTTCGTTTGAAAAGACAAACAGAAGCAGAGCACCGATGAGCACGTAAAACACAATAAAGTAGAAGGCGGGTGATCACAAATAGGGGCTCTTATTGGAGCTAGGCTCCAAAACTCCTATTATATCTCTTTTATTGCTCTGAGTTGTCAGGTTTCTGCTTTGTTTCACATGCAGGTGGTGAGGCATTCACGAGTCTGGTCAGACGGGCAGCATGCACAGATAAAGCCAAGAGTATAGAAAGCCTCTCAGCCAGTAATTCCGTCTATGAGCCAATAGTGGAATGACAGGAATGAATAATGCTTGCTCCCTGTCTAGTATAGTTTCCTGATTCGTGGGAGGGGGGAGGATGAAAATATCTTGCCTGGTTGTAAACATTGTGTTTATTGGCTCTGCTGAGCCGCTGTCTCCGCCGCACGCCGCAAACTAACAGAAAGAAGCAACAACATGAACATCAAAATAGCGAATAGATGAGAATATCTCATGTCTGGTTGCCACCACACAAAGCCACTGTTTCCCTTCTCCGCATTCGCTGCATGCAGCAGTCGGCTCTGACTGCAATCAAAGTACCCTAAAATAGAAGCATTTCTCTCCTATTATTCCTGATAAAGTACAAAAAGTATTTTGCAGATTTAATGCCTCTCTTCGTTTAATTTACGAGGAAAAACCAAATTTGTTCGTTTTAAAACCGGTTCCCGCGTGCGTGTTTCTGTTGTGGCAGAACGGCTCCCGTTTCCCCATTAGTCAAGCAGAATTCCTTTTGAGTAGATGTAATTTTTTTGTTCCTGTTTCTTTGTTTAGGAGGTGTTTAAGATAGTTGCGGCTTTGAGGCTTCAAACAAGGAGCTGTACTTGAGTTTAACCTGCACAACACGCGAGCCTGAAGGTTTGGCATGTAAAGGACGCAATGGGAGGAAAAAACTATGGGCTAGAAAAAGGAAATAATTTAAGATGCCAGCTGGGAAACAGTGAGCTCAAGACAAGCACTGGGATACCGCTGGCGGGGCTAGACCAGCGCCCTTGTGACACAGTGAATTATCGCTAGCACTGTATGTAGCGGGCTAAGCTACACTGAGGCACTTCTCACCATGTCGGGTGCATTTAAAAATGAATAGGTGAGCAGTGGTTTAGTGTTGACTGCTCGTGTAGGTTACTCTTTCTAGGATTGCCTTGGCAAGGTTCTCGATTATTGATAATATTGTAACGCTCCATCTGTAGTTGGCTAAGCCGCACCTTAACGCTTTCGACTACACCATGTATATTAAGCGAGAACTTTGGTAGTGCTTGGCGCATTGTTTTGTCTGTTCGCATGCTTTACTTTGTGCGGGGTGCTGGTAGGTCGATACAGCAAGACGCAGTGTGTGAAATATGCTATTTGCATCTAGATGTGAATATTTGGAGTGCTTAAAGCTACAGCTACACACAACCTGGCTGCCTCTCTCTCTTAGAGTCAGAAACTCTGGGGGGAGCATGCAGGGAAATTCGGGGATTGTGTTGAAAAAAAGCAGCTTATATTGTGTTTGGATTGACTGTAGCTAGCAGAAGCCTTAGATGCAGCTTTACATGATAGCAAAAGGCATGGTTCGACGAAACTGTGCCCCCTATATTCACTGGCTAAAATTGCATTGGGATGTCCATCTCCCCTACAACAGTTGTTTGCTTTTAATAACATCGAATGGTACTACAAACATCAAAATTTTTTGACGCCAGGCTACAGAAATTTTTCCCGGTGGTGGGACTAGACGGCGTCACACTGCTTGCTGGGGCAGCGGACGTAGTAGCTCCATAGCTGGTAAAAGGGGTGATTCCATAGCCGCTTAAACGATTGATTGCGTTAATGCGGCTACGCTGAGCAGAAAAGTATGACAGCCGTACGGATGTGCAGTTACTCGAGGCTTCATCACCCGGTTCGAGATGTAGCTCGCTTGTTTCCCCCAGAAAAGGAACGAGTGCTCCTTGTGGCAGGATAAGTAGAGGGAAGCAATCCAATAGTGGCGGTACTTATGCAGGGAATATCGGTAAGCTGCAGAAAGTGCAACAGTTCACGCCATTCTACAATCCCGGATTAACTGGATTATGCCAAGGCCAAATCCGCCGCAAAACTTTGAAATAATTGAGACTGCTGAAGTAAGAAAAACCAATTGAAGCTTGTTGTGGCTCAAACGATCAAAGTTTGGCTCGCAAAGCCTAAAACGTAGACAATCACCTGCTGCGTCAGTGATTGATCTTGATAAGTCCCCAAGTGTCATGTCGGATGGCCTCACCATGAGCAGCGACTCAGCACTTAAGCAGGCGTTTGATGCAGTCTCGAAAAAGATGGCTTTACTTGAAGTATTAGAAATTATAAGGGTAGAGCTCTTGTGTTTATGGATAGAAGACGGGAAACCATTGAGGATTTAAAACCTGTAGATATCGAAGTCATGGCAAGCGGCCCTGTCCTAGAGTTTGAAGCTACCCAGAAAAGAGAGCTCGAGGATTCCTGCTCTTAAGCAACCCAGTACAGCCCTTAACAATGCACCTACGTATATTGTGGGACACTGGGTAATCTAGTCCACGACGGCAAGTGCATACAAATCGCCAAACAATTTGAACACCAGGGCTGGGCTCAGCGAAAGCAGGCTGCTTAGAGAGAAAAACAATCCAAAGCAGAAGACCCCCAACGCGGGCTACGGTCAGTGAAGAAGGCTACAGAGGATAGAGCCGCAGCTGCGATTCACCACGAGTCAATTCTGCGCTGACTAAAGTTCTCATTGATGGCAGGGAATTGTTATCGTCACTTGACGCTTGATGTGAAGTGGATGTGATATTCGAGGAGACAACGCAGCAATGCAGGCAGTCATTTCACTAGTTTGAGCAGACCCCAAGGCTTGAATTTGCTAACGAGCCGCAGAACGGGTGGATTGGCAAGGTAGCTTCGATTAAGCGCTACTTAGAATTGGAACAGGGTCCAACTGCACGGTCTAGGACGACCGTGGACCCATTCACTATCTTGGAAACATCTGCCAGGGGTGGGCCTAGGAATGCCGTGAACGACTCATTAATAGGCGCCCATACGGCCATAATTGTACGCTCTGCAGGTGAGTAAGCGCCACAAAGCGCCAGAAAGATTCTGCTGGCTCCAGCAGAAATGCTTATGTAATCTGTGGTGAGAGTAGATCCGATGACTCAACAACGTTAGCCAGAGTCTCCGTGCAAGCAGCTGAGCAGTACAGAAAGAGAAGACCATTGTGAGCATGCAGGCCGTTTGAAAGCTGCATAACCGGTCTCTTACTAGAAAATTTCAGTAGAAGTTCGCCCAAAGACAGTAGGAATGAGGCAAACGCCAAGGTGTAGCTCACAGAAGGGTTAAGTAATTATGAGCTGCCAGCAGGCTGGACACCCGCTGGTCGTCTTGGTCACGATACTGAGCTGATTTTCGGATGTTTCAAGCTATACACCGCGAGATAGGAAGTTGACACAGAATGAAATGAGATTGAGCTACAGGAAAATTATTTTTTGGAAAAAGACAAAGCGCAGAAATTGAACAGCGCTTCGGGGCAAAACTTGGTGGTGGTTTTGCCTGAGGACGGAGGGCGGCACACTTGCGTTAGCTATCTGCCCCTGAACAACGCCACTGTAAGCAGAAAATTTCGGTGCCTTATATTGGTGAATCACTGAACAACATACACGGATCATGTGCTCGGCATTTGACTGAACAGACTGTTTCTCCAAATCCTTAGACTTGCATCTCATTACCCAATTCTCATCGCTGAATTTGCTCAAATCGCTCTCCCTTTCACTTATCTTATTCGAGACAAAGCAATCCGCGACCGTAAAATCGAAGGTAGATGCTACAGAATGGGCTGTAAAAGGCCGCCTTAGAACTCTTCCCGTACTCACGCTGCCACACTCTGAGCACCTACCTTTCTGAGAACTTTTACTAGTGACGCAGCGGTGGCTGTATTCTTTCCTAACAGGCTACGGTTCCTTCCAACACCAAACTTTTGCTTTTTATTTTCATCGCTTTCCCCAAAGAGAGCAGCGGGATCCATTGAGGGCATGAGAACTCTGTGCGATGTAGTGGGGCGTGAACAGAGCCACATTCTGTCTGTGGGCGTCAATGTACTGGCCACACTCACCATCAGTCTTAAAAGCATGAAACAAGACTTTTAAGCTTTAACGAGCCTAGCGTGGCTTGCTGGTTTGACATCCTTCTGCATTGCGACCTTGCGGTGAATTACATTGATGACATCACCGTGGTCGCCGAGGCGCCATCGTGACCATCCCCTAGCAATAATGTGCTGTGCACCGTCACCGTTTTGGCCTGTGATGACTCTTGGTTCATACCAACCTTCCACGAGTTTATGCTGCTGACGTGCATGCAGCCGTTATTGCCAAAGTCCAGAAAGGTAAAAGGGAGGAACAAAATCGCATTAAAAATGCTGGGGCTTGGACCAAAGCAAGAGCTTCGTTTTCTGTTGTTCCAGCTTCCCGTCGTGGTGTTGTTTTGCCCAAAGCGCATGATCATGCTTTTGGGCGCCCTGTAAGGCTCACATTACAGTTAAAAAGCCCTAGCAGCGCTTCTGGTGGCCTAGAATGCGTCCTGTGACAGGGGTGTATGCACTGTCATGCCCATCTTGGCAAAGGTAGAAACCATAAAATGCTCATTAAATTCCCCCTTTGCAGAGCCGCTTAGCTTAGACAATTGCGACTAATGTGAGTATGGACTTCATTGTTGGACCTACGGAAGTCAGGGTCACGACAGCATATACGTTGTGGACAGACTTTACAGATATGCCCATCTCACGCTCACGGCTCGCGAACTGGCCCAATAACTTTTATTAAATTTTGGAGAGCTTCATGATTTCCCCTAAAGGGCTATTACGGAGATAGTTCTGAGGGTTGTTATCGCTCTTGGTATGCCTTTATGATCCATCTACACGTCAAACATAGCATGACCATTGTGTACCACCGAGGCTAATACAGACCACGCACACCGCTGGCACTCTTCTGCTGTTTGTACGGCATTATGTGAACGGAGAGCCAATTGTTTTGTTAATCATCTTGCTTGTGCTGAGTGGATTTTATAATATAACAGTACACTCGTATACCTGCTGCTCTCCCGCATCCGCGGTGTATACAGAGGAGCCCTTCTATTTGGGCCTGAACCTGATGATGGGATAGCGACATATTTCTGACAGCAGAATGACTTAGAGCTCATTTAAATAGTGCATGCTGATGCACGCACAAAGCTCAAAAGACGCAAGCATGGCAATATGGCAAGCGGCGCTCGGCTGTGTTTTCAGAGCCTGGGAATTTGGTTTTGCTCGATCGGCGGGGTCTACGGGGTGCTTCAAAAGCTCATTAGACAAACATTCTGGCGGACAGGTGTCCACGACCATTTGCCATAGTCGCATAACTCAATTTTCATTCTTACTCGACCGATTGCACTAAAACTTGGTGGTGCCGCAAGGTTGTCAGTGCTGGCTCCCGAAGGAAGTTTCAGAACACGCGCCGCCCAGCCAACAAGCCTGTATGGATGCGGCGATCCGCAGGGTGTCGTAGAAGTGCTAGATTATAGGACTGCTGAGGGCCGAGAACACACTAGTGTGGGTGGGGGATGCTAAATCCAGTGGTTACCGCAGGAGCAGTTGCTCGTTCCGGGGCCTGCGGGAGAAAATGCGGCCTTCTTGGATGCGCAGTAATAGTTACCATGGACGCAAGTTTTTGCGCTCAATGGTAATTGTCTTTTTCCAGCACGTGCTGTGCCTAGTATAGCTATCTTGATCTATGGGTAGTATTTTGAAAATTTTCGGTCATTGTTGCCCAGGGGCCCTGAGAACTCGCGTTTTTTTGCAGGTACACCTGTATCCTCTTTCAGGCTTTAATATCGACAACTATTATATTCAAGTAGCAATTTGTGAAGAGTTGACATATTGATTTGTATGTTCGCACAACCATATTTATTGCAAAGTATGCTGAGCTCGAGACAGCGAGTTACAATGTTGTGTGCCTGTTTGCTGGATGCTTTGCGTAATTAGCTGTGAATGATTGGAGGGTTTGAAAGGGAAAGCTATGCGCACCTACGCTGTCCCTATTCTTTAGAATCGGGGACCCTAAGGGGTGCGGAGAGGAGAATCGAGCTTTTTTCGGAAAAACGCTCAATAACCTGATACGCTGCACCGAGTCCGCAGTTGTATCCCGGTGGACCATCTTTAAACTGGGTATCGCAGCGACCTCCGCATATTTCAGAACGCAGACGGCACAATTGTGATGCTAATGGGCTGATACTTTCAAGGGGTTTTCCTAACACCGGCTACAATAGCTTGCCCTTCTTCAATTCGCTATAAAAAAACCCTTGGACTTCGGCTCCACGTGACAGCCTGCACAGGCGCCTGGCTTGCTTGCACCTGCATCCGCAAAGTGTTCCTAAATGCTACTCTTGTAGCCTGTGGCCTGTGGTCTCCTACTGGAGAGACCTTCGGTCCTACTCAACCGCCTGCCTGTTACTTATCAAAAAGCAGGCCTTCAGATTCCAACATCAAGGATACATCATGAGCAATGGGGAACAATATTAGCTACAGTTTTTGGCTCCGCGTGCCGCAAATCAAGGAGACACAAAAGGAGCGAAATAAATAAGTGCATGTCAGAAGGCACTCCATGCCGTTACTCTCCAGATAACAAAAGAATGCACCTCGCTCGACTCTGACGGCATTCACTGAGGCCGGATAGCGTCTAAACGGGCAACTTACAACCCTCAGGGGATGAATGTTTCTAGTGTATCCCCCGCCTTTCTTTCATCTCCGTACAATTGCACCGATGAGGACCAGCAACTATGCGCATACGTATCGTGCGGGGTACAGCTGCCACAAAGTCGAGCCTTTTCTGCGAAACTCTAGAGGTCAGTGTGGCGGCCGGCCCCAGTGTATCTTTTTGTGACCCATTCGACCAGAACGGCTCCCTGGCTTATTTGCTGACTTCTTTTTCTTCTGGGAAGGGGGTGGCATGGTCCCCCGCCGACATTTTTTCCCCTTCTGCTGCAGGGCATCAAAGGCGGCACGCTGCTGCACAACGAAAGCTCCAGTGTCGCTGCCTGCTTGGGTTGAAATGACGGTTGCCGCTGCATCAAAACACACAGAGGGAAGGTCACGAACGTAATGGCGATGGAAGCACACCCAGTGAAAGGCGCTAGGGCAGATGAAAACAAGAGGCTCCGCAACAGAATTTTCCGGCGACGAACGTGAAAGTGGACTGCAGTTATCCATAGAGGATACACAAGCTAAATTAGAAAAAGGGCATGGCAGTGAGGCGCGGGGCAGAGCAAACGCAGCGACACGATATGTGGAATGCCGACAACGGTTACAAGCAAAGAGCTGGTCAAAGTGTGGAACACAGACAGTACGCTACGCTTACCGCCTACGATCTTGTTGCTAAGGGGATTCTTGACCTTCTTTGCACGGCCCAGATCGTACTCTCTGTCGTGTCTGCTACGCTTGCTCGGCAAAGGCTGCTGCAGCAGTTGTAGCTTCTCGAACAACTCTTGGTCACTCGGTGCTGCTACTTCGTCTGCACTACTTTGAAGTCTGTCCTCCTCCCAAGACCTCGCTGCGCTGCAGCCGAACTGCTGCTTTCGGCCTGCGGCGGCCTTCTTCCTCTCCAACATCATCTCCTCCGTCATCACGGATAATATCCTCGTTTGCTGCTGCTGTTTGTGCTGCCGCACAGGCGTTGGGGGTTCCAGTCTCAGGTGATGGTGGTCTTGAGTTGGATGCTGCCTCGCATGCCGCTGTTGTTGCCGCGCGGGAGTGCCCCTGCGGACCCTTTGAAGGCTCCTCAGCAGGGCGTGGCAGCGGATGGTTAGCAACAGCCTCCGCCTGCGGGAAAAGGTCAGCTCCTGTTTTCTCTGAACCCGTGTCAACTCGCGCAGAAAAGGGAGTGCCGCATCACAAGAGGAGGGCTCTGCTGAGCAGCTACTGCTGCAATCACTACTGCACCCATCGCTGTTGCTGCTCCAGTTGCTACTACAGTCGTCGCTCCATTCCTCTTCGCTAGTGATGAACTCGGCCTCATCCATACTGTCAAGGCCACTCTCGGATTCAAATTCTTCCAGCTCATCCGAGTGCGTTTCAGGTTGCATGGGCCGTTGTTGGTTCCTGAGCTGCTGCTTGTTGGACTGCTGCTTCTCCTGCAGCTTGATGCGCTGCATCAGCTCCTGCTGTTGAAACTCCCCCTTTGAGGGGATCTTCGAGTAGAAGAGAAGGTAGGCTTCCTGCTGCAGACGGCAGAGCACCGCCGCCTCGCTAACCACTGACACCAACTCGTCGTCTATGGCTAGCCAGCTAGCGGTGTCCCCTCCCCCGCCGTCCTGGCTATCTGTGCAGCTGGTTGCCTTTGGGGCCCTTACAAAGGCGCGGTAATGACCAGAAGACGGTGAGCTTCCGGAGTGAGACACAACAGCAAATAGACGGTACAAATAGGACGGAGCAGCCGACATTACGCCGGCCCTGTTGGCAGAAGTCAAATTGCTCTTTTGAGTGACGGCTGACTCCTTTGCGGCTGCTGCTGCGCCTGTTGCTTTTGGATCCACACAGACACCCAAGGAGGTAGGACAAGGGGAGTGTGGGGGAGAAGAGCTAGGGGAGGAGGCGGTCGTCGATGCGGCGGAGTTCGGCGACCTTTCTGACTCCGGAAGCAGTTTTGGACTCTGCTCCGGTTGTTGCTGTAGTTGCTCCCACTGCTGCTGGATCTGCTGTTGCAGCAGCTGCTGCTGTGCCTGAACCCCGTCTTGCGCAACGTAAGGAAGTAGGTTCAGCTTCGCAGGGAAGGCGATGGCTCTGTGGTTCTTCATTGGGAGGGCGCAGCCCTTGGCGAAGGCCACCGAGAATCTCTTGAGGGCAAAAACCAGCACGCGGGGAGTCGTGAACAGCTGCAGCTGCTTAGAAGCCGTGACCTTCTTGTTGCATTGGGAACACCTTCGGGCGCAACACAGCATCATCCAGAAGGTACCATAAAGTGCATTACCGGGTGCCTCCTACAAAGACCGACGCTTGGCAAGTCGAAGAGTAACGGCAAACCACCTTGCCTACTACGCGTTACTAGGGTAGGTTGCGCAGTATGGGTGTGAGCTTAAAATTTGGGGTATGCGCACATGTAGGCGTTACATCCACTGAGAGTTTCCTTCGCGATGAACCTGGATAGGGCCTTTTCAAGCGTGCATGGCTTGGGTGTGGCTCCCCAACGGGGGCCTCCAGGGCCACGATGGGCCCCTGGCAGGGGCCCCTGGCCCCCTCCTCCAATGTCTAAGGGAATGTCTATGGCGCTCTCGAACCGCACGGAAGCCCTCCCACAGTCGGAGCAGACGACCGAAGAGCGGAGCCAGCAGCCAAACAACCGTCCAAAGTAGCTGGTGAGAGCTACCTCAGGCTTCATTTCCTTTTTTCCGTGCTGCTGGTGCTGATGCTGCAGTTGCTGCAACGCTACAGCGGCTGGTGAAGTAGGAGCCTTCATCAAAGCGTCCAGCAAAAACCTGAAGAACTCGTGGGCATCCTCTTGGCGCCCAGGCCTGAAGGCTCGCCATATAAAAGGCCTGATATATGGCGCCAGTTGATTTGGAACCCAACCGCGGGGCCCCCTGCAAGGGCCGCCGTTAGGGGCCCCTTCCTCCTTCCGGTGTATCGCCAGCACCTGCTGTTCAAGTTTGCAAAAGGCGCAGAAGGAGCCGCAAGCATGCGTCTCCGCCTTTTTGTCGCTCGCGACCAGACCAGGGGCTGGCCCCTTGTGCGAGCCCTGGTGTACGGAGGTCCCCTTCGAGGTGACCCCTCTTAGCCTAGCAAAGCAAGAGCGCCGATGGATGCCCTCGATGCAGTCGTCTGCGAAGCCTGGGGTGTATGCGAGCGCTTGAAGAACCGCGTTGGCGAAGCAAAGGGCGTGGGGATTCGACAGGCCTACTCCGACCCCGCGGGCCTGAAGAAGCAGTGCGACCAGGATAAGACAAGGAAAAGATGAGGGCAGAGAAAGGAGAAATATTCAGACAAAATCAATCATACAGCTATAAAGGGTGATGTGCTTTTCCATAAGGAGTTAGAAGGCTTTCTTGGCCATCCCCCAAGGCAGAGGACCAGCAGCAACACAATTTTCATAACCTCTAGGTTTAAGAGAGAAGGCAGACAGTATCAGCACCCTGAGAAGTGGCCACTGCTAAGGCTGCCTAAATTGCTGTTGACGCTATTGTTGCTAATGCCGCTTACTGCCCGCCAGCAGGGAAGAGGAACATCTGCTGGGAAGCAGAGGGTCTGGGTTTCAGGTGCAGCAGGGGGCAGCTCCACCACGTGGGATGCGCTTAGCTCCAAGGAAGTCTTGCAACAAGCTTCCCGAACCTCTGTTTTTGTTGCAGCAACAAAGGAAATACTCCGGTCGCTCAGGGTCACACAGGGGCCACTTAAAAATGCGGCCATCTTCACTTTTCCTGCTGTCACAGCAGCTTGCGCAGTTGCTGCTGCAGGTCGGTAATCCAGCGGGTCCTGCGCTGCTGCTCTTGAACTGAAATGGCGACGGCTGCTGCTGAGGCAGCAGTACGGCTGCAGCCGTACTGCCGCTGCTACGGCCGGCTAGTGGGCTGGACGGGAGGTTTTACGGCCCTGAGACCTTTGGACTTGAGGCTTGTAGGCGACGCACGTGTAAGGCGGGGAGCCTTCGCTGAGTGGCTCGGATATGGGGGAGATGGGAAAGCAGCATGCCGGGGGTCCTGGATCCCTGCGAGGCCTAAGTGGCAGAAAGAGAGAGGAGGCTGTCACACTGGCAAGATGCAACGAAGAGCAGAAATACAGCCTGGACCCTAGCCCCTAAATTATCCACACAGAGAGTGCAGACCAGCACAGATTGAGGTGTTTTCCAATTAGGAACGCGGAAGGATACGGAGGGGCCCCTTTGCGATTGCTGCTTCAGTGGTAGCTGTTGCCGCAGCTGCTGGTCGGCCTTCGGACTGCAGCGTGCATAATATCCACGTCACCAACAAAACATCACAAATCCTACAGAAAGAGCGAGAACAGAGCGATGATTGCAGCGGGTGGTTCTTGCAGTGACATGGTCGGGGGTCCAGCTGAGCCTCACGGCAGCGGCCTGTGGGGCGACACTACGGGAACGGCAGTGTACCATTTGCCATGAATGCCATTGAGCCCCTAAGATAATGAAACACAAGGATATGCAACGACACAAATTTTGGGGTGATGGGCTTGAATGGCAGAGGCAAAGGTGACTAAACACGCATGCAGCGTAAATGATCGTTGCAAGCTTCCCAAGACAGCAAGAGGACCTAAAACGGACTTGATCTACACATGATTCAGGAGGACACAATCCCAAGCACGCATAAGCCTTATATTTTAGTGAGAATCGCTAATCCCAAAGGCCTTGAGGGCTCTGTAACATCCCCTAAGTATGTGTACAGTTACACACTGGATGAATGGTAGAGGCCGCCGGCACCTCAAATAACTAGTCAAAGCACAAAAACTTCAGAGTCATTATGTTTCCCTAATATGACTGTTTCTTCTGCTCTGCCTTAAAGCTACGTGGCTGTGGGGCAAGAGGGCAACAAGCCAGGTGATTTGACATGCCGCACCCTCAAAGCACTATGCTCCCATGCCCACATATAAATATATCATACGCGCTCTTGCTATCGCTGGTGTTGCTAATTCAGTGTGTCAACTAGTGAAAGACTAATTTAGGAGCCGCTCAACACTGCTTTTGGCCCTTACTCGCATGTACCATAGTCTGGTACCCTTGTGAGCAAGAACGAGGGAAAAAATGAGTCACGCCTTAGAAGCACAGCATAGCTTCTTTTTCTGTATATACCCAAGGACAGTAAGCGACAGCTCATCAGAGTGAACAGTGCCATCACAGTTGTCAAGAATTGGTTGCAAGCAGCTGAAGGAGATTCCTAACGAGTTTGAAACAGCAGCGCCAAAACTGGTGGAACCAGCTGCGATAGCAGTATTAAAGGCTGCGGGAGCATTTGGATAGGCTGCAGCAGCATGTGTAGTAGCTACAAAACACCTGGAAATATATATACTTATGTGGACACTTTGGTTTAAAAAGGGGAGCCGATATATGGTCAACGTGTCAGTGTTGTAGCTGTTACACCGGCAACAAGGCAGTAACATACCCTAACAACCCTGGAAACAGAGCCTGGGTGCAATGTTTGCGAGGGCCATAGAGAGCTGCAGGCCTACCTAGCCAGTGCACACTTTTCAAAAGCCTGAACGGATCAGTGCCTCCCACCCAAAGTATGAAACCTGCCTTCCCATTGCTGTGCCGGTTCGCTTGGGCGAAACTTCGCAGCTGCAGCCGCTAATCCTCCTTATGATGATGCACATATGCTTATTATGTTATTATGGGAAGGAATCCCTGTGCATTGTAAACCCTTCGGCCCGTGTCGGACAGGGGTGTAGCCCCGGGGGAAAGAATAACTGCATCAGGGCATATAACGAGCTCTCGTGACGACACCCGGGGCCTCGCTCCACCCCTTTGCTTCTCCATATGACGCGCGTAAACAGCCGTGATGGCGACGAAAAAAAGCCCGAAGGAAGACCATAAGAGCACCAGCTGCAGGAAAAGGGGAAGCAAGAGGAAAAGAAAATAAAAAAGTAACAATTTGCCTGCTGCAAACAAAATTCATGGCTACAAAAGCCTTTGAAAGCACTCCAAAATTATTCCAAGGGAGGACTAAGACATGGTTCGTCCAATCTACCTCACTGTTACACATCGATACACCAGCATTGGGCACTCGGACATGAATAAGAACATGCTACAGTTTAGGGTTTAGTACATCGGCGTCTTCCACCATTAGGTAATGGGCTTTGGTTCACACGGGTATAGAATTTACCCTAAGGCCGAGGATATCGCCCCCGTGGAAAAGATCTATAAAAACTCCGGGGAGAAAGGCGCCTGAATTGAGCACACGCATGCAGACGTAAACAGATAGAGGAGAATAGAATAAGTATAGTGAGGAGTTTAGGCGATTATAATGACGCCAGGAAATTGCGGGAAGTGAGTTGTTGAAGGAGACCATGGAGTTTGCCTAGCTGCATGTCCGCGAAGTTCACAACAAGCAAAAGGTACATCTACCCCTCAAATTTCCCCTCTGCCACGTGTGAGAACACATATATTCTACGACGAGATTCTACCAGATCCGCTGCCCTCTAGCGTGGGCTACTGCAAATGCATTGTCTACTTGAACACACAGCCTCCGCTGCTGGCCTTTGCACTACGGAGCTGCGAATCCCCATGTGCGTTCTTTCCTAGCTGCAATTCTCAGCCTCTTCTATCTCTAAGGTCTACCTCATCCTCCCTGCCGCTCATTTACAAATCATGACGCGCAGCTGTAAGATTTGCTTTATTCAACGACATTCGAATTTATTCTGGGGGAGAGCTAGGGGGGGACGTCCAGTTCAGGGACTGTCTGCCTGAGTGGCTTACCCAGGGCATAACCCAGGATATTATAGAAGAACATGGAGACACCGCTTGCAAGAGTGCGCAGCCGGGGGCTCACAGCATCGATCTGAATGCCAGTGAGCGGCGGCAACATCGCCGCTCCAAAGTAGAGCAGAAACCAGAGCGATCCGACGCACATATACGTGTTCGAGCTAAAGCTCCCTATTACAGCTGTGCTCACCCACACAAAACGACACAAACACCACGACTAAAGTAAACTCAGTGCAAGCAAAATACACGGTAACAGGGGCAAGAACGCGCACTTAACAAGGATGAAGGTACGACACACACCGCAGAACACCACACCCCAAACCAGAAATTCTAAATCTTCCATGCCCAACTTTCAAAAGAGAACAAAGCCAGAGCTTGTCATGGCCAGAAGTGGCAGAAAGAGTTCTCGCCCTTTTAGGTTTGCTTACCAAACATTACGGCCGCGGTAGCATAAGCCGTGCATGCGTAGAGGGTGCGTCGTCTGCCGCTGAGGGTCTTGTAGCCGCCTACTGCATCGACTGTAACTCCACCCATTACCACCCCGGCCACGGGGGAGGTGGCCGCAACAGCAGCAAATGTAAGCATCGCCACTGTAGGGCTAAGACCCAAAGAAGAAGTAAAAAAGATTGTGCCCCAAAACTGAACCCCAGTGACCACAAACAACAACGCACATAACGTCAGCATCGGCGTAACGTACATAGGCGTCCTGAGAAGCAAGAGACAGCGAAGAAGCAGCAAACTGCGTCAAAATCTGGAATCAGCACCAGCTGATGCTGTAACTTGATGTTCCGCGTGCAGTGCCTCCCAGAGCCCCAGCAGCACCGCGATAAGACGGATATCTCTAGCTGAATAGCTAATGAGTCAAAGGTCCCCCTCAATGTAACAGTGTCAGTTAGCCGAGATCAGACACGCACATGAGCAAGGTCAGTGTGGAGTGCTTGTGGGTGGAGTGGACACGTGGGGTAGCATTATATAAGGGCCCTCTTGCTGCCGCGCAGCCTGCAAGAGCATGTACTCTCCCATCCGTGGACCGCCTTCTGTGGGCTTCGCTGGCTCGAGCTGGGGTCAATGGCAACCCTGTTTCCACGCGTGTGTGCCTTTGCTGTTGCACTTCATATCCTTGCTGCTGGGAGGTTGGGAGGTCACTGCTTCGACAGTCAGCGCAACCGCTAGCCAACTCCACAACTGCCGAAGCTGGTAAAGGGTCCCCGTCGCCAGGATCCTCCTGCTGTCCCTCCGGTTCGTGCTGCCCCTCCCGTTGGGCCTCCTGCTCAAAAACGCCCGCCTCCTCTGAAGGGCTGAAGCAGGGTTCGTGATGATCTAGGCTCCTGGAGCTCCCCGGGGTGTCTATATATTCTTTAGGGAAGATGGAGACTATTGCAATGAGCAAGCACAGAAATACGATCTGCACGCCGATAGCTGCCCGCCAGTTAAAGTCCAAATAGACTGACAGGACGCCTGCGCTTAGATATCCCACCTGCACACCACAACAAACCCACCGACCGCCCGTAAGTGCAATAAGGGGGTTTGAAACTACGAAAAGAACCAGCTGCGCCCCTCGATAGCTCAGGTTCTAAAGGCAAGAAGGCGCTCCCTCAATTGCCGAAGCCGAAAGCGATGGGCAAGCTCAGAGCAGTGTGCACGAAAGTACAGCAGCTGCTTCCCCCATTTCCCCTAAAATTGATACACGCAAAGCAGTAGGAAGAGCAACACCAACAACAGCATGCAGTTCTACACAACAGTGTCTCCTTACGGTGACGCCGACGACTGCGGATCCTTGCATTATGCCCATCCATAGTGCTGCCTGCTTGCGGGGAGCGAATTCGTCTACCCAAACAGGGGCGTAAATAACGAATGGCGCCTGCGTGAGCCCTACTAGAAGCCTGCTGACTAGCAACATCACCGCGGAGGATGTCAACTCCACGAAAGAGAAATCTGGAAGGTGAAAGGAGGGCTCACGCATGTTGTCCTTCTTCGGCCCCGTTTGTGCAGAGAGTAGCGCCGGCGATGCCCCTGTTATATCCACTACCTCTAAGTGAGGTCCCTCATTGCCTCCAGTTCCAGCAGTGGTTGCAGCGAGCGTGCTAGTGGTAGAGGGCACATCACGTGGCAGACAGAGCGTCAGGACCATCATGAGAGTGGCAATTGCATTTAGAGTCATCGACACCACAAGGACTCGCTTCGCACGCCATTGTGCAAAGATGCGTCCGGCAAAGGGCGCGGTGACGGTGAGACCCACATATGGCAGAGCCCCCAGCATGCCTATAAAAGCCCGCAGATGCGCACGCGTTGAGGCACACACAGGAGTAGAGAGAGACATATGAAGAATGGGAGGGACAGATCGAGGCAGATCACGTTAAGGGGTTCGAAGAGGCATCAAGAGGAAAGGAGCCAGAAGCTACGGCAAAAGTAGAGTAATCTATAGCGCAACAAATTAGGACACCGAAAGAGGCATACGGAAGCTCCCTCTATGCACAGTTTCATGGAGTAGGCCTAGCTACGGATAGCATTTGGCGATACTGTCCCCTGAGGTGCACTCTTGGGATGCCCTGCTACACTTGCACTACTCCGCGTTCCAGAGGCATGTTCACGAGAACCCTCCGCCTCTCAAATTGAGTTTAGGCAGTAGGCATAAACCGCTGGCAACTGAGTAACGCTGACAGTGAGACCAGTGCCGCAACGTATACGCACCTTGCCAGGTCGGGGAGAGGCGGAATTCATCGGCCATGCGAGAGAGCGTACAGGGAATAGCCCCACAGTCAAAATTTACGAAGATCTCCAAAGAGAAAAACACAACCAAAGCCATGCACGTAAAACGTACGTCATCCCGCGGATGATCCACAGTCTGAAGACACAGGATCCACCGTTAAAGTTTTACAAAGCAAAGAATGCATGCCCAAGTTACTTCCGCACGAACATTGAAGGGTGCACAGCAGCAGTAGCTTCATCAGCAGTAGGTTCGCCCTCGCAATCGCCACATTCCCTCTTACCGACACTAACGGTGGACCGCCTTTACCCAGTTACAAGCATATAGGCTTCCTTTCTACATCTTCCCTATTTATAGCAGTTACACGCTCTAACAAAAGCTCAACTAATCACAGGTCAGCAGTGTCACAAGGTGAATGAGCCTACCAAAGAAGGCTCCAGGCCACACATTCGCCAAAAGCGATGAACCGGCTCTCCAGTCGGCGCCCCCTTCTCCACTTCCAGGGACCCCGCAGGCTGAGCCACAGGCTCCGACCCTTCCGTGTTTGCGAGGAAATGTCTCTCCTGCTGGCTATCTGCATTGTTGGTTCTGCCCCAGTTCTTCCAGTCCCTGGTTCCAGAACGCCCAGTGTTCCTGGGAATACCCTCAGACGGAATGTTGCATCGCCCTGCACTTTCCAAGTCCTCAGACTCTCGCGCAACCAGGGGATGGCATTCGTCTGTTGGGGCACTTCTGGCAGGTGGTGACATCTTCCCCAGAGAATCAAGGGCAGATTCGAGGGGAAGGGAGGAGGCAGGGCCCTTCGCCGTTGCTTCGGCCTCACTGGCAGAGTCCCCGCAGGTGACCGTGACGGCTGCCTGTTCACAGTTGTGCTGAGCGTTCTTCAGTTGAGGGCCGCAGGAGTTCATTTGCAGCAAATGAGTTCTATAAAGACTCCATGAACTTGCCCTTCAGAAGGCAGGGAAGGGGCAAGAGCGGAAAGACAATTGAGTTCAGTTCTGTACCTTAGAGGCACCTCCACGATTCACAGGCCCCCGGAAGGGCTAAGACAGACGGGTAAGCAAACAACCGCCAAAAAATATCACGCAATAGGAACCGTAGAATGCCCTAACAACAAAAGGTTCCTCTGCACCTCCTAGGGCCTCGAGTGATACAGCCTATGAGTGACGGGAGGAGGGGCCCCTTGAGCAGCCACATCCCTGTGAGAGGCAATTCAAATTCTTGATGTCCATAAATCTCTCAGAAGGGAGAATCAAGAGAGAAGCAACTACGGAAGACACTTCTCTGTCGCTCGAAAGCGATGCAGGCCCACCACTACGAAGACTAAGGTAGCGCAATCTGGGGACCCCTGGGCGCTCGAAGCTAATATTTGTCCCCCAGAAAAAAACAAAGATTAGCATTAATGCGATAAGTATAGAATAAGTAGCATATCACCTGGTACGCGGAGTCCGCAGCCCCAAGCATGGGAACCAAACGCCGGGTACCTCGAGCTTGGGGGAAATGGAGGGCTGCCTTTCCTGTTTAAGTTTTGAACCGTTAAATTCCATATTCTGTACACATTTATGCCATAATAATTGCCATGCGATTGCCTTTTTCTGGAACCTGCTAGCGAAGTCCTTGGACCCGATCACTCGCGAACTGGCGTACAGCATTGACGACACTAGAAGTGAAGGGTACACTAAGAAAAGCAAAAAAGCTGGCAGAGACTCCATATTTAGAGAGTCCTGGTATTTGGAATGTCCTAGGGCCATCCAGATGAGACAGTGAATATAGTTTAGTACACCAATGCACCAAAAGAAAAGCAAAGTACAACGACTGGAAATGTCTCATACGCAATCCAGGTATGATAATACATTATGTATTTAGTACATAAAGCATCCAATACACACCGGATCTCGGAAGAACCGTGTAGCGCCGGGTAATGTGGACATAGGGAGACAATAGACTCTACACTCAAGGAAAGCTTAATTTAGTACTATCGAGTGGCAATCTAAATGAGCTTGCTTCTTTCACTCCCCGTGCCATTCAGACTTCCGATGTATGGGGAAAGGGACAGCGAGGGTTCGCATTGCTGTGAGTGCTCAAAGTACTTCGAGCAATCCAAGCTAGTTGCACATGGCATGTGGCCCACCCGCATGCAGCATTGGGTCTTCCTTTGTCAAGCTGACAGTACTATCCAATATGTTAGATATACGAATAGACAACTCAGCAACTCAATTCTCTACCAAATCTCCTTGACTATATCTCGTGAAGTGGAAGGTGCTGGAGTGTAGCTTAGCCAGCTAGGACTCGCACTTCCCCTAAAATTTCACGAGTAAAATCCTTCGTGCTCCGTTCCTCTCCGTCAAGACCAGTTATGCGCAGGACAGCGGATATGTTCCCGCCCTATCGCCCCTCCCCTTTTAGGCAGACACGCATTAACCGTGCGAGTGAGAAAAGCAAAAAGTGCATGAGACTTGATGAAATATAAAAGCGAAGAAAGACACACAGTAGCCAATGGAAAACGAGGAACCAAATCAACATTACCGCGGCGACGCACTGGCTCACCTTTGCCGGAGCACTAAAATGTATGAACCTCTTGCAATGAGACGATTTATAGCAAGTAGACGTTCCTGCCTACCTTTTAGAATAATCTCTGCATCCGCATACAACTCATGCATGCAGCATATTCAAATTAATGCTCAGGTAGGGCATAGGAAAGAATAGAAGTACGACATACCAGACTGGTCTTGTGCAGAAATATGAGTGATAAGAACACCTTTGTAGTGATACTAGTGAACCTTTAAAGCAATGTCTGCATATCAAGATATTTATTGCAAGGGTATCATGCACTGAAAAAAGGCAAATATCACTGAACGCGAGGAGTAGCATCCATGTCGAGGCGTCTTGCTCTTCAAAAAAGCCTCAAATTGCCCCACATGCACAACGCACCTTGAGCTGCTCGTCCTTCAGGCATTGAATTTATCGGTCCCCACCTCATTTCACTAGAAGCTCGCTTTTACTGTGTAGACTCAAGAGCCTTACATTCTAGCACTTCTAAGGCACCCTCTAAATTCTCAGCCTCTATAGAGGGCACTTGTCTACGCAACAATGTCCGTGAAGAACTCTACGCGTTTAAAGCTTCATTAGGAAGTCAGTAAATCTATGGGATCCCCAACCACTACGGTAATCGGAGGAGTAATAAGCAACCATCAGTTCTCATGTGGCACCAAATTCTTCCTCTGATTAGCTTATGGAACCTCCTGAAGCTGCCAATGCAACAACTGAATCTCCAGGCTAGTATCCTAAAAGCCCAATGCCCCTATTAATTGCATGCTATTCTCTGTTAAGCTTTGCATATATATTTACACATTTAAGGAAATGGATTTTTAAGTTCCTCGGCTAAAAGGGGGCTGCTTTCCCCGGACCACCGGGTCGAGGCCCAAGTAGGGAAGGGATTTCTCAGTGTAGACCAGGCATGCGAGAGGGCACCGATAGAAAGAATGTACTGATGTATTATGCTCTCATTAAGCAAACCAAAGAATGTGAAGTCAAAAAATTGGATATTTCTGAGCAGACAGTGGCAACTATTGCAAAAAGTGCGGTTGGTGAGCTTGGTCCTTACTTGAACCTCAAGGTGACTTTCAGTCGCCACATTACAGCATATCTCGAAGCCAGTCAGAAAGGCATCGCAGAATGCATCAACACACTTTGGACCTTTCTTCAACACTATCCTTTTAAGGAATCCGCGAGGCTTCCGAACATGCGGTAAAAGCCAACGAGTGGCTTTCTGAGCCCTGTACGAGTAGGAGCAAAGGAAGAAAACAGAATATTTGCAGAGTCTGTCAACAACAGAGTAGATATGATTCTAGCCATGGCCTCTGACAGTCCACCAATGCAGTCCATTGTCAGATAAGTGAAGCTACTATCTGAAATTGGAAGCCTATGCAGAAGAGTGGTTTAAGGAGTATTTCGCGGCTTCGGTTGCTGACAATGTGGGCCAACATGGTCACCCCTCTGTAATACTGGATTTCTGGTTTGTCCGCACCCTTTTTTTAAATTGCAGAGTAGCCACAGCTTAATCCAGACGACGCACCGTTTATTGGGAGTGCGATATCTGCTATGTGCAATTAGCTGGAAGTGGTCGGAGTGCCTAGAGGATGCAGACCCGCGCACAATAGCTGTCGTCCCACCCGTATCAAGAACGTCGAAGGGCGCGGAGAGGAATTGGAGTGACTTTGTTTGAAACATCAATAACATGCTACTAGCATTGCATTGGTTGTGCAGTCAGTTGTCTCTCTACCCAGACTAGTGGAGCGGTATAGTTGTTAACACTGCACGGTTCGAGGCACCTGTTTCCCGCTCATCCTGTGGCTGTGGATGCAGTTGGCTATCAGGATACCATACAACAATTGTCTAGCTCTGATACATTTATTGGGTAATCCAATAATCTGGTTTCTCTGGAACCTGTTTTGGAAAAACACCCTGCAATGGGAGTAGACAGTGATACAACGACTTGTGGGGAGGCACAGCCCAGCCTGCAAGCTGATATGCGCGCAGTAGCTACACAGCTGGTAGATCGACATCACTTATCGTCCAATGATAAGTCTATGGATTCGTCAATGAGGTCACAACCCCTCGAGGAGCATGACGGCCGCCAGGATGGGAAAGTGCTCGAAGATAAAATGACCCTATTGCAAATGTAACACGGCGCGCATCCGTTTGAACATGAACGAGGCATTCTTGCAGCATGATTATCGGAAAGAGAATCAACTTAATCACGGCTTTATCTCTGGAGAGGAGGTCTTTTGTCTGCAGGGATAACCACGCTTCAAGCCCTTTTAAGGTCCCTGACTCATCGGTTATTGCCAAGAAAAGCTCACCACGAGACTTTGGGAGTGTTGAGTAAGCTGAAGCAGGGGAATCTCTCGATAGGTCAATATGTTCAGAAATGTGAAATTCTGGCCGCAAAAGCACAAATAGATGAACAGCTACTCTATTAGTGGCTTGCATCAGATCTCCTCGAGGTGTACGTTAGGTTGTTCCAGTGTGGGCAGCAATCCAACAATCCAGCCAATACACAGCCAGCCGATTCTCCTCAAAGGATGGATTACCTTAGTCGCTTTCCAAAAGCAAATAAAATCAAAATTTGCCTCGGCAAAACACAGAGACTTTTGGCAATTAATACAAAGGGGTATCGGGTGGTGTCAAGCGGCGCTAGCCTAGTACCTAGAGCAAACCTGAAAAGAAAGGCAAAAGGAATTCGCGCTTTTTGAGCAGCTCCACACATTTACCCAACATCGGACCTGCTTCTAGAGCGAGGAATGCCCTTGTATAATCCATAGCTGCAAGCCCATACAAAAAGAACCTAAAGAACAGAGTTGGGTCCAGGAGAAGCGGGCTACTTGGCGGGTAAAGAGGACACAATAGGCAAAAGGGGAAACCCCCACGCGGGCTGCAGTGCAGTACAGGGGTCTATAGAATACAGAGCCACACTTGAGGATCCATCAAGGTTCTATCGTCCGCTGAAGCAATTCACATTGTTGAACGATAATTGATGGCGTTACTTCCCACTGAATGTAAAGCGGATGCGCCATCCGAGGGGTATGCACAGGATTCAAAAACTTGCGGTAGCTCTAAGTCCCTGGACAACATCACTATGAAGCAAATCCTGAAGCCTTATATTCGCAAATTGTACTGGACACGCTACACGAATTAAAGGCGTGCTCGGCATTTGACTTCAGAGGCTCTCTTGAATATCCCTATTCACCCTCCGCACAGGCACAAACCGGCGCTCCACACTAACATTAGCAAGCTCGAGCGTACCTATATGTTATTTAGACTCCCTAATGCTCCAGCTTAACTGCAGTGGCAAGTTAGTGCAAATTTTCCTGAGTCTATCAAGCAGGGCTGGATGGCTCTCTGCATGGATGATGCCCTAGCTTCTAGTTGAAATGTTCAAGAGCACATACGGTTCCTCCGGCATGCTCTCCAGGTGTTGCGGGACAAGCAGGTGGAAACAAGCACGCTTTCGCATTTATTGAAACAAGAATGGTAGTGCTGCAGCAAGGACGTTAATCGCCCGCTAAACAACTCTTAGAACTCGTGCTGCCCGATAATGAGCTTCATTTCATCCTGATAACCAGTAATAGTGCGGCAGCGGTGGTTTAGAGTCCTCCTAACGGGCCTTTAATTTTAAAACCATCATCACAATAATGCTTGATATCTTCATGACTTCACCGAAACCGAGCAGCTGTATCTAGTGAGGGCAAAGGAACACTGTGCGGTGTTGTACGGTGAGTAAAACGCCGTCGCTAGGTGTATAAGCAGTATTGTACTGTCCAGACCGAACTCCATTCTTCAGTATACCTTAAGAAGACTTCCCAGAGCAGGGCAATGCAATTGCCTAAAGTTGCTCGGTAGCTTGGGCGCATCCTACCTACGACATATAGGGTGAAGTGTAATAAGAGCATGCCAACATGGTCGCCGACGCGCTGTCCCCATGCCTTAATTCACTACTGCGAAGCGCTACCGCTCTTGTCATAGATGATCCACATTGTTTTCGAGATTGAATGAGCCTTATGCCTCTGATACACATGCATCTCATAGCCTTGCCAAACCCAGAATGGCAAAGGGTGAAGCAATACCAAGTTGAGGGTTACATTCTGGGGTTCAAATACAAAGCGGGGACTCTGTCGCTTGTACATGCCACTTTCGACCCGAGCTTTCGTTTTGTGCAAAGCGCACGATTATGTTTTTCTGGGCATGATGGAGTTCACATGACAATGGAAAAGCCCCCACATTTCTTTTTTTTTGAGGTGGGATGCGTCCTGATGCTGAGTAGCCGGGTCGGCCCACATTGTCAGCAATCCACAGTGCTAAAAACTGGGGCTCTTGATCGTCAAGGACATACTAGAAGGAAGCTCCTAGTGGCTTACTGTGGGTAGCGGTATTTTCTACTGATTAATGGAGGAGCAGCTGAAGGCGTTGTGAATGCGGGACAATTTGCTGCCCGCTTTGAAAGGCAGCGTTTGATTAACAACGCTACCCTCCATGGATGCTACTCCTCCCGGTTCTAGGTTATTGTCCGTTCCTACTGCACGTGTTCTGCCTGAAATAGCTACCTTGATCTACGTGCATTGCTTCGAAAATTGCCGGATATGATTGTCAAGGCACTCGCTGCACTCCTGCTTACGCCCCTTTTGGACTTGAAGGCAAGCTATTATAAATACAATAAGCTCTAATTACAGGCGAACATTGCTTAATGGGGTTTGATTTTCTTTGCATGTTTTATTTGTTTTCCAGTCGTCTCGGAGCAGGGGGTTTATACATTTCAGTTCTCCGGCAACAGAGCCACTGCGTCTCCGCGGTCCCGTTGGTTTGGTCCCTCGTTTGTCACTGGCTCGTGTGTGTCTTTCTTTGGTTTCATATCTTGTTATGGCTGATACACACTTTGGGGAGAGAACACTTCCGCTGTCCTGTATGCAAGTGGTTTCGACGGAGAGGTACGGAACACGAAGGATGCGCATCGCGAAAGTTTGCTGGTATTGGAAGCCCTAGCTGGCTAACCTAAACTCCAGCGCCTTTCACTTTACAAAATAATTTTAAAAGTATAGCGTTGAATAGTTGAGTTGTCAGTTCGTACATCTTAGAAATTGCAGAGTACTGCCCGCTTGACAAAAGTTGACGCAACGCTGTATGCGTGTTGGCCACATGCTATGTGCAACCAGCGGTGAGTGCTCGAAGTACTTTGAGAATACAGCAATGCGCACCTTAGCCGTCCGCTTCCCTCATGCGGGGAGTGCCGAGGGGGTGAGGAGAAGGGCAGGAGGAAGATCTTGTGCAAATCGCCCCAGCTTTCCAGTAGGCTAACATCGACTCGGCAATTATAAAAATTATCTCAATAAGCAGACCTTCGATAAAACTTTACCCATAGCATTTGATCCCTGGTAAGTACCTTCCGTTATGATGAGCTAAACGGCACCCGATATGGCCTCTGCCAGATTCTAAAAAGTCAAAATCTGGCTGTGGGGGAGGTAGGCACATGCATACGGATAGGGCTACTACTTTGATGCGTTGAGTTGGTTCTGTATGCACTGCGCCATGCCTCCCTATCCATTGCTTAATCCCTCTATGCAGAATTCTGAGACACGGGTGCACTGTGTGGGTCACACGCGATGTCCTTTCCACTAACGGTGAGACCGCAGAGATCGCTTTCCACCCGCTGAACTGCCCGGCGGGTAGTGGGTGTACCTACATTACTAAATGCGCCTCCCTTTTGCTTTACGGGTGAAGATCTTGCAGCTGCATCTGCAGCAGCAAGGGCAGCCGATGCTACAATGGCTGAGCAGCGTCGCCGGGAAGACACCGGGGACATCGTCTGGCTGTTAGTCCTCCTCCTAGCTGCCTGCCGTACTGGAGATTGGCGTCGCTGCTTCAGCGATTGCTTCTGCGAAGGTGTATCACATGCCTTTAAAAATTCAGCGGATGGTGCCTGGCCCACAGGAGAAGGTTCTCTTGAAGCCGTAGGGGTGCACGACGCGCGGCTCAAAGGCCAGCGCATGGGAGATTGCTTCTCTTGCAATTCCTTGAGGCTGTGGCGGAAGCCGAGGCGGAGAGATGAACCATTAAGCAAAGACTCAGCATTATGTACACGGGCGCAAGGATTGCTATCAGGTGGTAGAAAGGTGAAGAGAGACTGGAAAAACAAGCAACAACCCACACGTGGCCAATACGGAGAACTGAACCTCTTAACCGCTGGCACTCCCGGCCCTCTGCACGCAACTGCATTTAACGACTGCGATAAGGCTTATCTATTTTACCACGACCACTGATAATGCTGGTTTCCCCTCTACCTCGTGAGGGTGGGTGGGTCGGAGGTGGGGGTGTTGCCTTGGGGTGGCATGTGCATGCTGGTTAACACGATATTGCAGATTATTGGTAGCATACCATATCCTCTGTGCGCTGTTTAGTAAGCCGCGTGATTATATCGCTTCTTAAAGCGTCTGCTTCTTCGGGTGCTGCTAGTGTTGCGAGTTGTTCTAGCCACTGATCTCTCAGCAGCTCCTCCTCTCTCTTCTGACCTTCGTCGTATCCCAGCAGCAGGAGCCGCTGTGCCCTAGTCAATACGCCGGAGGCAGACTGCAATAGCTGCTGCTGCAGCTGTAGCCACTGATTCTGGCCTTCAAATGGTAGTAAAGCCACCAGGAGTAAACTCTTCGCAGTTTGTGGCTGATGCCTGCAAAGACAAAGGTGCCGCAATCGAGAGAATCACAGAGCATGTCCCGATCGTGTACCAATCCAAGTATTCAACAGCTCAACATACCTAGATACATACTGTAGGCGCATCGCACTATACATGCTCCAAAGTTCGCAAAGCCACTAATACGCATGCATCTCATCACATGGGCGAGCCCTCGTCTCTCCATATCATTATCCGGCCTACCATGTAATTGCTACTAACCCGATGTGTAAGATGGAGCACGGCGAATTCGGAAAAATGACCCCATCTCCGACCTAGCCTGGCTCCTTACCACTTCGAAAGGCGCAGATGCGTGCTGCGGAAAGCCTGCAACTGCTCTAGTAGAGCTCTGTCGCTAGCCGCAACTGCCTCTCCCTGGTGTTGCTGCTGGAGGCCTTCCCAAATTGAGTGCTCGGAGTCGAACTCGTCGAGGACACGCAACTGCTGTCGTCTTGACGCCAGGTGGAACAACACCATATCCTGCTGCCTCTGCTGTAAGTTGTCCCCTGCTGTACTCTGACGTCTTCTGCTAGCACTGCGGGAGCGTGGCGTTCCCATGGGGGACATTGACTTACGTCTACTGCTTCTTGGCGTCCTCTGACTAGATTCTGTCGCAGCAGTATGAGCGAATTTGGCACAACTCGACGAAATCAGTTTCTCTTCCCGCTGTAGCTGATGTAGCACAAGCTGTTGCTGTAGGCGTACGTGTTGCAGCAGCTGCTGCTGCTTGGCCTGCTGCTGCAGTTGGGGGCCCAGGAGCCTCTCTCGCAGCCACCGTCGATGATGCTGCTGCCTCTCTTTCCAGTCTGTTTTGACGTAAATGTAGGCTGTTCGCCCCTCAAAGGAGACCCACATGTTGCTGCTGATCTGATGTTTTAGCTCCGCTCCTCTTAAATCAAAGCGAGAAATCAAATCTGCAAGCAGGAGAAAAGGCAGGCAGGTAGAGTTCTACTTTCAACTGCACGTGGTCCTTAAACCGGAGGGCCACGCATGTGCCTGAAATTAATATAAAGGTGGCCAGCCGTTAGATTACTATGTCACCATTCCTCGCTGCCCCGTTGCCATGCCTCTGGCTGTCTGTTCCTTGGTATACATCCCAGTCACGCAGCGATCTTGTGCAGCACTGGCATGCCTGTGCCTCGGCAGCTGCGGCAAAACATCCCTGGCTACGGTGTCTTGGGACGTGATAAGCAGGCAGAGCAACAAAAGCGGCGCCTCGTAATATGCAGGCCCACCGTTTCGGAAGGAGAGGTAAAACCACCACGTCTCCGTATTCATGAACATCTGAGTTATGCTGCACAGTAAGAAATTAGGAAGGCACTCAAAAGATACAAAATGTGTAGGCAAACGAATAGGCCATGAGGTCTTGCCGCTAGAAGAACAAAGAAGGTGGCAAACTGGAAGGATGTACCATTCAGTGTTGCTTAACCGCTTCACTCGTGCACACGTAGGGGCAGGGGATCAAGTGGGCTGGCTAACTGAAACCTGAACGGGGGACTGAGGGAAATGGCATTACTGGTTAATGAGAGGCCCCTCCATGGCCGCATCGAAGGAGTAGCCGTGTGTCACCCCCTCTAAGTCCACAAAAGCCGACAGGTCATCATGCGAGAAGGCCACTGCACGTTTCGGCCGCGCCTCAAACAGCTCCATTATATCGTCGTTGGAAATCCGCGTGGCCTCTTCTAAAGGATTACTGGAATCGATATGCGTTCCCCTAGACCGAAGCCGCTCGGAGGCCTCTCGCAGAAGAAGACGCCGCTGAGTTTCCAGGGATAGCCCAAAGGCTTGGGGGCACTTTTCAATCCCTGCAGACGATAGACGCGTTATAAATATCACACGACGCAGGTGCTCTCATAAGTGTGTCGCACACATGCACTCAGAGGGTGTTCGCGTGCATCTCCCGCCATCAAACGAAACAGAAGTTGCCCTTATGACCATATGTAAATTCTCATGCGTCCATGCAGCGTTATTTGCCGTCTCAAGTATCGCCAACTCTCGTAGAGAGCTAGGCAGGAACCATGCCGGTAATAGAAACTGTGCACTTGGTGGCCACATAGTGATGCAACTGCTTCCGCATATCCAAGAGAAGCCGAAGCACAGATACAGCAGAGTATGCTCACCAAGGCAGGCTAACCAGTCGTGCTCGTACGCCGCGATGGCGCTAGGTGCTCCCCGTCCACTGCCCAAGTCGCAGAAAACGCTAAACTCATCTGCTCCATACTGCTTCGCATATGCGACCACCTGAACAGTGAGAACAGACCGATTTTTGGCGAATAAAGACTATACAGTTTCTGTATGGAGTTTTTCTGGCTGGAATGGCTGCGAGTAAATGACATGTTTTGTGAATACATCTGCTCCCCCGCTGGTACTTTAGGAAAAGTCACCTGCTTGATAAAGCTCTCTATCATTTCGCCGTACATCCCTGCTGTGGATGTCGCGATCTGGGCCGTGTGCCCTTTATATAAGAAGGCTGTGGGTTTTGCTGCATAGGTGGGGTCAACTGCTTTCGCTTCAGCGGCAAAAAGAGATGCTGACGCTGTAGCGGCATCTGCGAGCTCCGTGACTGCTCTTTCTGCCTCCTCTGCTGTAGGGGCTTCCTCCTCGCAACTCGTATCCAGGCAGCATTCCAAAGGTAACACAGAAAGTGTAGGAGGCGCATGCTGTTGCCGCTTCTGAAACATAAACCGAATAATGCAATGCAGGAGCAAGACACAAAGCGCATTGAGAAACATAGAAAAGGCCTCTTGAAGCCTCGAAGTAAGCTCCTTTGAGCAGGGCGTATGGTGAGTGGCACAAGCTAAACAGTAGACGGAAGCAGAAATGGAGGTTACTTACCGCTGCATTCGCATTTGTACACTGAAGTCTATTAAACGCCTGTTGGTGGCCGTTCAAAGCGTACGGCGCAGTGCAGCATGCAGCAGACCGTCGTCTACGCTGGGCTGAGGTAGACGAATCCTGGTTTTGTCGCCGAGGAAGAGGGTCTGGTTGCGACAGAGGGAATGAAATGACCTCATCATCTGCATCCGGATTTGGGGAGTCGGTGGAGGGTTTTAACATTGCCTCAGACTATTCAGACAAGAGCGAGGAGATCATACCACGGACGAATCGTGCTCCTAACAGAAAGAGAGGACTCCTTTGCCCCTCAGGACTGTAAAAATGTGCTGAGCTTCACTGCACCTCTTTGAAGAGGCTTCGCAGTAGGAGACAGTCCGAAAAGCTGCACAAGCTATGCAGCATGGGCCATAAAGAAGACAAAAATGACCAAATATGTGGAAAAGGCCACAGATGCTTTGCGAGGTGAAAGGGGGTCGAACTGGACATTACTGCCGTGTCTTTGCATACTAGACATGGGGGGCCCCCCCAGACAGGGTGTTAGTGTTCTTCATGTTTGTCGTGGCAGTTGCTTCTGCCTGAAATCAATTATTGACTGAAAGTAGATATTAAAGTATGAATAACAACGGCACAAGGATTGAAAGGACTGCATGACCTTTGTCATTATGCTGTTCGGTGTCGCTGTTCAGAACGTGGCGAGCTGCCTTACTATTAAAGGACCGCAGGGAACATATTCTTGCTTAGTCAAATAAGAACCACTGTAATGAAGACAGACTATCCTAATAAAATGAATCCACGAAATGACGCCGCCTTTAGATATTCATTCTTTACCTGGGGCATGGAATGTACGCGGGCGTACAAGAACTGCCATCTGCCCTAAAAGACGGCTCCCAGGTACACGCAAATCGTGCCTTCGACGGGAAAAACTTTGAATGCGCTGCGGAAAGCCCGATATTTCCCGACGCCTTTATTGGCGCCACATCACCCGCCCAAATCAACAAGTCTAAGCCTCAATCAGGTCTTCACTGTGGTAGCATGGTGAACAGTTTTATTGCAATCTACCTAACGAAACTTAAATAATTGCTTTCCTCTGAAGAAACGCTTTGAGCGCTGAAAACGGCGAGCACACTAGAGGTGTACTAGCGCGAACTACCCTAGGTGAGCTTCACACTAGAAATGGCTACTGCCGGCAAGCCAACAACAGGACCTAGAATTTTTGGTCCGAGCGTGTTGAGCCACTTGCACCCAGTTTCGAAAATTCGAATTAATCGGTATGTTCCTCCTTAAGCTTCTCATGCCACAGCAAAGAGCAGGTAAACCGCCTACGCGGCCACCCGCATGAAGGCAGCGAGGACAGTTTTAAACACGTTTACTCTTCATCCCCCTCCTTGTCATCTCCACCCCTGAGAGACTTTCTCCTTACGCGACCAGGGCGGCCACCTCCGTAAGGTGAAGTGAACGCGAACTCGATGTGCTTCTCAGAGTCCACACGCACCATGAACGATGGGATATCTACGATTTGCTTGCCTACGCGGATATGGCGCTGTCTAATGAGACATCTGGCATGGTGAATTGACTTTGCGAGACCCAGCTTGAACACACGAGTCTGCAGACGCCGCTCCAAGAACTTCTGTACCGTCAGACCCAGCACATAGTCGAGCTTCTGCTCGCCTTCACTCAAAAGGCCCAAGCGAACCATGCGGCGGAGCAGCGCCGTCCCTGAAATATGCAAGCATGACACACTGTCCGACTTGATGCAATACGCTTTCAAAGATGCTCACTAACCAAGCCCCATGTACAAAGAACTGAAACGCGAGCTGCAGACCAGCAGGTGTACGTACCCTGGAAGATACGACGGGGATCCTTATCCTCCAAAGTAAGCAGCTCACGGGCCGCAGAACGGATCTTCGCAAGTGCATACTGCACCCTCCATACCTCCCGCTTGTTCTTCAGGCCATACTCGCCCAAGAGCCGCAGCTCCTGGTCCAAACGCTCCTGAGGCAAATCACGAGTCCAAGGCAGCAGAATATGTGTGCATGAAGCTCTTACCGCGCTCCCTGGTGTATAGTTTGCTACGGGGTAGCTTGAAAACAAACCAGCAATGCTGCAAATCCCCATTGGCTGCCGTGGGAACGGCAGCCAATGGGGCCTCCAGGCAAGGCACAAGCACCACTCTGCCGTTAAAATTTCCTATTTTGTACAAAAATGCTCTTTCAAACTCGTCTGGCTTGCAAAGTTTAAATGCACGAAATACACGACGAGCACTGCGCAGCCATTGTCACATCAGCTGAAAGAGTGAAGTAAGCAAGGAACGGCGTTTTTTCTCGAGTGCCAGTCAATTCGAGCCCCTGCAACCACTTATTAATCTGCTACTTCTGGATCCACCGTCAGGAACCCCACACGTGCGCCGATGCGGCCCTGGTGTTGTATGGGATGTGCACCTTCTCGAAGGGGCGTTTGGGGTTGCGGGCGGTCTTGCTGTGGTTGATATAACTCTTCATCTTCGCGAGAAGCTTACAGGGAAGGCCACAGGAACCTCTAAAAGAGTTGGCAAGAACCCCCTCAGTTGACGTGAAGCTGACTGGAATGCCCCCACGGCGGGTAACGCCAGTGCATGCGCTGACAGCCCCAGAGCGCCCCACGCATCCAGTGGTCGTCTGGCCAACTCATTGATCCTCTAGTTTTCCCCACAGCATAACGTTCTTAATGCTATAAACATTTCGCAATGAAAGGTCTGAATGAGTGCAGAGGATAATTAGTGATGAATGTTCCGTTTTGGGGGCGCATGTACGCAGGCGTGGCCGTCATGTGGCATTTCGTAGTACTTCTGGTGCAGCATCAGCTAGATACCTCTAGACAACGTAGAAGTAGATATATATCTATTCGGATACATTCGAGAACGCAGTGATGTGACCTTTTGCATCTTAGGGGCAACGTGTCGTTGCATGGATCAACGTGCAGTTCCAACGTTGTGTCAAAGTCTTCGTAAAGAGACATTACACTCCAGACTCCGTACCAGCTTTAATGCGAAATTGTTAAGCGTGTTTTTATAAAATCTATATCATTTACCTATTCTGTGCCTTCAGAGTTCCCTAGATGAGGAGATAGGGACAACTAGGTTGCTGTTTGCCGCATCCTCTATGCCTTTCGAATTTCCACAGCTAACTGCACATATCATAGTACTCACACACACACGACATTGCGTCTTCTTGTATCAAGCTGAAAGTACTCAGCAGTAAATAAGGTGTACGCGCATGTAAAGCAATTTATCCATTGCTCACTAATTCCTAGCTTCCTAGAAACAGTGTAGCTGCAAGTGCTGAAGTGCAGCTTAGCTTGCAGCACCTTCTTCCTATTATTTTTGCATTGAGTCTTGCTCCATACCTGCCCATCTAGACAAAAGGCGTGTAGCATAGTGGAAGAGTTCCCGCCTTATCACTGCCCCCAATGCTGGCAAAAGCTTTAAAACGGTGCTAATCAGAGAAGCGCGTGTGCTCAACAGCCCGTTTAAAAACATTAAATGGAAGAAAGGCGCACCCACCGGTCAACAATTTACGAGGGTTCAAGCCAACACAATCATGGTAACTCAATGATTGGCTTTTTCCGTAGCGCTGAAATGTGTTCAACACCTGCTACGACAGAAGGCAAGTAAAATGAGTAAAAAGAGTATCATAACACGCACTAATTCTGTACAGTGTCTTTATGCAAATGCAGCCATTGGTTGCAGCATAGTGTATTGTAAAACCCAAAAGGGGCATGAGCAGGAAGATGGAGCTGGCAGACTTAAGAGTAACTGCACATAAAAATGAGTGTGGAAAACTCCTTGGGAATAAAAAGAAAGGTTTTAAGGAATACTTATATACAAAAGTAGGTGAATCAGGCTAAGCATGCGCTAGGGAAGGCCAACTACCAAGAAACACGAAAAATACCATCAGTCTCACTGGCGTTATGCCTAAAGCATAGCCACAAATTTCCCGCGGGATTTGAAGTCCGCAGTCGGTCATCCACCACCCATTGAGGCTGCAAGTTTTCATCCCATTTTACTAGTACCTACCTTCTAGTGTGTCCTCGATGCTGAATAGTCTTAAAATGCATCGCTTTACGAACGTCTGTAGAGCATCCGGCCTCCACTCGAGTTGCTGGCTCGTGCAGCCGAGTCCGCGAATAACTCTACGGGTTTCAAAACAGCTTTAAGAATTCATTATTGATAGTTTGTGGCACTTTCCAGCTTTTGGGGCAATCGAGAGAGTAGAATGAAATATTGATTAGTGAGATGAGATTAAATAGGCCTTGCCACCTGGCCACAAAGTTCTTTGTTCAATGACCCTTTGATTCCACCTTCGTCAAAGCTGCCAATACCCCACGGCCTAATCTCCTAGCTCAAAACACAGCCAACAGGTGTTTATCCTCTCTCTTGTTACCTTTTGAACATGTACTCGTGCACACTAGTCAGCCATTTGCTGAATCCCTATATTACCAAAAGAGGGCTGCTCTTCCTCGACCACCAGGTGCAGGCCCAAGGAGGGGAGTGCTTTCTCAATACAGACCATGGATGCGGGAGAGCATCAGCTAGAATACTGTAGTGACATTTTATAGCCTGACTCAGTACGAAGAAGAAACTGAACTCAAAAAACTGGATATTTCTGAGCATACCATCATAATCACTGCAGAAAGTGCGATTCGTGTGCTTGGTCTTTTCAACAGCCTCCGAGTATCTTTCAGTGGTCACATTTTAGCATATTTTGTAAGCTAGTCAGTATGGTATCCCAGAATGCATCAACAAACTTTGGACCTTGCTTCGTAGTGATTATTTCGAGGAATCCGTAAAGCTTCCGAACACTAATTTAAAGCTAATGAACGACTTTCTGAGCCCTGACAGAGCTGGAGCAAGAGATGGTATTAGAATACTTGCTGAGTCTGTTGAAACGAAGTAGACACTATCACAATCCTGACCTTTGGCAGTCAGCTGAGCAATGCAGTCCAATTTCAAATAAGTAAAATGCTCTTCAGGAGCTGGAAGGCTGTGCGGAGGAGTGGGTCAAGGAGCATTTCGCGGCTTCGATTGTTGACAATCTGGGCATGACGAAACATATTCCCCAGTAGCGGGGCTCCTCCCAGGCCACGAAAAAATCTGAGTTTTTTCCCACTGCAGCGTGAGCTTCAAGATTGCCCGAATGAGCAGGAGTACCCGCTTTGCACAAAACGCCCGTGCGGGACGAGGTTGGAGTGTACAGGCGACAAGCCCCCAATATCTCTCGTTTCGCAGCAGTTCATCCTAAACCTAGTATCGCTTCATCTTCTAGCGTTTTGGATTTTGGCAAGACTAGCAGTTGCATGGGTGTCAAAGGCAAAAGACTCCATTCCGAGAAAGGCGTGGCTCCTTAACGACAAGGGTGGTGGCCCTTCGCACTAGTGAAATGGGTCACCGCGAGAATGCGCCGGCAACAATGTTTTAACTTCACTTAAAATTCGTATTGAAGAAGGCGCTCAAGCGGAGTGTCGTGAAGACTCTTCATAAGGTATGCTAAAGAGTGATGGCCGGACAGGACAGGACAATGGGGCCCATATTAATTATGCAGGCATTGCTTCGCCGCATCACCCAGCATGGAGCTCGTTTTACCTGCAATAGATACTGCTGCCGAGAGTAGCATGCAATAATTTGGTGGTGTGAAAAACTTTGGCCTGTTGGAAGAGGCTAGCACTTACCGCTTGGTCAGTAGCATTGGTCGGTAGGAGGAAATTACTACCATTATTGGGCAGGGAGAAGTATTGGAAGTGTTATTAGGCGGCCGACTAGCTTCCCTGCTGCAAGGCAGCAAGAGCCTTCACCCTGCACGTCAAAGGCAGCACTCCTTCAGGCAGAACAACTGAAGAGGCAGCTCTTTGAGCGCATATACGAAGTAAACTGAAATTTTACAGGAAGCAAGCCCATCGGCCTTCGCAATACCGTGCAGGTGCGTCAAGGAAATCCCATGCCTACAGTGCTTTAAGTTTTGCCATATCTAGCAGATTCTCGCAAGCCGAAAAACCGAATCGCAGAACCATACTTGTCAAAGAGGAAACGAAAGCCCCTCCATGCCTTCACAAACAACTACACGTCTCATAATGCTTGAAGCGCATGCTATAGCTGCCGTAGTGGCTCTTCGATGTTTCGACTAAAAGCTAAGGTGTCATCCATGCAGAAATCCATCAAACCCTCCTTCATTGACTCGTTATGGACATTAAGTTCGTTGCTGCACTTTAGCTGGTGCATTAGTAAATTCAAAAGGCATACAGGCATGCTCGAGCGTGTGAATGCAAGTGTGGAACGCTTTTTTGTGTCTAGCGGCAAAGTGAATGGGGATACGTGAAAAAGTCTCGCTGAAGTCAAAGGCCCACTACCTTGTTGGTCCGTGTAGTGCGTCTAGTAATTAGCCAACATAAGGCGTCGGAAACTTTTGCTGCAGTGGCCTTGTTCAATGGCGTCATGTTAACGCATATGTCGGCACCAACATCCAATTATGCCCAGACGCTGGTTGATTCCTGCACTTTACCCTTTCGAAAGCTCATCCACCAGCCGCTTGATATCACGTTCATGCTGCGAGGACTCCCGAATCCGCGGAATACAGCCTGAAGCTGAATCGGCGACTAGCTCACTGCCGTGACCTCGACAGTCAGCAGGTGGCCAGCCCACTGGCAGCTCGTCATCGTTTAGCGCGTCTGTGAGCTCCCCTTGACGCCGAAATTCTTTATCGGATATCCTGATAAAGATCCGACTTGCAGAGCTACCATGACGTGGCCCATACTCAAATTCGTCTTCTTTTTCTGTGCTGCTGGGCCGCCTGTAAAGACTCTGCCTCACTGTTCCTGGTACCGACTGTATCCCGCCCACTACAGGTGAAATGTCCGTTGATTAGGGCACCTAAGGATGCTTCTTCTCAGCACTTTCTTGCTGACAAACCCTTGCAGCTCGCAGCTGTGGCCGAATGTACTCCTTCAACAAGTCGCCTATGGCATATGTAAGCGTACGTTATGGTGTACAGCTCCAAGAAAGAAGTCTCGAGCCACGCTGATAAAGCCTAAATTCGATATAGAGCGACTTTTGATTGCAGCATCCTTGTTAGACCTTGTACTCTGCGAGTACTAAGCAAGCTTGAGTCTTAGGGCTTGGGCAAACGAGTACACTTGCAAACAACAGTTCTGTGCCATCTTCTTGGATTAAAGCTCTATGTCACATTGGTCATAGCCTGCGTAGCATTCCGTTCCCACGACACATCTCCTGCGCTCTAGAAGCAGCTCGCTTCCGCTGGGCCCAGCTCTTGTTCAAGTTTTTTTGGCCCTTTCATGCGCTTGCAGTTCCGAACTCTATGACGCAAATTTTTACAAAAAAGAGGTGCACTGAAGGGGAAGCGGCTGCGGGACAACATACAAGTGCGGGTTCCTTCTGGCTTTCTCTTTAGGTCAAACACGGACTCTTCGCTAGAGCCAGTTGGCACAACCCTGATTGTCCTAGGACCTGAATTCGGATTTGACTCTTTCTGTCCAGCCAAAGACGAAAAAGTTGAGCCAATGGACGGCTAGCGACTCGCTGAACAGCGGACCATCCTGTGACACCATGACACGACACTTCGAAAGGATGGGGGACGCAACGATAAACACATGCTCGTCTACGGTGTACTGTTTGCGAAGCAAAGTTTCACCTATTTCCCAACATGTTTATTTTGATGGGCTCATCTGCTTTCGCCTTCTTGTTTCTGCCAAAGATTGCGGTTGAGCTTATCTCAGTAACGCCAGATGTGCCATCAGGGCATGTAAAAGCTCATGAAGTTAGACAAAGATTCCCCAAAGCAGACGATATTCTCTAAGTGAAACGACCCACCATTGAAATACCTCTTTCCCAATGACCTTGCCACAAAAAGCTTGAGCTCTTTTCAACTTATGGATACGGAGCGAGGTTCATCTCCAACCAGCTGATTAAACCTTGGAGTACTCGCTCACTGTTACGGCCGTCATAGTTTTTTGGTTGGCAGAACCTAATCGACGCATTCATGAACATTTTACTGGCTGATAAAGATACTTCAGTTCAGTCTTAATACACATTAGTTAAAATTATTCTGGGATGTTTGTAACTACATCACTCCTTTCTGTTCTCTTGTTTGTCAGAGCTCCGTTATGAGGGATCAGGTACAGGCAGTGCGCGCTTTGCTGCATCCTTCAAGCGATCCCAGACTTCACAGCTAGTTGCACATGAAATCTGGCGCAGACTTATATAACGTCGCATCTTATAGGGTCAAGCTAGCACAAGCGTGCAATGAGGCATACGAACAGACGAACCAAGTTTTCAATTTTTTAATTGTGTGTGTCAAAGGTAATTCGTGCAATGGAAACTAATGAAGAGTAGCTTAGCTGGTTGCAATATTCGCTAGGGAAGATTTCAAACTCGTGCACTATTTGGCAAACGTTTTTGGCTTGCGTACTGTTGACTACGTGCAGCTGTGTTGGACCAAACGGACTTTACAAGGCACCCAAGCTGTCCATCTTCTATAGTACCCTAACCCAGTGAGATTGTGCCAGGGAGATAAAAGACTCCTTTTGAGTTACACCTGAGGTCTTGTAATTGATTTTTGTTTTAGCTGAGGGGTAATTTATCGCTCTCATGAGGCCCTAGATACAGTGCTACACGGCCATTTGAAAAGAGGAACACAGCGTCTAGTCCTCTGGTTTTAAACTAGCGAGCCAAAAAACAACGAACGCAAGTAATAAACCATTCTTTCAAGTTTAACTATGGCAAGCTCAGTAGAAAGTTGGTTGTGTGTAGGTCAGCCCATGACACCCATCAGGTTAGCGCACAAGGACCCATCGTTGATTGAAATAGTGAGGCACTGTCCCTCCCCTGCATCAAATAAATCATAAATCAGCATTCAAGCAATAGTAAAACAAGTATGAATTAAATCTGTCGACTACAGTAGACTCTTTGCAACAATTGCTTGGCACTTAACATGTGTGATGTTTATGCCTTTACCATGGAGTGAACCAGTACCTTTAATGATTCTGTCCATGGACTGTACAAACAGGACATAATACTTAACTATTAGCCTGGAGACTTTGTGGGCAGTCCTGATGAGGATTCCCAATGACTATAGTCAGTGCAGGGTGTCGATACGACACAGTTAGGCTAACGCTTGTCACGGCGTACTGTCGCAAGAATACTGGTGTAATGGTTCCTGGGCCAAATTTTGTAGGAAGATGCTCACATAGGTTAAAAAAGCCTCAGACTTTCGGAGTTAAGCTTACAGAATGCCATCAAGCCTCGAGTAGCTCCCGGCTAGCCAGTGACTCGGTTCTGGAAAGGAGTACCAGCCATGATCACTCCATTGCCGTCGCAACTCTCTTCTGGAAGTCTACAGTGGCATTTTACATGCAGTTTCTTGCACTTCTTTTCCGTAGCCATCTCATTCCGCCTGTGTTGCCTGTACGTGGCCTCGTCGAGTGGAAGCGTCGGTGTAGCAATTGACTGCGTTACACTTCAAATTACTTAGTCTCTATGCCTTGCCTTCTTCCTTAAGCCGAAATATATGATCGTATTTTATTGAAGTCTTCATCGAGAGCACCTTGGTTCCTGGTGGAACTGTGCCTCACTTTCCTTGACTTTAGAATAGCAGCGGGACAACGCATTTTGCGGACCACTCGCGGACCAGCCTTGCAGAAATATGCCTCACTAGCTTCGATTTTTTATTTCCATATTCAAGCAGCCAAAACCCCTTTTTTTTGGATGCGCTTCCATGGATAGAACATCCGTGCAACTCCCTGGTCGCCATTTAAGCTGGAGTGCACTCCAATTTTGATACATCTCCAGTTTTCCCGAGCACCGGAGTCTCAATACGTCAACAGTGTATCCATGAGCATCTAAATAGCAAGTGCGTTAACGTGCGCTAACATGAGAACTCTCCCCATTTACTTTGTCTCCCCTTGAAAGGAATTTCAAAGAGCTCTTCTGAACCGCGATGCGGCGCAGTACTGCGCGTTGTGCCTTTGTGGCACCTTTTATCGCTCTTTTTTTATTCGTGTCCATCAGCTCTTTTTGCTGGGCACTGCATGATGCGGCAGCGGTGAGCGATTACATGAAGCGCTTTGATGTGCCTGCAAACCACATCGTGCTGGAGTGGGCCAAATCTGGTTCTGGCGTAAAATCTACGCAGTACAAAGGGAAAACGTACAATTGGACTCCAAGTGAGGTCTAAAGGAACGCTTTTGCATTGCTATGGTGTTAGCAGGTGTAGCCACGTTTGAAAACGTAGACGCATCACGCATCAGTCGGTGCAGCTGATGGGGTGACTCTGAGGGGGGAAGGCTCGATCCATGAGGAAAACAGGGTAAGGGAGGTTGTGCTTACACGACTTTTCAATTTAGAAAGCCTGCATCGTGCTGTGATGTGATAATTGGCAGAAAGCCAAACTGCAGGCGTGAAGGCGGGATATGCGTCTATGTGGGATCGATCCAGCAAAGCGTACTGCACCAACTCTGCAGCAGTGATTGACACGCAGCTTTATCTTGGAACCCGTAGCATGGCTGTGGGTGCTTGCCCAAACTATGGAAAATACATTGCGTTTGTGGACAGATCGGGAAATCCTGTGGATGCCATGGACCGGTTTACGAATGAGATACATGGGCAAGTGATGCCGTTCAGTACAGACGGATGCAGCGTTTCTGCTCAAAGTGGGGCGGCCGAAGTGCCAATGGAAAATTCAGGGTGGGCCATGTATTCTGGATACTTGGCGCATTGCCCCTTCAACCGGGCAGTGTACGAGTCCGATATGTTAGCCGACACAGAATATGATCCCAATGTATGCGATTTCGTGACTCTTGATAACCCCTTGATTTTCCTGGACACATCACAAAGAGAGGGTTCGCTGGCTTATAAGCCGTATGCGTTTCACGGAAAGGGAGGCCATAAGGGATTTGACTTCATCGGTAGTGGGGTTGGATGTCCTCCATACTCTCCCCCGCTAACTACGCGTTCTTTAAAGACCCCTAGCATCGCCAATGATCCATTCCTTTGTTCACAGCTTTCACGTTGTACCAGCTTATGCTGGCCATTTAAGGCCCAAAATAAATGTTTCCGCAGTTTGCCCGTTAGCTATAACCACGAAACCTCTGAATGCCTTATCCTTGGGTACCATACCCAAACATATCTGAAGAGCGACTGCAGTGTGAAGAGCACCACAAGTGCCAGTGACCGCTATTGTGTCAAGTCTCACAAATCTGTGGAATCGTCAAAGTACACCTACCTTTCGGCTTTCACGCGGCCCGACTACGAAACAGCCTGCCGTAAGCTGCCGTTCTGAATCTCGTAATTGGCTGCATGATTTATAGTGGCGGTCGCGTATTGATAGTGTCAGCGGTCCGCAAAGAACTACTGCGCGGCGGTGTAAAAATTTCAATAGGAAAGCTTTATTTGGAAATTTTTGTGCTCCTTGTGTGTTGTGTCGTCTTAGCCCCGAGGGAACCTCTTAGCAATGCCATGTTCGGTACAATCTCAAATGGAGTATGCTACCCTCTCACGGCAGCGTCAAGCTCTACAGGGACCGCTGAAGAATGTGGTGTGGCCGTGTTCGAATCGAGCAGTGACGACACCCCTCAAAGCGTCGGGGGAAAGGGCAGTTCATCAATTTTTTGGTCGTCATGGGTTCCTCAGTCCTCCGGCAGCTCCAAGGGCACATGCAACCTCTATAAGACAGTACCAACTTGTCTTTTCACAGTAACCGGCGTGATTTCTTTCACCGCACTCAGCGTGGTCGATCCGAAGCTGGCGGTGGCACCTCCCTCAATTTCTATAAGCCCTGGTCCATGCTCTTCTACCCAATGCAAGAACGGAGGAACCTGCGAGCCTACGACTGGCAAATGCACGTGCGCAGCTTGTTTCTCTGGATCGAACTGCGAAGTCGCCACTGCCGGATGTTGCACATCGAACGCTGGCTGCAGCAACAACGGTACTTGCACCAATAATGAGTGCAAGTGCAATGCGGGCTACAGCGGCACAAACTGTGGAACGGGGGCCTGCGACGGCGTTGTTTGCCAGAACGGAGGAACTTGCCAGATGCCTGGAGGTACTTGCAAATGCCCGAGTGGGTATTCGGGAAAGAAATGCGAAACGGGGGCATGCGATAACGTATCGTGCAAGAACGGCGGCACTTGTGAAATGCCTAGTGGCACCTGCAAGTGCCCGGATGGCTATTCAGGTGCACGTTGCGAGATCTCTGCCTGTGACGGTGTTAGATGTGAAAACGGGGGCGAGTGTGTACTGCCTTCTGGTACGTGCAAGTGCCCAGACTGCTTTAGTGGCGATCGATGCCAGATCGAGAATCCTCGGTGCTGCCAAGCGAACGGTGATTGCCACGCACCGAATGGCACCTGCGTTAACTCCAGCTGTGAATGCGCTGCCTCCGTGACTGGTGACAAGTGCGACAACTTGGGGTGTGCTGGAGTGGCTTGCCTGAATGGCGGAACGTGTGAGGAGCCCAACGCCACATGCAAGTGTCCCAAATGCTACAGCGGCACAAACTGTGAGACTCATGAAAGCAACTGCTGCGAAAATGACAACGATTGCAATGCGCCAAATGGTGTTTGCTCCAGTGAAGGCCAGTGCCAGTGCACTGACGAATTCCCAGCACCTAATTGCAAGGATCTGTGCGTGGGTGTCACCTGTGAGAACGGTGGCAGCTGCGACTCCTCTACAGGAAAGTGCAAATGCCTACCTGGTTGGGAAGGAGACTGCACCATTCCAGGGCCGTGCGGCTCAGGTGGACCGATATGCTCGGGCAACTCCACCTGCGATTCGGACACGCTAGCCTGCGTTTGCAAGCCCGGTTACACGGGCGAGGACTGCACGGAAGTAGGAGCAGAGTGCAAAGACGTGTGCATGGTCGGGGGTGATGTTGTGAAGGAGGATCCAAGCCAATGCAACGTTGACTGCTTCTCAGCTTGCTGCAAAGTATTGGTGGAATCTTGCCAAGCCGATGAGAGGGAGGATCAAACTCAGTGCATCCGAGAACATCTAGAGGCAAATGAGGACGAATCGTGCTGTCTTGCACATGTTGAAGGTAAGTCAGACTTCGCTTCCACCGGATGGGGAGGCAGTGAGCCTACGCATAATGCCAAGTACGGGAACAAGCCACTGCATCAGTCAAATGTGGCCCAGCATGATTGGCATGTAGCCAGTCGTTTGATATCGGCTTGTGTGCTTCAGAGGGAAGTAATTCAGCTCTGTACGCGGCAGCGGGGGCGCTCGGCGTTCTGTTGCTGCTTGGAGCTGGTGGTGGAGTGTATTACAGACGGAAAATGGTGTAAGCAGTATAACAAATGTTCACAAGCCCCCTTTATTTTCGGATTGGTTGGAAGTGGTAAAATGAATCTACGATGGTCCCTTATTACATAATGTGAAGTATAAGGTGGTGTGCCTCTGATTTAATGCTTCCTACAGATCATCACCCCCCGCGCCTCCGCCAGCAGAGCCGCCGGAGGATGAACCTGTTGGAGGAAAACATCGGCCTACACGAAAAGAATCAGCTATATCTGTTAATTTCGAGGATTATGCAGACACCCCAGATGACGACACTGGCTTGCAGGCTGAAGGTAAAGACCACCGCGGGCTTGGGCAACCGCTAAACTGCCGTGCACTGACCTAAATATCAAGAATTTTAGCTCTTTGTATTCTCTATATTATGTTTTGGTACAAGAGTCACAACAGGAAACTCATTACGATAAGGCAGTGCTGCATTAGCTAGCTCTGCGCGCATTGGGCGTGCGCTATTGTGTTCTCTGTGGTTTCAGGGGAGACAGCTCAAGAGGCGGTATGGGATGGTAAGCAATGATGCCCACGTTTCCACTTGCCCTGTGTAAAACTGTCCTTTATGTGTGATGCAAAATTGCTTTTGCCTAGATTTCTTTGGGCATTATCATTACTGCTGGGGGGCTGGTAGTTTACGAAATAGGGCACTACCCAACTAGACGACCCTTTTAATTACTGTCAAACTGCCATACGCATGTCATTTGTGCTACAGAAGAATAAGTCGTACTTTTTAAATCCGGCGACTACTTCTTTTGAGGCAACCAAGGATGCAAAATTATCATTTGAAGGCGAGTCACCCGAATCGTTAAAGCGATCACTGCCAGTTATGCTCTGCATACAGCCGTTCAAGTCCCCGATGCGAGCGGAGTGTCAGTAATTGCAGGCGGCTGGCTGGAAAGCTTACGGAAAAGTGATATCATTTGAAAGTGTATGCATCTTTGCCGTTGAAAATCAACGACTTGTACGCCATATTGTAGTGGCAATAGACCCAGTACTTCAGATGTTCAAAATGGATATTATTATCAGTCGGCCGTATGCCACTGGCAGCAGCTCGATATTGCTGTAAGTATGCTGCTCAATGTGTAATTCCCAGGGAGTGTTGAGAGACCACAGCGAATACCCTTTGGTTCGCAGAATCGCCACTTATTCCCTCACTTGACACAGCAGTGATAGCGGGTAATGGACGATGGTTTGCTCTAAACACCGTTTTAGACCCTAACTGGTTTTCAAGCGGACATACCGTTGCAAAGTAGAAGCCGGGCTTGCAGGCCTAGTATTTTTGGCTTGACCTTTCACGTACCTCTTGTTAGTTGTGTACAACCAGGACTGCATTCAACTAGGATTGGGTCAGTGGAATGACAAGCGTGCAGCCGGAAGAGCAATTTTTGTAGCGTACTATCCCGTCGTTTGCTGCCTGTGAAGCTGCTGAGGTATTCACTTTAAGCAAAAGGCCTATCCTTACGGATTACCAATACCAATTCACAAGCATCTGGTAGCATACTTGCGAAGCGCAGCTTTCGCCCGGCACAACAGAAGTCGCTTACTTTTGCGGAGTGTTTGTGTACTGCGGGGCTATATTAAGTAGTACATTTACTTGCCGCCCCATCGGGTTGGCTATGGTGAGCATGTTTCCCTGTGTGGCGAAGCAGGGGTTCAATGCTCAGCATTGAGCAGAAGAAAATTGGAAGGCTATTCTGTACCTACACAAGCAAGATTGTGCCCAAACGTTGATGCTTAGGGAGCCCTGCGGGGCTCCCGCTGCTACTTAACGAGTCCAAATAGAACGGGATCAGAGACTGCACAACGTGGAGTGGTGGGCTTCGTCACGCCTATATCCAGAAGCAGTCATACTCTACGCAGAGGGACTTTATTGCGAAAAGATTAATGCCGCTTTGCAGCAGAACAAGTATGAGACTTCCATATTCCCCGGCACGTTGAAGTAGCGTGACCTTCAAAGAAAGCAGTGACCGACTGCTCGACGTTGTTACCAAGGCTTGAGCCTTCTGCAGCTTCTGCAATAGGCTTTGCTTTCCGAACCACTTCCTCTTTCTTGAATCGGCTCATAAATTGTTTAACGGTTTTCGACTGAGAAATTTTCTTTACAATCGTCTTGGTAAACTGTCCCAGGGCCTGATCCAACACCAAGATGGTAACACACACACACACACACACACACAAAGAACCTTCGCTTTCAGTGAGTATAGCCACCATGCATTTACATACAGTGATGCAGTACAAGACGAAGAAGCACAGCTCAATCATAATTAGTATGACTCACCATCTCAAGGCGGCTGAGGATCTGGAAATTGGACACTGCAATATTGTATACTGCCACTACCGGGGTGGCGAAGATTGAAATACTCGCCATAAGCCCTGTTTTCAATACTATATGAAGAGCATTTACTACAGGAGAGTCGATAGAATCGGCAACGAAGGCGTCCCCATTGCTATCAAGGCACACGCCCATGGGAGGACAGTGTGATACGTTGACACTTCCTGTTTGGTTTTGGAGACCCTGTGGAACACTAACTTCTTGTGCAACCCTGAAGTCCCAAACAATTCGTACGGCGCAGGCAGATTTGAAAAGTGGCGCCATGAGCCTGTCGTGTAGTTTGCTTGCTGGTGCAACAAGAAAGCTGTTTTTGTGTATCTGTGACGACGAGTGGAGTCTTACTGGATAAAGGACGAAGCAAAAAATGCCCCGAGAGTGAGCCAAGAAATAATTTCTCTCTTTCTATCCTGCTGGCGAGCTACGATCCATTTCCGAATCATTTCTCCAAAATAGGCGGCTTGCGCGTGTAGAAATATACCAAGGCCTGCGTGGCCACTAGCACTCAGAAGGCTCCCAGTCAACTGCATCTGGCTTGTGAATACGGTAGGCGAGCCGTATTTTGCCCTCTTGAGCATATCCTTTTGGCTTTTCGGTAACAGTTGACTGAAGAGCTTTATCCCGAAGTCGTCTCCACGAAGAATCATGGCAAAAGAATTTGCCTAAGGGCGGAAAGCAAGCATATGCACCCACTGAGCTGAATTGATCAATGGTTTACACGCAACATTGTCGTGCAGGGATGAAAACAGCTGGGCGACACACCAACAACAGCAGTGACCGCTCACCCTCGTAGGATCATTAATGGACCTCTGCCACGCATCTTGGGAAAAAAGCTTTTCAACGCTGTCTAGATGTGCGGCATTCAGAATGTTATTTGCCGACACAGAGAAGATCAGTATCCAAATATGGCGAAAGAATAGGCTCATTGTACTATCCTTGAGCTCTCTCAAGCGTGCGGCTTTGGGCAAATATGCATAGTGTGGATGCAAATGGGGTAAAAATGGGCTACCCGGGACCTGCATGACACCCAAAACGTTATCTGTTGTTTGCAATCAATTTGGATTCGGGCATCAATCGCATCAAGCCAAGTAAAAATATGATGGCATAGGTGGAGCACAGCTTTTTGATAGTACCACTTAAAGCGTACTGGTTATTCAACCGCCGTAGTTCTGATAGAGTTTCTTCGTAGAAATACACGCACTGCTTACCCCTAGAAGTCCTCTTGATGGCAACCTGCATTTTTGTTCGTAATGTGCAAACAGGTCGATCACGGCATGTATAAACACTTGCTCGTTTTGGAACACTCCTTTGTGCTGAAGGTAAACATCCAGGAGGATCCTTACTGCCTTTAAAGCGTCAGGAATCTTCACATTAACTGCAGTGAACAAGTGGTGCTGACTTTTGTAAGGAGGTAACCTGAGCACTTTAGCCAGAAGGTGTTTGAAAACATTCGGCTTTCCGATGGATGTGTCACTTGGATTTGGAACTTTTCCTGTCAGAGTTAGATTTTCAGATTCGGAGGTCTTCAGGAGCTCAAAGCTATCCCTCATCAGCGCGACAATGTTTGACTTCTTGCCGCCCGTGCATTCTCTGCGAATCTGTTCTTGGCTCTCTGGATACTCAATCCATTCAGCAATGCGGTCAAGCACCACCAACTTAAGCACTTCTTGCCAGGTGCCTGGATTAGGCGGGGTAATATGAACAGGGTTGTTCTCAGTAATGTCTACAGTGGTTGACGCCGATGGCTGGAGCCTTTCCTGAAACAAGAGCATAAGACACTTGTAAAAAAATTTGCTTTAAGCTGATGTAGCATGCCAGACATAAACTATTCGTAATATCCTCGTACTGATTTCAAGCAAGTATGAATGCGAACCTTTAGTGTCTGTGGAAGGCCTCCTTTAGCTGCCTGCCCAATTAGCTCATCAAGACGCTCTGATAGACCGCCAGAGTTATTTCTAGATCCCGAGAGTTCCGAGCGTGAAAAGCTGAGCTGGTTTAGGTGAAGGAACACCAATGGGTGTACAAGGAAATCGATACATTCTTGGAGTTTAATGTAAAAATTTTGAGGGAGTTTCGACGATAAGACTGAGCAAAGGGCAGAACACATAACGAGGATTTTGAAGTCCATTTGAATAAAGCAATCTGCTGTGAGCGCTACATATATGTAGGTGTAGGCCTGAGGTACTATGGCTCGATCGTGTGCACACACTGCAGCTTACATCGAAGATGCCTCTTCGAATATTTCCTGGCCATGAACTTCTTCGCGAGTGTTTCCACAGTGCGTGGCAGCCAGCGGGACAAAAGGACAGACGTCTTACGTGAGGGTATCAAACTTGCAACCCCGCTAAGCATGTTGTCAACGGCATCTGCGAGCAAATGGGTCAGTAACCAAACACTGGAGGAATAGTGCGTATAATTTAGCACCTTCTAGGATTAATACATTTAAAAATACTTTAGTTGTCCTGTTACTACTCATGGTGGCTCACCAACTCCCTCCACAATATCCTTAGCTTTCTTCCAATAATTGCCGCTAAGGAATATAAAAGCTCGCAGCAGGCTTTCTGCAAAGGGTCCGTGCATAGAGCTTAAGGACATTGAGTCCGAATGAGCCCCCAGATAAGCCAAAGGAGTCTGCTTTGCGACTTTTTTCTTGGAGCAGCTCTTGGTGTTGTCATCACACACTGCTTTCTTTGCGAGCGCACTCATAAAGGTTTTCACTGTGTCAGCCAGACCTGAGAGTCAGCGCATGCTTAAGCAAAAATATATAAGTGGCCACAATAATCAGAGCCCTTGCACGTAGAGGGGACGTCCACTTCAGGGCCAGTTGCTTTCCACATAATAGATACGGATGGACGTACCAGAATCAAAGAGGGCGTACAGGTTGGCCTCTGCTGCACACTGCATTAGTAGTGTTTTCGAGTCACACTTCAATTGTACCCGTGAAGCATCCTTCCACTTTGAGGAACACGACACACTGTCTTCGTACGCGGCATTAATCTCCCTAGTCGAAGCCTTTTTCAAAGCCTTGGCACACACCTTTGACCCTTAGAGAAACACGTGCAGAAACTGCAAGGAGGAATGCTGCACTCGCTTACTTCTTGGTACGTCTGCAACACCACTACTCCTTCATTGCTTGCCCTTGTGATTTGGGCTTGATATTTACTAACAAACATGCGGACGGAATTTCGAGCACTGCTTACCTGATAAGTATCCATCAGCAATTTGTTTTTCGGTCCTCGTGTCAACAAGATACATTAGATTCCACCCTGAGCAGGCCCAAGCAGTCAAAAAGAGTAGTAAAAGCTTTGGTTCATCTCTCGATGTACCGGTTCAAAAGGCAGCTTTTAGTCTACCTGGAACACTACATGAGGTGTTGCTTACACATTTCAGCATCAACAAGTAGCGATGCGGCAGCTTCAGTGCTTCCTGCTCGAAGAGCAATAAGCTTGAATGCTAACTGCGTATTTTTGTATGCCGGTAGTTGCTGAACAGCTTTTGAACCTGATGTTGCCCAAGCAGACTCAATCAAAGACACCTCAACTGGCTTTTCTGGTGTCCCTGTGGAGCGCTCCTCCAAATTAGCAAGAACTGTGTCTTCAAAACGACATGAGATGTTGGTAGTCCAAGTAGAATCACGGCTCTTTCTGAAACTCATGCAGAGCCTTTTGTGATTGGACGCTCCTCCAGCATGAAGCTCCAGAGGAATAGCAAACTCTAGCTGATCTGAAGAGAGCATATATTTGAGCTCGTTGAGGTACTCAACGGCATTGACTTCGGCTGATGGAAGCGCATACACAATATCGTGAAGTTTGTTTGGACAGTGCAAGGTCGTTCTATTATTTTAGACAGAAAATTGAAGGCTAAATATGCCCGTATCTATGGACTGCAGTGTGGAGGGATATATATTGTTTTTCGTACTCGTATGTGGAGCCCTTTCGCGTACCAAGATGTAGCGCGATAGAAGCTTCAGCCATTATGTCACAGGAAACGCGTGGGAGACCCACAAGATATGTTTCTCTATTGAAAAGCTCTCTAGGCACAAATAGATTCTTGGGTGGCAGCTTAGCATTTTTCCTTTGCTTAAATAAAACTACGCCGCACATCCTGGAGAGGCGCGTAAGCCTTTGTGTATTGCCTCCAACCAGCAGCTGCACTAGAGGAGCCAACGGTCTCCTCGGACCTTCTAGTTCGCCGAAAAACTCTTGAAAGCGAACAAATGCTTGATAAAACCAATTGATTACAAGCGATGCTTGAATGCACAGAGCAGACACCGCAATAACCCAACAGTACAAATGAGTCAGAGAAGTCTTTTTACGACTCCACAGTGAAAAGGTTGTGGATCTTCTCAGCAAATCGTAAACTTGAGCAGCGCTAAAATAGCTGTTAGTCGGATCAATTATACTAGCATAGGCAATAGCATGAGCTTTCCTGGCCTGACTTTCTAGGTCCCAATACCTTACCAAGGGGTCCGCTGGCTCCTGCCATCCATAGATATGACCCTGGGAAGGTCTGCATTGCCCTCACCAGAAAGCCTGACGCATTAATCGCTTTTTCGTTTGTGACCGTTGAGCTGGGGCTCGACTTTTTTCTCTTCAGCCGAATCCTACACAGCGCAAGTAAAGTAATACTTTGGGAAGAAGTCAGTCCCATGATGATTAATCTAAGAATCCATTTATACTACCCACCGTAGGGATCTTTCTGTCAATGCTTACAGCTCAATAAACTGCGTTTCTTGGTCTTGGCTGCTTCCACGGGGGTTGTCGGCATCCGTAGATTCACTGGATGACCCTCTATTGTCTGGTGGAGCCAGATTTAAAATAGAAAACACACTTTCTAATGCCGGAAGTGGGCCTGCTGCTTGGTTTGCTTGGAACTGTCTCAACGGAGTTGTTATCGCCGCCAAGTTCAAAAGGCTAAGTCCCTTTCGCAAGGCTTCGGAGCAGCCGGGGGAGCCTCCTGTTGCTGAATTAATCTGGTTGTCTGCATCAATCAGCTTGTTCAGCAATTCTGCTATGTCTAATTTATCACAACTAATCTCTTTTAAGTGCTCTTGACACGTGGTAGCTTGTAGTTCAGCACAAGTCTGCTGTTTTACTCCTGTGGACAACAAACAACATACAATGTAGGGGCTCGCCTTGATAAGCCCATATATAGGCACACGTAGCATCGAAAACTCAGAATGCCAGGCTTTCTGTGGTAGCGTATTGCTTGAAGTGAATGACTTACCCTGAATTGCAGCAAGCAGCTCCGTATCTCCCAAAACGTCGAGTAGCACACGCATGTTTGACTCCGCTGTGGCGGCTGGCAGCAAGACAGGCAAGTCATTATACCAACACATTTATCAACAGCTGAACAAGACCTTTCTCTACTGGCATATAAAGCCATTATTGGTCGCTGTTTACAGTTGAGTTCATTGCCGAATACTGGTGCTTACCTGATGAGGGTTCCATGAGGTCCCGCCCTTTAGGCGTCCGTAGGGCTGACCCAGGCAAGTACAACTTCAGCTCATCTTGGAAGCCTAGATAATACAACATATGATTTAGTGGAGGACAATGAAATGTGCAGATGGAACCATGAAGCTTGAAGTGTACGTCAAATCTAAGTGAAGGGGACGGGGGGGTTTAACGGCTTCTACCTTCTATGTTGGCGGCTGCAGAGCCATAATCTTCTTTCTGAGCAGACAATATATCTGATCCAGCAATAAACGAGAGAGAAGCCACTCCTGCAGTGAGTAAATAATTCATATCTGCGCGCTTCATTGCTCTTCAGGGATTGGGGCTTCGTGTCTTCGAGGTATACGATTACGTTGGAAGCCTCCTTGCCCCTACCAGGTAACAAAACAGAATAGAATGAAGTAATCTCGTTTGGGCTATATCCATCAATGTGGCGGGTCAATGCACAGGCCAGTAGGTAAGCTGCAGTTTCCCTGCAGCAATAAATAAGGTCGCCCTGCATAGGGCCCTACTTCAGGTTAGACACTGTAAAGTTGATCAGAAAAGAGACATTCTGAAGTGCGTCAAGCGGGCAGGGAGTCAAAGCTCTCTAATCTGAGGTCCTAGAAAAAACTACCGCATCACAGTGTTGGTCCGAGGCAGGGGGAATGCAAAAAAAGACGAAAGTTCATGTTAACACACAATGAATAAGATCTTAAATTAGGCGCATTTAGCCGTTTTAATAGTGCAGTCCCTGCGGTGATACACCGATTCACCCTCTTTGCTGGGTGTCTCGCTCGCAAAACTCCAATCTTGTGTAAGACAAGGTCTACGTTGGATGCTTTACCGCGTGGCATGATTTAGGCAACAGCGCCCCTCGAAACGGAAGGAAAACACTTTAAGTCCTATTATTTGTCTCGGCAAACTTTCCTATTGCTCTATCGCCTATGCAGGAAACCTCAAGTCCAGTCTCACAGCCGGTATGGGTCTCCTCCGAGTCACCAAAGTGTATCGTAGCCCCCTGGGATGGATGCTTCCATGTTTAATGCGCTATTCTGCTCTTAGGTCTTATGACTACAGCATATTTAATTTGAATAAGGAGATAATTCTACCAAGGAAAGAAAATGGGCCGCTCAGAAAAAGCCTCTGACTTTAGTGGACCAATGCACTGGCTAGATTAACGTACACCATCCACTGACCTGTGCATCTCAGCCCCTTTCCTTTGAGAAGTCGTCAAATTGCCTTTCTTGTGATCGGAATTATTTTTGCAGCATGTCTACCCCAAATTTCTGATAAATTATCCTAGTTGTCTGCTGTGTGGAACTTGGTCCTTTCCTACCCCTTGACAATCGGCCCGAAGCATGGACACCTCCAAGTGTCTGCAGAAGAATTACATTGGCTTGTGGGTTGACCGTCGGCAAAAAATTAATTAAGTGATTCGTGGATCTGCGGCGCAACGGGCAAACAAGGATTTGGGTGGTTCTGCGCAGCAAACTTTGGGGACGAGTGTGTCTGACCGTTGACGACCGAGACCAACGAGTGGGCCCTCATTAATAAATAGTGAAGACCCGGCAGCGCTATAGGGCGATGATCAATGCGGCCTTTAGTGGGCATTCGTAGCAGACTTTGCTCATTTTGCGCTATTTTCCATTTTGATTTTGCTGCACTGAGTATTGCCGCTAGCACTACTTGGATATGAAACGTGACTTCAAATATTTCAAGCTTCAATTACTCCAAATTTAAGGTATTAGGAGGTGCCTGATCTTTTACATGGCAAGGTGAAAGCTAAGTTCCTGTAGGAGCCCCAATAAACGAAAGCAATGCTTCCACTGGCTTTTGGAAGGGAGCCCACAAGCAACAGCTGAAGCAAACCGCCTTGGAAACGATTGCGGTGCAGGCGTAGCTGTAATGCTCCATCAAATATCTCCGTAGGAAGACACTGAACTTCACACTCAATACATGCTTACTAGCAAGGCACTGACTATATTCAAGAGAATTCGCGCCTTCCCATCAGAGCTACGACATTTGGAAAGAGGGGCAGCTAGCGTACGCGTTCCTGCACTCTCCTGACATTCAACTCGTTCACATCTACTTGCAAATAGCATCTACTACACTAACATAAAAGATTGCATTTTCTTGTATCAAGCCAAAAAACTTTGCACTGATTGGGATTGCCGAGCAGACAAAATAATTATCTCGCTAAAAATTACTAGCCAAATAAAATGAGGGTAATAAATTTTATTCAAGGGTAGCTTCACGCTGCTATTAAAAACCGGCTGGGAAAGCAAATACCTCATGTCGATGGAAGCTTACGGTGGCACAACGCCTGTTGGGGCGACAGAGGACGCTTGCAAGCTGAAGTGAATGAAGCAGCTCCACAGCTGGCAGGAAAGGGTGATTCTTCAGTCGGCAAAATGTTCATCGATGCGTCAATGCGGCTCTCCTGACCAGAAAAGCATAAGAGTCTTAGGGATGGGCAAATAATCGAAGATTTCATTAGCTGGCTTTTGATGTACCTCACATTGCTGTCCCCAGATTAGAAGAAACGAGTGCTCTACGCAGCAAGCTTAGTTAAGGAGAAAGCAATCCATTGGTGGATCTGTGCACTTGAAGGAAGTCGTCTGTCTACAGGGATCACCGTACTTAAAGCCTTTCTACAAATCCTGACCTGCCGGCTTGTCCCGAGGCACACAGAACAGCGAGCTATGAGAATAGCAAGAAAGCTGGAGCGGATGAGAATATTAATAGACTGATTTGTCGAAATATACGAGACTTTGGCTAGAAAAACACAAACTTAGAAGACCAACTGGTTTCTCAGTAATGTACCTTTGGTCTACCTACAGTGTCAAGCTTGGTTGTCGCCGAGTGGCCATGGACTCTGCAACGAAACAGCCAACCGATGGCGCTTTTACAAATTATAAACCGCTTGAGGTTTCAGGAGAAAATGAGTACAATTGCCGCTCTTTGGCTGAGACAGGAAAAATTGAAATTGGGATTTGAACCTTTGGATGTCAGATTTGTATCAACTAGCCTTGACCTAGAGCGTAAGGTGGGCGACAAAAGAAAACCAAAAGAAACCGGCTACTAAGCAACACCACACATCCGCCCAATAATGCACCTGCTTCTAATGGAGGAATTTGAGCCAACTGGTCCAGAGCTGCAGTCGCAAGAGACACGCCAAAGCAGATGCGCAAAGGAAGTGGTCCCTTTGGGAGCAAACTAATTGTCACGCGGTAAACACGCATCAGGGAAATGGAAAGCCACTTCCGACGCTGCGGCTCAGTGAATGGCCAACAGATGATAGGGCTGTAGCTGGAACCCCGTCACAGATTTATTATGGTCTGATGCAAGTTAATATTGATGGTCAAGAATGCCTCACTTTATTTGACACTGGATATAAGAGCGGGTCCATTTTCGAAGATATTGTGCAACAGTGTAATATGCCTGATTATTCTTGATGGCAAACCCTCAGATTTTCTTTAGCTGATTGGTGACAGAGCCAAAGGATCGGCAAGGCTACGACAGCTGAATATCGCGTTAACTAGGAATTAGGTTTTACCAGCATTTTCTCAGACCTCTGCACAACGACACAGGCCTGTGTGTGCACTACGTAGCCCGATTGGAGGTGCTTATGGGATCGCAGCTGCGTGCTGTAAAGCAGTGCCTGCTCGGAAAAAGCGCCCTCTGATCCCCTCAACAAAGATGGTTCATCTTTGGCAAGCGAAGTAGAGAGTCGTCTCAACGTGGTAACAAACAGTCGTTTGAGGGCTGCTCAGCATTGCAGTATAGTACAGTTTTGAGCATGTGGACCACCTTCTCAGCTCTGCAACTGGATTTTTACTGAGGATTTGAATTAAATGTTTAGCCAAGGAACAGAATATATGGGTGAATATTAAGTGGGAGCTCGCGGATGTGGTGAAAATGGCAAGTTGCCAGCAAGCTGGCCATCTGCTAGTTGTCCGCGTCACAGATTTGACTAACTCTCTCGGTCAGCTACCAGCTATCTTACATGATTTTAAAAGCTTCCAACGTATAATATGTAGGCTGAGAGGCAGGCGGACGACTATTTTTGGAAAGAGTAAAGTACAGATATTGTCAAGCGCCTTTGAGCACTCCCCAATATTGTGCCAACGAGGACGGAAGATGGCATACACTCCCTAAGTTTAAGGGCTTGAACAAGACTACAGTGAAGCAGATGTTCCCAATGTCTCATGTTAACGAATCGCATCACAAGCAAACTATAGGGATGAACAGTCTATCCAACTTTTGACTTCACAGACTTTCTCTAGAAAAACCGCAGTAACCCTGCGGAAAAGCACGAAGCGGCGTTCCACACTCGCATTCGCAACCTCGAGTGTACCTGCAAGTTACTTAAATTTTCAATGTATCACCCTTAATGCAACGGTTAGCTAATTTGGATTTAAATGATTCTATGAAAGATGACTGAATGGCTTTCTACATAGGTAATGTCTTATCTTTTGATCGAAATGGTCGAAAGCACCTAGAGAGCGTACGGAGCGCGCTTGAGGCGCTCTGGGGAAAACACTGGTATGCGGAGAAAAGCAACGTTTCGTTATTCCTAGAAGCAAGTATATTTCTGCGGTTCCGGTTTTCGGTTACGCTGCCACATGGCAAAACTTTGAACCCACGAACCATGACTTTACCTTTTTCCCACCCTCTAGGATTCTGCAAATTTCTTCGGCAATGCATCTGATCAAAATTCAATGTCAAATTCGCTTAGGTCGCTGGTTGCTGCTTCTTTGACTAATCTACTTTCCCAAGCTTAGTCTATCACCTGGCCACAGGAGTCCGATGCAGCTGCATCCGCGCTTAACAAACCCATACAACTGCTCAAGTACTTGCGCTGCCCGACTACAAGGGTTGTTCGTCTTATTAACGTGATAATGACGTAAAGGGGGATGCAATTTATTCCCGACAGGCTACGGGTTCCCCTTGAATCCAAGTTGATCTTTGTTCTTCTCATCGCTTCACCGAGCCGAGCAACTGTAATGATCTATGTAATGCGGTCGGGCGTGCAAAAATCGCATTATTCGTATGGGTGTCATTGTACTGCCCAGATTGACCATCATTCTTTAATATACACTACGATAAGCCTTCAGGGCTTCGATAACTCTAGAGTTGTTCACTGGCTTCGGCAGCTTCATCAGTACCACTTGGCTGTGAAGCCAAGTGGGGGCATCACGAGCGCAGTCGCCTGCAGGCTCTCGCAACGCCCCAGCACTTTACTATTGTGCAGCAAATCATTCTTGTCTTCGATAATCCACGTTTCTATCTAGATCGCGTGAGTCTAATGCATTTGACACCCATGCATCCGCTAGTCTTCCCATAATCCAGAATAGCAAAGGGAGAAGCACCACCAAGCCGAGGATAACCTTCTGTGATTCAAACCGAAATGGCGATTCCCTGGCTATACATTACGAAATTCGTTCCGCAGTGCCATTTGAACAAAGCGCATCATGTGTTCCTTTGGGCATGAAGGGGCTTATACTATGGTGGATAAGCTCTGATGGTCCTTTTGGTGACCGTAGAGGCGTCTTGCGCCAGTATAGTAGCCATATCATGCTCGGATTGTCAGCAGCTAAAGCCACGCATTTGCTACCTGGCCCACTTTTTGCAGTGCCTACTGGGTCTTCGAGGGGCTCTGCATGAGGTGGCACCGAAATTTTGCTGCTGGATTGCCGATGGAAGAATAACAGTACAAGAATAAAAGTATTATCCAAGTCGTTGTCGAACGACCAGCACATAGGTCTACTTCATCCTTTCTCAAAGTCTGTTGCGGCGTGTGAAGTAGTTCAATGATTTCAAACATGTCTAGAAGCTTCATGGATGTCAAGAGTAGTACGGCTAGGGAGCAGAAGTTTGCTAGCATTTTGGCATGCTCTTACGGTATGCCTATAAGTACACATTGACCAGTACATGACCACTGCAAGCCACCCTGGGAGAGACTTGCAAACAGGGAGCAGCAGTCTTACTCTTCTGCAGTACTTGCCTTTCTGAGCTCACCACAATCCGATTTTTCGGCTTGAGTTTCCTACTTATGCCGGGTGAGTCTATAATAAAGTTCTACACTCGTCTACCTGATACTGTCCGCATTCCCGGTCTACATTGAGGAGTCATTGGGCCTGGCCCCGGTGACTCGGGGTCAGCAGCCACCCCATGTAAGGGAGCACTTCAGAAAACAGCCGATTAGTATGCAGGAATATATATGCAAGCCTGAAGAGACAAAATTGAATCTCGATATGCGACGGTCAGCTGTGTGTTTCGAACATGGAGATTTGGCTTTGTCTTCTCGGCAAGCTCTACGAGGTGCACAAGAAGGTTACTGGATGAAGAAGCTTCTGGTCAAATGGCTAGAAGCATTTGCCGTTTCTGAAAGTTCGATGCTCTTTCTTATTCAATAGATTCGTGTACAAGCTGAAGAGGGCATGCAACTATCAATACTTACTTCCTAGAGAAGTTCCAGAGCTCCCCTAATTGTTCGCGCACATCGCCGCTCGGGCAAGTGCACATTGTGAAGGCGGAGGACTCCTAGGATCACGCATAAGTGCTGGAATCCATGCCTACTATGCGCCGAGGAAACATTGGAAAGGCAATATTAGCAAAAGGGGCCTGTGGCGCCAACCTGAGTGGTTGACGAAGGAGCATTTGAATGCTTGGTTACCTGCAGGTTGAGGCTGTGTTTGATTAGTTGCTCTAGTCGCGATGTACTCAATTCTTCTTTTTCCGCTGTGATTGGCCTTCTCTAGCGCATTCTCTGCCTGATTGAAAGCTGCCTTCATCCAGAAGCATTGTGCTCCCGGTTAGTACTGTTAAGGCTTTCTCTGTACTCAGATTTAAAGGGAGACATTCCTTGATATGTGCTTCTACGTTCTTTCCATACGGGCTTTGAAGTCGACTAGGCTGTCAGCACCTTCCGTGCTTGCATGCGGGCGTTGCTGTATAAGGCGCAGAGGCACTGATGGGCTAGTATGTAGTATGATTCTTTTAGCATAGTTTACTTGTCTTGTGTTTCCTCGTAGCAGGAGGCATCTACCCCACATTGCAGTATCCCGACGACAGCAAGCCATCACGCCGCCGCGGTTGAGTTGGTTGGGCCCTTCGGTCATTGCTAGCTAGTGTGTGTTCCTTTTGTCCCGTCCATGTCACTTTGTCGGGTGATCCCCGCTTTGTTCGTTTCACGTTCACGTACACTGATTTTCACGTTTCTTCCTGCCTGGGGAGTAGCGATAGTGCACGACACGTCTGCTGTCCTACACACAGTTGATATCTTCGTACACGCAAGGAAAACGGGGGGTCTTAGAATGAAATGGCGACGAGGGGAAAGCAAGGTGTAGCGTGTGAAGTTGCACTTAATCAAGTGTTTCAATACTAGAAATGCTCAACGAAGAAGTAGGCAGGAATTGACCGATTGGTTTGGCTGTTTGCCAATCTTATTTATGGCAGAGTAGTGTAAGCCTTACAGAAGAGGATGCAATGTTGTATGCCCGTACACCAGATGCTATATGAACCTGGCTGTTAATGCTTAGACTGCTCAGAGTGCAGCAGCGCACACCCTACCTATCCCTCTGTACAAATGGTAAGAAGCCTGAGGGGCACGGGCAGGGAACCGACAGTCATTTTGAAAGCACTCAATTATTTTCCAATAAGTTCTATTGAGTCTGGGGTCAAGGGCCTCTCTATGGAAAGCTTAAGTGGAGACATATTCACTCGCAGTTGCGGATTGCATCCTAGCACACGCAGCGTCATCTTGTACCAAGCTTACACTACTCTGCAGAAAACCTGATATATGAGCACACAAATCAATTAGTCAGTTCTTTATTAGTTCTCAACTGAACATAACTAGTATAGATGGCAGTGTCAAAGTGTATTCTAGCCCGTTATATGCTTGTTACGGGCGCATAGAACGCGTACAGCATTCATTCTCATGGTAAAAAAGCAAGCGTACTTTTAACACGTAGCATACAGCCGATCAAATCAGGCAGCTAGTAGCTCACTGGCCTTTATTCAAAGTACCCACTAATGGATTTCTCGCATAATGCCGCTCGGCCTACTGTGCTGGAGAACGCCATCCGTGAAAGAGTAATGCAGGCGAAGAAGGTAGGGAAGGAGCCGCTAGCTCAGATTCAGTGTGAATGGCTTGAATAGAGGACCTACTAGCATGGTTGTAGTACCAGCAGGGCCAGAAGCATCATTCATTACCCTCTGCAGAACTGACACAGCGTTGTGTAACTTGGTAGTGTGGCGAGCGGCAGAAGAACTATGAAAAAGACATGGCTGGTGCAAGTCTAGATGCATTTTAAAGTGCGTTGACAGCTGAAAGAACCGCTTGAATCTTTTCTTTGTTTCGACAGCAGCAGCAACTGCTGCTGTTGGCCGCCGCAGCTGCGGCGAGCGGTGCAGCAGCAACAGCAGCCTTGGCGTCTGATGTTTCAACGAGATTAGCAGAGTCTGGCATTCTGCGCCATTGGGTGAGAAAGTCGTTTGGCTCCTTCTGAAGCAAAGGAGGGCCTTCCTAGGGCTGCCTTCCCCGTCCTCTCTTCTAGCAGCGCCGCTGCTGCCGCTACTCCGTGGTCTGTTTTGCCCAGTTGGAGCCTCGGGGCTTCTGGGAGTTTACGACCTAAGATACGCATACATCAGATCCTATATCAAAAGCACCTAACTCCAGGCCACCCTTAAGACTCTTTGCGGAAGGAGCGCATTCCGTAAGAGCTGCTGCTCAGTCCGCTGGGCTGCCGCAGCCTGTGGACTGCGGTGTGGCCAAGATTTGCTGCGACAGCAGCTCCACAAGAAGCAGCAGCAGATTATTGGGCTTTTGGTTCTTAGCAGGAGGAAGAACAGCGAACCGTCAGGGCCCTTGCGGCCTCCCCGCACAGAGGGAGCACCGAGCGCGGCTGCAGCAAGTAAGGGGGGAGCAGCAACGGCAACGGCCAAACGAGCAGTCTCTGCAGATTCCAGCAGTGTATTTTCGACGTGCACCCCATACGCACTGGCTGGGACTGCCTTTGCATGTGGCAGCGCCGGAGCCCCCTCCAGGCGCCGCAGTGGAGGGAATTCTTCCTCTTAGCACCCTGTCCGCTGTTGTACCACTGTGTTTGCGGGGGTATTCACCTTGACTTCTGAACACCCAGCAGGAGAACGTGTGTGGCCGAGGCCCCTGCCGTTTTTGTCCTTGCCTTGCTTGAAGCCAACGGCTGCAGTCAAACGGCATCAAACGCTTCCCGAACCAGCCACACCCCCTCCCAGTTGCCTCTTCTTCCGTGTGCTCCCCCTCCCTGCCCAATCCGACTGAAGATGTGCATCGGCCTCAGCTCAGAGGCTCAAGCAGCACCCCGTGGTAGGCCCACTCTGTAGGCATTGCCTCGCGAAGCAGCAGCAGGAAACGGGGGCGCAAGGTGTTTACCACCACCACCACGCAACGCATTGCCGCGCTGCGTTCCAGCAGCACGGCAACAGAACTCGAAAGGGCCTTGAGCTGCTCTGCAAAAAATGATGGGCAAAACTGTGTAGCACCCAGTCCCGCGTGGAATTGGTTCAACCCAAGACCAATTTGAGGGACGTGTCTGGATATTCCCACGTAGGCCGAGACACCAGCAACCGCAGCATCAGCAGCAACAGAAGTACCACACATCACTTGTGATCTGCGTGCTGCCACCCCCTTTGGTCTGCATTCTGTTTGCCTGCTTGCTCAGCAGCTGCTGAATCGCCAGCCAGCGGTCTGCGCAGTTTGCAACAAGTGTTGTTCGTGCTCGGTGCGCTGCGGTGTTGGAGTTTTTGTTGACTGAGCAAAGGAGGCACGCTGCTCGCCCCGTTTTGCTCTGTTCAGTTCATTAAGGGATACAAACGCATCTATCAGAATACAGCCGAAGAGCGTAGTACAAACGGAATAAAATGGCGCAATAGGAACGGATTCCCCTTTCTTGTATGGACTGTTGTTCTCTCAATCAATCCGTGCCTGCCTTGCCTTTCGAAGAGCTGATCTCACTTCTTCTGCTGTATTTCGGGGCGCATTGCCCTTGAGCTCCTTTTTCCACGCAGCAAGCAGCACCCTCCAGGATATGTATACACGTGAATTTCTATACATCTCGCGCAAGTGTTGATCCTCTTGTTTTCGCTGTGTAGCCCAAACAGGACAGGCAAGCACGAGCGTCCTACAGCAGCTCGCGTGTGAAGGACGGCTTTCTTGTTTCCATACGACCAATCCGTCTCCCTAAATAGCGGAGCAGAGCTCTCTGTCCGAGCGGCAGGGCGGCCAGCCAGCTGTGTGTGCCGGTGTAGCGTGAACGAACAAGCGAGGCATTGGCGACAGAAGCGGTTTCTTACCGCAGAATAATCCTAGAGAGAGAGATATATATATATTTATATACACGCCATGATGGATCCGCACCAGCAAGAGCAGCAGCAGCAAGAGCAGCAGCAGCACCGGCAAGAGCAGCAGCAGCAGCAACAGCAGATGCTGCAACACCAGGATGTCTTGAGTTTGGGGGAAGGGCCGATAGAGGTCGATGTGGCACCGGTGGCTCAAATTCCGGGGCTTACCACAGATGGAGGTGCCCTCAGTGGCATTACTATTAATGAAGTAGATGAAGCAGAGATGGCACGGATTCAAGCGGCAGTGGGGCAGCCTGAGATTTTGGATGACTTAGTTCCCCCTGCCACGCTTGGCACCGTCACCGTGCAGCAGGTGCCTGCTGCCAGGGCTGCTGCTGCTGCTGCTGCTGCTGCGCAGCAAAAAGTGGCGCAGCTGCAGCAGCAGCAGCAACGGCAGCAACATTTACGAGAACAAAGACAGGCGGCAGCAGCGGCGGCGCAGCAGCAGCAGCACTGTGGGCCGACTGCTCATCAAGCTGCAGCAACAGCCCCCCGCACCGCGTCAACAGGTCAGAATGATCGTTGGCGCCTATACTTGCCTCACGTTGAGAAGTTGCTGGATGCAGAGGGGATTTTATTGTTGCGGCAAACGTGCCGCATGCTATATAAGCACAAGTACCGGCCCGCGGATGGAGTTCTATCGTTTGGGATGTTTAGGGGCGTAGATGCACGGCTTCTGATGGAACAAGTTGTACCTGTGGTGTGCAAGGCGGTTCATCCAGACGTAAGAGCCGCTGGTCTCTCGTTAGACTTCAGCGGGTGCTCGCTCCTCAAGGATGCATCCGTAGCTCGCTTGATGGACGTTGTGCATGGTCGAAAGGATGATAATATCATTGGGGGCGTTCTGAGGAGCCTTTGCCTGGACTTCTGCTATGAAGTGACGAATAAGGGTCTTGCCGCACTGCTGACAACCTATTTGCCGGCGCTGGAGAGGCTTTCTCTGCGTTGCGCCAGGAGCAACGAGCTCACTTTCTCGAACTTACCCACTGATTTCTCGGCGGAGAATTGGCCCAGTCTGCTGCACTTTGATGCATCCTTCACGAACATGCGGCTGGATGCTGCGACGGTCTTGGCAGATTGTCTGGTTGCCAACGCAACGACCGTCAACAAGAGGCATACCCGAGATTTCGAGCGGAAGTTGCAAGAAGAGAAGCAGTTGCGGCGACTGCTCCAGCAGCAAGAGAAGGAATACGTGCAGCACATCGAGCAAGCGAACCAGTTGAGGGAACAGCAGATGGCGGTAGCAGAGAGGCTGCAGGAGCAGCGGCAGCTCCTAGAGGAGAAAGAGCGGGCTTTGGAGCATCGCTTGCAGCTTGAACCGATCCAGGTTGATGGGGAGCCAGTCCAGGAGGAGGCAGAAGATCCGGAGAAGGCCGCAGTGCTGGCACAGCGAGAGCTCGTGCTGCGGCTGCAGCAGCAGCTAGATTCGCTAGCTGCTGCCGTCACCGCAGGAGAAGATGCGGCCGTCGCGTGCCGTACAGCGATTGAACACACGACAGCCGCTGCGGATGCTGCTGGCGTTGCAGCAGCAGAGAGCTTAGCGGCAGCGGCAGAAGAGGAGAAAGCGCCAGTGGTTCCCTCCTTAGAAATCGTGGGCTCTCTTGCGTCCAAGTGCCTTCTTTCGAAGCTCGGGATGGAAACACACTACCGTTCATTCTGCCACGCCGTCAAGCTGGGCCTTCACGATCAGATTTCCTCGCTTACCAAGGTGGTTCAGAAGGAGGTGCGTCATGAGAACACGCACATCAAGAACAGCCAGGAACCAGACAGTGGCACCGCTTGTGTATGCAAATTTTTCGCCATTTCGTTTTTCGTCCGTGCGCTGTAAAATTTCTTCGTTGTTGTCTTTCATGCCTCTGTCATGTGGTACAGTTTTCGGATCTCTGCGCATCTGCTCCCTACCGGGGCAGCTCTCTGCTCGCGTTACAGTCCAAACGGGGGAGTGAGTTGCTGGTGAATGCGCCATTCGTCGTTGACACCTCTGAGGATGGAGGCGTCAACGTGCTTACCCTTCCCGTCTCCATCGCCATTCAGACTCAGGACCAGGAAACGCTGAAAGTGGTACGCGGAGGAGGGGAGAGGGGGGCCGTGAGGCAGAGGGAAGTGGTGGTAGAAAGTAGACACGGGCTGCGAGAGGGACAGGGAGAACAGACAGTAACTGGAGGCAAGCAGCGATTCGGGAAGCGATTTTTAAGGCTTCCAGAGATACTGCAGCTCATGAACGCACATTCAGTATTCCCGAGCAGCAGCGCTGCTTCCTGTCCGGTCCGTCGTTGCCTCGTCGGTGGCCATGCAGTGTGTCTCTGCTCAGTCGTTTCAGCCTTGTTCGGATGTGTGTCTTGGAATGCAGCTGATAAAACGGGGTGCCCAAATCGACGTCTGCGACTATTTGGGCAAATCTCCTCTCCTTCGCGCCTGCGAGGCCTCCCGTCTGGACTTAGTGGAGGCGCTCCTCGATCTCGGAGTTTCTCCGAATCCGCATGACCTTCGCTGCGCTCATTTCCCCCTGCAAACTGCGATTCGACGCAAGGACGCGGGGATCGTGAAGGTAGGGTGATTTTTTAATGTTTCTCTATGTCCCTTGTACGCGCGTGTGTGGCTCCGTTTTATGGTCGCCTACCTTCGCGGCTCTCTCCCACTCACGCCCCCTCTAGGCTCTCGTGGAATATGTCTGTCTGTAGCGCTAAATTGCAGGGATGGCAGCGATGTTCATGCCTTCTTCTATGAGCGTTCATAAGAGGCTGGATTCATTACGTCTCTCTGTGCGCCTGTGCTGCAGAGCTTGCTGGCACGCGGCGCGGCAATGGACGTCAAATGCCCAGCGGTCCGCACATACAAAAGCGCCTTGTGCGTTGCTTGCGAAGTGAACTGGCCTGAGATTATCAGCCTCATCTTGAAGGCGGGGGGAGATCCCAACTCGCGAGGTCATAACTCGTATACTCCTACGCTTGTAAGATCTTCAGAATTACACACAGAGACACACTCATACACACACACACACACATGCACACACAGAGACACATACACACACATACACATACACACACACAATGGCACACACACAATGGCTACAGCTTTTTTCCGTCCCCTCTATAACGCGTTGTTGATTGGCAAGGCCGCTGGGCAACCAGAACAGGAAGAATCTTTGAAGTGCAAATGTGGAACGAAGAGCGGCCGGCTGCCTCTGCGGCGTGCTGCTGTCACTGGGTGTTTCGTGTGGGATCTTGTTGCGTTTTTATGTGCAGATGGCATATCAATTAAACCCGAAATGGCTGCCTCTTTTCCTGGAATCTGGCGCGGGTGCAGAGAAGGGGAAGCGATGGGTCTTGACAGGTACGCGGAAGAGCAACTCCCTCGCCGGTGCATGCAAGCGCCTAGCAACGTTGTTTAAGGACTGGCGTCATTGTTTATGTACGTGGTGGCTGCGGTGCATATCGTAACGCGGAGGCGTAACTGTGTTGCTCATCAGTGGGCTGCTGCAATGGCCGTAACAAACGTGACAAGGTGTTGAGGCCCTGTCTTTCTGTTTGTGTTGTTTTTTCAGACGTACTAAGTTGTGCAGTTGCAAAGAACGACATCGATAGCATCGGGTTACTAATCGACAAGTACCCCGACTTGATGAACAGAACGCACCCTCTTTGGTCCAAGCCGCTGCTGCAGGTCAGCATGACGGACTTCATGCGGTTCGCATGGGTGTCGTAGAAGGCTTACCACCTCTATGTGTCTGTGAGCATCTATAAGCACCATGTAGCCGTACGCCACTGCCACGCGACTTAACGGGGTCACGTGTATTTGCTTCGTGTCTCGCGGTTTGCTGCCAGGCTGCGAAGCAAGGGCGAGTGCATGTGCTTGAGATGTTGCTGGCTAATGGGTGCAACGTGGACGCGAAGGGGGAGGGGGGGCAGACAGCGCTGCTTGCCGCCACTGAGGAAGGATTGGGGAGCTGTGTTGAGAGATTGGTCGACCACGGAGCTGACGTCAATAAGGCAAACTTTGAAGGTGAGCAGAGAGGGTGGGCAGACGGAAGGGAAGGGAGTCAAGTTTTCTTCGCGGGCCAAGGTGGTGTGTGCACGCCGTGAGATGAATACGACAGCCATTTGGCTTGCAACGCGTTGGAAGTGAGTGTTCTATTGTGTGACGCAGGGATGACGCCCCTAATTGTAGCCTGCATGGAGAATCACGAAGACATGGTGAACTACTTCCTGGACCACACCCAAGAACCTTACCGGGTGCGCGTACACGTGAACACGCTGCAGCAGCAGCCGCAACTGCGAGTGGTAGAAAATGCTCAGGGAGAGCAGATATGCGAAGGGAAGTGGATTGTTGCCACGCAAACGCAAGTTTTGGACTGTAACAAAGCGGAAAAGACGGAAGGAGAGACGCCACTTCTCGTCTGCATCCGACTGAGGAACGATAAGATCGCCAAGACGATCCTGAAAAAAGCAAAGTCGATTGACCTCGAGGCCAAGGTCAGTCGTGCGCTGCTCTTGCTTGTTTTGGCTCACGGGATGAGCCTTGTTTTTTTGCACGCCTGTTTCAACTGCCTGTGTATATACAAAATGGCAAACACAGTCGGCCTGGACTCACCCGTTGCGGTTTCTTGTTGTAGGATTCCCAAGGCCGCACAGCTCTCCTCGCGGCTCTGTTTTTTGGTCAATACTCCGTGGCAGCAACTCTGATGGAAATGGGTGCGGACGTGATGACGCAAGACGACGCAGGCAACACAGCGCTGGCTATTGCCAACGAACGGTAAGGAAAGGCGTGAGACTGTCAAAGTTTGGCGTGTTTGCTGTGTCCGCTTGTATCTCATTTGGGTGCTTCTCGCATTGTATCTCAATTGGCCTTTCGTAGCCGCCACAGCAAACACGCGCGTGCGCAGTTTCCCAGGTGTTGTACGCACGTTTTTGCTCCAGATCTGCCTTATTATCTGCCCGCATCACATTTGCTCCTTTCGTCGGTCCTCCTGGCATGCATGCAGGTTGTTGACTCCCGGTAGCGATAAGCGGGTCTTGCGTCGGTTTTTACGTTTGTACCGGAGCCGCGATACCTCGCGGCGTCACACTTCTTCCAGTGGGATGTTACAGTCGATGCTGAGTGCCCTGCGCGATGAGGGGGGGAGCAGTTCCCACGTGGATTCTGACTCAGGTAGCGGCGGCGAGGGTGCAAGGTTCTTCAGGAAGAAAAGCGTCAGCCGCAGCAGCAGCCGAGGCAAGAACAGCGGCAGCAGCAATGGACTGGAAGGTGCAGTGGACACTAGACTCTCACGCAGCGACGGAGAGGCAGGCCCCAGCCCTTCAAGGGGCACAGCCTCTAGCCCGACAAGCAGCAGCAGGAAACGAACGGGGAAGAAGCTGAAAATTGAGCCAAAGACAGTTCTGCAAGTTGCGAAGCTGCCGATGTCCCTTTTCAGGGGGGCGAAGGCCAAGTGATGCGCCCCGTTCAAAATGGATGAACAGCTAGGCCCTGGTTGTTTATTTTTTCCTGTTGTTTCTTCTGTCTTTGTGTGGTCTGTGTCTGTGGATGGAGGATGCGTGTTGTTTGTCTTGTACGGGGACGGGCACGGGGCGAATAGCACCTCCCTCACCCCATTTGTATCCCCATAATGCGTAAATTTTGAATGGAACAGTCGCCTCGAGACCCCAGCGGGGGCTTTTTGGATTCGCGCATCTTCCGGACATGCGCTTTTGCCGCCAGTAGTACACGGCACCACCACTGGCCAAGGGGCCAGCCTGTGATGCAGTGGGGTCGGTTGAGGATGAAGTGGGGGTCAGGGTAGATAGGCGAAGGCTAGCAATGCACAACGCAAGCGCCATCCGTTTTGGTTAGACGACCGTGCTCTGCGGTGTTCTGTGTACTCTCTTCTAGTAAGTGTGTCCAAAGTTCTATTGGACCCAACGGTATATGAGGCCCGCAATTCCACAACGCTGCTCGGCTTGCACAGCACGACACGGCTCGAGTTCGTTGTAGTACAGAATACTTGCTGCACTGTGAATAATCTTGTAGGTGGTGGTCGGTTGAACGCTTGTTTATTGTCGTCCTGCCAGATACCCATGTGAGGAAGGGAGCAAGGGACGTAACAGGGGTGTACTTGAGCGTTTCCGTTGTCTGTTGATTTGAGTTATGTGTCTGTATAACCCACAAGGCACTCGTGTCAGTTTGCCTTTAACTCATCGTCAAGCTTCGCAGTCAACACTACTTTCGCCTGGGAGCAGACGCACAAACTTTACTGCTTCTGTGCTGCATCCAGTGCCTACAACCCTAGCGGCATATGCTGTATAAGCTCTCACTGCCAACGATCTTCGGTGTAGGATAGGGATGCAGTGCGAACGTAGGAGATACGTTTAGTTGCTCTTCTTCGTCATGAATGCTCTGCCTAGTCACTATAGCTTTGATCTTCGCCCCGCGTATGCCATGTGCCTCACGGGTTAGCTAGTCAACTGCTACTGCGTAGGCGGAGGGGGTGGTGGAAACAACTCATTGGGGAGAGCGGAGGGGAAAGGTGTAAGTGCGGCAATGAAGCAAACTAAATAGCATGCTGGCTGACCACCAGAAGAGCAATAAGAGGGTGACTATACTTGCTCTTGCTGCAATGTCACGTTTTAAAACCTAATATAGCTCGCCGGCACTTTGATCAAAGGTAATCGGACGCTTGTTTGTCATCCTTCAAAGTACAAGGGAGGTCGGTCATAAATGCGCTGCACCGACTCTACTTAGCACAGGGAGCAGACACTACTACGGAGATGTCGAGGCCTTCTTGGCTATCCACTGGTGTGTAAAGAAGGCAGATGGAGAGGTGCGCTAGGCTCAATTCAAAGCAGCATTGGCTACCGCGTCCAGCAATTGGAATGCTAGGCTTGACGCGATTTGCCGAAAATGTTGCTTATTTGACATTTGTCTCATAAAATGATGACTGCAAGGGAGGCGTTCTGAGTGACTGCCTGATTGAGCGTACATCAAAGCCCCCAAGGCGTTACAGTATGTCATTGCGTCTACTCCGTTGCAGGAACCACGAAAAGGTGGCCTAATCTTCTGTCAGCGATCCGAAATGAGCCTAAAAATAAAGATCAGAGCAACTATTCAGTCATCGCCTATGTAATTTACTAGTATCTGGCCAGTGCTGATTTCTGGGGTGAGCTACAGGAGCATCAACATGAAACACTATTGAGACCATGCCTGACTTTGCGCAGAAAGCTTTGTAGTCAATTTCATCGCCAGAAAACCCCAGATCTCCTAAAACGGCGTTCAGTTCGTCGCCAGAAAGCGTCTCCCCACAGTTCTGCAAAATGTTCTTTGCAATTCTCATTGACACCTTTCCTGAGCCACTAGGATCATAGCAGCCAAATAGCTCAGCTAGGAGCTCTGGGGTGTCATCGCGATGTGCCACCTACACGCATATCAACGATATACAGGATTAGCGCTGTCGACTCATGTTACGCGCACAGAATAAATTTTCTGTCAAACTGACAAACAGCAGGCATGAAAATATCAAAGCAAACTCTGTTGGATAGGATAGTCAGAGGCGGAGGCTAAATATCTGTGTTCTGTACTTCTTTGCAGAAGGTAGCGAACGTTGACATATCACAATACTGCCCAGCTACGACTTTCAGCTCCAGGCATTCCTTAAGCGACGGAGCAAAACCCTAAGGCACACGCACAGCAGAGTGCAAGCAAAAGGCACCATGAACCTGCCGACTTCATGTCGGCTACATCATCTTCCCTCTATTCATCTGTTTTCAGCCAATTTTTGCTGGACACCTGTCGCCTCTTTGGAAATCCTGCATTGTGGCTGTCTTCTTTTCCTAATATTATTAGTGCCAACAAGATAGGTGCATAGTAACTCATGTGCAGAAAGGCAAATGCTACAAAGTGCACTTCGCGTTGCGCACCAACCGTCTGGCTAAGTTGCCGGCCTCCTCCGTGAGAATCAAGCTACCCCCTCCCTAAGACACACACTGACACACTGTGATAAGCCTACAATAGAATACGCCTGCCCCAATAAACCCTCAAAACACATGCTTTTCCCTTCACCATATTCTGCGTGCATAAACTCATACTGCGCCTGGAATCATAGCGCCAGTATAGAGCAGCACCATGCTGTTCGCGGCATCGTAGTGTCAGTATATTGGGCCAAATATTCTCATGGTGTATAATGCGGCCTAGAAGGGACCCTATAGTTATCCATCATATCCGATCATGGCACACATGCTGCTTAAATGAAGATTATTGCGCTCTGCTATTCAATTCGTGGGTTTATTTAGATATGTTTTCACTGTAGCACATTTTCCGTTTGCTGCTAGTGCAACAGCTGATGCCTCACCGAAACATCTTTGAAAGCCGCGATAAGTTCTTTCGTGCTGATAGACTTGCCAGGTTCCTGCATCCAGCCCAACATAAGTAGGAAAATCACGGCTGCAAGCCCAGAATTACATAGTTAAAAACTTACAGCAGAAGGTTTTGGGTAAAAAGCCAAAAACGAAAATTCCTAAGAGTGTTTCTAGACTCACGGGGGCGTTTGGAACTGCGCCCAGTCTCCTTGGCAGGTTACTCGTCCCCAAGGGGCAGGCCATGTTTCCCCCTAGGAAACAGAAATGCCAATGAAATTTTTTCTGCCTATGAATGGGTGTGTGTTTGCCTTGTAAGCCCGCTCGTCGAATTGGCAAAACTTCCTGTCCGTCGCGCATAGCCCCATTCGCCTCAACAGCCACCTCAGTACATGCATTGCGCTGTTTCACCTGCGAAGCAAGAGCTTTAATAAGTATTGGAGATGTAGTGTATAGTATGTATTCTGTAATCATTGTGTATTATGCGTGAGGGGCACACAGGTACTGATATTTACAGTAGAAAGTCGCTGCAGCTAATTGCATTGTTTGAACATTGAACGACCACTTTTCGCTCGTGCGGGAAGGGAGACAGAGCCAGCAATATTTAACATACGAATTTACCCGCGTGTGCAAATTATGCGCTTTTACGCACATTTCGGATTTTTCTGAATATTCATAGGGGCAGTCTGTGCGCATGAAAAGGAGTTACAGCAGACTTTGCCTTGACGTAAAAATGCGTAGGACGATCTATTTTGCAATGGAAAGGTTAGTAGTATGCCAAATCATTCTTGCTGGGTAAGACTTTATCTTAAGACGTCGAAGAGCTGCGCTTCCTTTTGTGGCCTTAGTTAACAGGATCAAGGCCATACTTTTAGAGGCTTCAAACACTGAGCCCTAGCGTTGGCCTGAGAAGTAAATACACCTCAGTCACGAAGTATTCTTGCTGCTGTGGCTAGCCCTTGCTAATACATAAGATAATCCAGTATGGCGTGGAAGCCTGGGTTCCTATTCGTTGTACTTGTTTGACCGTCATACTTTACAGAGAACAGCTGCATCTCTCAGGCAGTTCTGTTGCATCCTGTATTCCAGTGCTTTTGCGTACACACACACTATTAGCCACTTATCGTGTTGCCTCGGCCGAGTTGCTTTGGTCCCTTGTTCATTGTTAGATAGTGTCTGTCTTTTCTCCCATCGATTTCACTCTAGCCGTTGATGTCCACTTTGTTTTGCTTGATTTTCAGTGCTTTCGTGTTTCTGCCTGCCTGATGGGGTAGCGATAGGCTGTGTTTTACGCAGCTGAAGCACACCTAAACAGAGCTGCGAAACGGAGGGACTGTTACCCTTCATTGGAAGTCTCCGTAGGGAGGCATTTGGCCCCAGACCCACTAAAAGAGGTGGAAAGAAGTCACTGAGTGTTCTCAAAAGGGCCCCCGCCTTCCCTGAAAGCGCTCTAGAGCTCCCGATATCAAGACAGAGGGACAGCTTGGGTGCGTGTTGCTGCACCATTAAGCACTCCTAGCACTCCCAGCTACCTGCGCAAAGAGTCTAACACCTATGCGAACAAGATGGAGTCTTCTAGCATGAAACTAACAGTACTCTGCAAGAATTAAGATATATGTATATGCATGAAGAGACAAACAAATTGGTTAATTTTGAAATAACTCAAAGTCAAATACACCTAGTGTAGTAAGTGGCAAAATAGAGCTCGGCCTGCTCCACCTTTCCCCCCGCATTTTAAAACGCAGCGAACAAGATGGAGTCTTCTAGCATGAAACTAACAGTACTCTGCAAGAATTAAGATATATGTATATGCATGAAGAGACAAACAAATTGGTCAATTTTGAAATAACTCAAAGTCAAATATACCTAGTGTAGTAAGTGGCAAAATAGAGCTCGGCCTGCTGCACCTTTCCCCCCGCATTTTAAAACGCACGTACTTGTGCTCCGTGTCTGTACGAAAAACTCAATTGCGGCACCAGCCAGATAGTCCCCGCACTACCGCTACTCCCCAGGCACGCAGGAACACAAAAGCATTGCCAGTGAGAAAAAACAAAATCGGCTTCAACCGTAACTAAATTTCACGGAGAAGGGGCACTGACACTATCCAACAACCAGCGAGGGACCAAGGCAACTGGACTAAGGCGGTGCAGTGACTGGCTGTTGTCGAAGCATTGCTTGGTGTATGCCCCCTAAAGGAGGAGGCAGAAGACAAGTGAAGTAGTTAAAGGGAAGCAACACTAGTGGATGGGTGCCTCCGCGTTTCATAGAGCATTGTCTGTATGCACATACAGCCATTGCACACAGCATTGTTGAGTTCAAAGGCCCAAAAGAGGCATAAGGAGGAATGTAGGGAAACAGATGTCTGAGAATAGCTAGGCACTACCCAGATTTGAAAAAAACCTTCACAATACTAATTGAAAACCTTTCAAGCAGTATCATTAGTGAAGGTAGCCTTTTAAAGCAGAGCACGAGCAAGGGAATCCCAATTACCAGGGAACGCAAGAAGTAGCATCCATGGCGACCAGCGTTTTTAATTCAACAGACCGTTGAATTCGGATGCAGACAACAACGTCTACAGCTGGTCTTCCATGAAGCAATGCGACTGAGTTTCCTATCTTAGTTCACCAGAAGCCATCTGCTAGTGCGTCCTCATCAATATGCTCAGATTCCAGCACTTCTACGGTACCTTGTGAATTCTCTGCCTCCACGCGATTCATTTGCCTGCTCAAATAAATCAATGAGCTCTGAAATTTTTGTAGGACGCCAATACTGAGAGTTTTAGCAGCTCCAACGTCTAAAAAATTCGATAGAATGGGAACGAGCATTAATCCGTCAGAGGATGGCGAAGGCTCCTTGTTACCTGCACGCAAGCTTCTTCGTCCGATCAAACTTTGTTGCATCCACTAGACCCTGCCTATCCACTAGCACCAAACCTTCATGCCTGAATCACACACCCGACCGCCACTTATCAGTATTCCGTGTCTGTGTCTCTTCAGCTTGTTGCGCATCTTCGTGCGCACTCGCCAACTGGTCTCTGAAGTGCTCCGCTGCAGAGGGGGCTGCTGACCCCGGACCACCACGTCCGGGCCGGCTTTGGAGAAGGGCTCCTCAGTGTAGACCAGATGTGCGTAAAGCATCGGGAAAACGAGCGTATGCTGTATTACAGACCCACTCGGCACAGATAGCAAGGTCAAGCCAAGCAATTGATTCTTTTTGAGCACAGAATGATAAACACTGCGGAAGAATGCATTTGGTGCACCCTGTCTGCACATCTGCCCCAGGGTGTTCGGCAGTGGCCAATTTAGTCAGTGTGTAGGCAATACAAAATTCACACCTAGAAGCGCCAATAGATTTTCCACTTCTTGTCCGGATAACTACTCTTCAAGAATTTGTCGAAATTCGTGATGGTTTCAGTCATAAGCTAAAGAATATTAAAGTAACTTCCTGAGCCGTGGAAGAACTGGAACAAGGGATGAAGTACTTATATTCGGTAATTAGTCGACTAAATGACATGCATGCTATCCTGGTGGTGACTTCTGGCAATCGCATTGTCAGATCAGTCCAAGTGCTTTCATCAGCCGTAAAATTTTGGGGAAGCGTGAGTTTAGTAACAATGCACGGCTTCAGCTGCTAGCAAACTCGGGTGGGCAGCGCATTCGCCCCTTCCAAGGGGCTCATCTTAGGCGACCAGAAGAACAGTGCGAGCTTTTCTTCTAGTTTGGACCCTTTCCATACACCAGAAGGATATGATCATGCGCTTTGGGCAAAATCAACAATGCATATCAAAGTCAGAGTGGAAAAGCGACGCAGTTCTACTAGGTGCCACATCATATAATCCTCAAACCGAGAAGGCTTCACCCTTTTGCTATTCTATATTTTGGCAATAGCTGATGCATGGGTGTCTAAAGCATAAAATATGCAATTTCAATCAAAAACGTTGAATGATCATAGGCAAGAGCGGTCTCAGTGCACAACAGTAATATACTGGGGTGTCACGAAAGCGTATTGGCGATCAATGTGGTGCCCTTCACATGCTTCACTACAAAGCCGTACTGCAGATTGAGCCTAAGCCAGCGAACAGCTCCAGAGTAATCCAAAATATGGAAACTCTTCGTAAGGTGCAATAAAGATTGATGGTCTATTCAGACAGTAAAACGATGCCCCAACGAATAGTGCCGACCTTCTTCCACTCCGTGCATACCCCATCGACTTCCTTTTTCGCAGCAGATACTCCTGGTAAGTTTCAGTTGAGCGCCAAGAATAAAGAGCAGAAATTTGGTCTTTTGGAGAGCCCGTGGCCTGCTGCGAGAGGATAGCACCCACCTCTAAGTAACAGCATACAGATGACACGATTGTAGCCGGGCAGCGCAAGTACCGAGCCGTAAAGGCACCCAATAAAGCGTCCTTGCTGTGGGGTCAGAGCTATGGGTCCATGTAACAGACTGATTTTTTGGAAGTAAGTCAGTCAAAGGATCATCAATAGAAGCGAGCCGGTGAAGCTAATAAGGCTTTGCAATGTCATTGACGGTCCATAAAGGCAAAGGCAACCCCTTGCTTGGTTCAAGTTTTGCCAAGTCTGGCACAATTCGTGCAACGGTTGCACAAAGTCCCCAAAATCACACCTTTGTAAGAAAGTATAAGCACTTGCTCTCCTTCATATACCACCGCCTTCCCCCCAACATCTACAGCGTATGCTGTGGGTACGGTTGGTGGTCTTAAACGTTTCGACCAAAACCTCAGGGGTTGTTCAATGAAAGCTGTCATCTACCCCTCTTTAAAATGCCCACAGAAATCCTGATTAGCATCTGTTTTAGCTCAGGTGGGGCTTCGAGGAGTAAAAGTGGCTCACAGGTGTACTCAAGCTTGCGAGTGCGAGTGTGGAAAGCCGTTTTGTGCTTATTAGCAGGGTGAATGGGGATTTGTAAGAAAGCGTCTGTGAGGCGAAATGTTCAGTATACTTTTACGCCGTGCAGCGTGTTGAGTAATTTACCGATATAAGCCATCGGAAACCTTTGTTCCAGAGTATTCCTATTCACGGGTTTAAAGTCCACACACCTGC